CCCGCCCCACCTAGTTCCTCTATATCATTACTAAAGTATAGTTCTTCATACACAGTCATATGTCCATCATTGCGGGCATGGACAATGGCAGGGAGTCCAGCATCCTATTGTCAAGATATAGTAAACAGTTTCATTGTAAATCCACCTTTTTCTGGAAGTAGAGATGCATACTGCATTGTATCCTCACATCTGGATATGCTAGTGTCCATTTCACAGCTACTGTACATCCCCTCAAATGAAAAGTCATAATACAAAATCAACAAGAGGAAGAAAAAGAAATTTACAATGCCATGAAGTTGAGCAGAAAAGGGGAACATGAAAGGAATAACATGTTGCTAGACATCACAGTCTCCATTACACAGCTACTATACATCCCCTTAATGAAAAGCCACAAAACAAAATCAACATCAAGAAGAAAAAGAAATTAACAGCACCAATAACATGCTACTAAATGACTAATGTGTGGCTAAAGAAATGAAAATCAAGAACTTTCTTGCAAAAAAATGATGCTACTGTATGATCTATGAATCAGTGAATAATTTAATGAAAAAAGAAGTGTTTTGAAGAGATGAAACTAACAGAAAACATCAAAACCCATGCGATAGTTTCTGCTGATTTTTGTTGATGAAATGTGTCTCTTCTAGACAACAAATAGATGGGTTTTATGTTTTTAATCCAGTCGGCTTAATCTATGATGTTTGATTGATGAATTTAAGCCATTTACATTCAAGGTTAATATAAATAGGTAGCAATTTATTCCTGTCATTCAGCAATGCGTTGCTCATTGATTTAGTCTTCTGTTGTTATCTTACTGGGATGTTCTTCCCATTTGCCTTTGGTTTGGTTTGGTGCTATTCCTCTTCTCTGTCAAGAGAACATCTTAAAGTATCATTTGTAGGGCAGGTTTGGAAGAGGCAAATTCTTTTACCTTTTCTTTACTATGGAAGAATTTTATTTCATTTTCAAAGACAAAAGAAAGCTTTGCTGGAAATGTTATCCTGGGCTGACAGTTTTTCACTTTTCGAATCTGGAATATGTCACTCCATTCTCTTCTTGCCTGTAGAGTTTCTTGTGAGAGGTCTCGTGTGAGTTTAATTGGCATTCCTTTATATGTCAGTTGATTTTTTTCACGTGCACATTTAAGTATCTTTTGCTTATGTTCAATTGAAGAGAGCTTGATGATCAGATGTCGTGGTGAAGCTTGAATTGATCAGGCCTGTTGGTTGTTCTGTGCCCCTCCTGTATGTTGTTTCCCAATTCTTTCTCCAGATTATGGAAAATTTCCCTTATTATTTCATTAAATATATTTGTAAAGCCAGTTTCTCTTTCTGCACCTTTTGGGACTCCCATAACTCTTATATTTGGCCTCTTAAATAGTATCTTTCAATTCTTGAAGACTTTTCTTGGCCTGATCCAGCTCTACTTCCAGTTTTTTGTTTGTTTCTCCCTGGTGAAAGGAAATATCTTTCTATTCTGAGGTTCTTTCTTTTGATCCTTCATTGTATTTGGAGACTCTCCACTAAATTTTTAATTTGCTCTACTGTGTTCTTAATTTCTGATATATCAGCCTTGATTTGCTTTATTGCTGCTATTGCTTGTGAAAAATATTCCATAAATTCTTTGAACTCTTGTATGTGCTTCTCATTGTTGATCAGAATCTTTAAAATGAGTCTAATGAATTCTGTGTCCCCCATTTTCTCAGTGTCTTCCTCAGTTAACTCTGAGGTTGGCAAAGGCTTTTGCTCCTTTGGCTGGGGAGTCTTCAGTAATATTCTTTGTGCCTCTGTCTCTTCTTTTGCTCTTTGTCATTGTTCTTCTGGTTAGTAGATTCTTCTCCTTAGGGCAGGTTTCCAAGCTGTGTCACCCACAGGTTGGCAATTCAGTTTTACTTATTGTGGTTGGCACATGGTTCTGTGTTTGCACTTACTTGTGCCACTCCCTCCAGCGAGTTCCAGGTCTGGTTTCTTCTGTTAGATTTCCAGCATGGTCTCCGTAGCCCCAGATGCTGGCTCAGCACACTCCACACCCTGTGATACCGTTCTGAGGGTGCACCATTGTGTCTGCAGCCTTTCTCCCCCTTCTGGTTGGAGCAGTTCCCAGGATTAGGGAAACATTAGGTGTTCTATACAGCTAGGTTATTGTTCGTGCTGATCTTGATGGAATCTGTTGGGCATTAGGTCTGGGTGCCACACGGACCTATTTTGACCCATACAATGCTACAGTCGGTATTCTTTTTTTTTTTTTAAAGATTTATTTATTTATTGGAAAGTCAGATACACAGAGAGGAGGAGAGACAGAGAGGAAGATCTTCCATCCGATGATTCACTCCCCAAGTGAGTGCAACGGCCAATGCTATGCCAGTCCGTAGCCAAGATCCAGGAACTTCTTCCGGGTATCCCACACGGGTGCAGTTCCCAAGGCTTTGGGCCATCCTCGACTGCTTTCCCGGGCCACAAGCAGGGAGCTGGATGGGAAGCGGAGCTGCTGTATTAGAACCAGCGCCCATATGGGATCCCGGGGCGTTCAAGGCGAGGACTTTAGCCGCTAGGCCACATTGCCGGGCCCAGTCGGTATTATTTTCCTGCAGTACCAGTGCAATCCGCGGAACTCAGTGAGTTCTCGAAAGCTCAGCACATGCGCAGTTCACTGTTGTCCCCTGCAGTCCTAAAGCTTTTGCCACAGTGTAGAAAATGGCACCTGACCTACCACTACTAGAGTTCTTGATCTGCTGGCCATCACGTCTGAGGGTTAACCAGATCTGTCTTGGGTGGAACCTGTAGAATGCCACATTAGTGCAGTTCACTGAATCAGAAATGAGCTCACTCCCAACTCAGTGTATGCTCAGTCCTTTCCCTTGCCTTTGCGTCCTTAAACAAAATGGCTCCCAATTTGACTCTAGGGGCTGACTGGGCTGTGAAATCCACCCTGTTCTCGCACTGCCCGTCTGGGATCTGCTGCTCTCTGTTCCTGGTCAAATCAAATGGACCAGCTTGACGGACAGTTCTTTGTCTGGGTTCACCTCCCAAGCTCCCAGTGAAAGTGCATTGCCACCTGGTTGTTGGTGGAATTCCGGCTGCTAGTGGAGTTCAGATTGCCATTAACTGACTGCCACTGGATTATCAGTCACTGCAACACCACACCATTGTGTCCTCTGCTTTCCTGTGTCTGTCAGCCTCCACGTACCCCTCTGCTGTTGTTCTGTCCTCTCCTGTTTCCTGGATTGGGCCCTCTCTGTTTCATCCTGATTAAATGTTTCTCTGTCTGTTTAAAAGTGTCCTTACCCTGTTCTGCCATCTTGATTCTCAACTTTTGTTTTTGTAAGCTTCTTTAGAAAGCCAGCCTAAATTAATACTTCCTGGAACTAGTGCCAGAGTGTCAGGAATCCTAGCTTGAAAGAAAAAATGCCTTTATCCCTTTGCTATATTTCAGGATTCCAGGACACTCTTTTAATGTTGAGTAGAATTTCAGTCGCCTGAGATGCTGAGTGCAGTGAAGTGTTGGACGTGAAATGGTTAAGCTCCCTTCCACCATCCTTCCTGCTCCTGGCTTAGCCCTGACAGGAGCTCTCAGTCCTGGCTGTTTCTCAGATTGGCCTGCAGTGTGCCTGCAGCAGGATCTCTTTCCAACTAGGCTTTCTATTCTGGTGTCCACTGGCTGCTTACCTTCAGATCTCAAATGAGAACCTGTGTTCTCAGCTTCCAATCACATCTTATCCTGGGAGTTTTCCCTGGCGTCAGCATGAAAAATACCTTCCTGTATCCGTATACTACCTTTTTTTCCATCATACCGTCTGGTATACTTTGTGTCCCGTCTAAATTCCTTGAGGACTGGGACTTTTGCTTTTGTACATTGTTGTACCTAGTACCTAGGAGTGTGCCCAAAGCTGGACCCAGCCCTTCCTTCTTCTCTTTATGCTTCCATAGCAGAAGAAAAAATCCCTTTATACTTTAATACCTTGAATTCTAGAGAGTAAAGGAGAACTTGTTACCATTTTGGTCTTTTTTCTTTGTGGTCGGAGTACTTCTAGTGAAAACATTTCAAAATGAAAGTAATCATTCAATTGAAATGGAACAGAGAGACTAAAATAAAATGCTATTAGATAAGCTCCTTTATTCCAGGAAATATAGGCTCTCTATCATTTGAACCTGACTCTTACCTCTTCGTTTGCACCTTCTGTTGTGGCTTAAACTCCTCATACTTTCCCATCTGTGTGCTTTCAAAAAAATCTCTCCCCTTTGCTTCTGCTAATTTTTCACTTCATCCGGGTCCTAAGATCTTTAAGGTTTCTATTAAAAAAAAAAAAAAGAAACAAAACAAAAAAACCCGGCATTTCAGTTCAACTCTTCCCTGCTTCGATTGCTAACCCTTAGCAAACAAACCCCTGGTCTTCCTGCTCAGGTGACACATGTGGTCTCCTGTTGTTAGTGGGTTATTTTCATGTGTTGGTTCAAATCTTTGTATGCCTACCAGCTGTCCGGTGACAGTGCAAGCAGACCTTTCATATTCTCACTGCTGAGACTCAGAAGACCTGTAACCTGATAGAGACAGCCATTTGAAAATCCTTCCTATAATTCCATTCTACACATCAGTGTTTTTAGACTTTTGTCTTAGAAGAGCCTTGGTCACACTCCTGTGGAGTGACCAAATCCAGAGGAATGTTGCTTCAGACGTGTAAGTGCGACTTAATAAGGAATGCAGCATTCTTCCCCTTGAAGAATTAGTAAGTAACAGCGTTTTCCTTTACATGGGCTAGCCCATCCATTAAAAACAAATTGAAGAGGGTATAAAATCCATGCATTGACTTTTTTTTTTGTATTGACTTTCCAGTAACCATTTCTGAAACTATTAAGTCAACTATAGATATGTTTCTCTTTTTACTTCTGTGAACAGTTACTCAATACGGGTTTCTTTTAAGCCAGCTCTGTTTAAAAGTTTTTAGAAAGATGTTAATGGCCCACATGGTTGTGTTAGTTCTTTATGTTTTTCTTTTAAAATTCTAGGAATTAAAGCCACTCTTCTTGAAGGAAGTTGGCAGTCACTTTGATGATTTTGTGACCAATCTCATTGAAAAATCAGCATCATTAGACAATGGTGGCTGTGCTCTCACGACTTTTTCCATTCTTAAAGAAATGAAAAACAACCACAGAGCTAAGTAAGTATGTGTGTGACTTCTTTGAATGCAAACGACTGGGTCAGTGGTCAGAACATGGGCTGTAGTAGAAGTACCAGAGTTACACCCGGCCCATTTTACTAGTTGTGGTGTTGTGAAGGTTATGTAAGCAAGCACTTGAGGGGTGGTTCTTTCACCCTGATGTGTGGGATATGATAGGCGTGCATTCTTTCTAAGACAACTGTCTCATCAAGTAGTAGAGCCAAAACTTGGTTGAAGTTAAGTAGTAACTGCCTGCATGGGACATATTAGGAATCCGAAGTGCAAGGCACAGTAAGTGCTTGAACCCAGAGTTTGGCGCAGAGAAATGACCATGTTGAGTGTTAAAATTCACGTTTTTTTGTAATTAGAGCAAAAATATTTTTTCATGATTTTGTTGTTGTTGGAAAGGCAGATGTACATAGAGGAAAGACAGAAAGATATTCCTACCCACTGGTTCACTTCCCAAATGGCTGCAACAGCTGGAGCTGGGCCAATCCAACCTGGAAGCCAGGGGTTTCTTCAGGGTCTCCCATGTGGCTGCAGAGTCTCAAGGCTTTGGGCTGTCCTCCATTGCTTCCCCAGGCCACAAGCAGGGAGCTGAGCCAGCGCCCACATAAGATGCTGGTGCTTGAAGATGAACAATTAGCCTATTGAGCCATCACGCTGGCTCCCAGAACAAACTTTGAAGGTCAGGAAGCTAAAGGCAGGAGTTTTGGCTCAGCAAGTTAAGTTGCCACTTAAGAAACCAGTATCCTTTATCAGAGTGTTTGGTTTGAGGCCTGGCTCCTCCACATTACTGACCTTAACTCCCTGCAAATAGGCTTAGAGGCAACGGATGATGGCCCATGTATACAATCTGGGTGGAGTTTCTGGTTCCTGAATTGGGCCTGGCCCAGCCCCAGCTGTTGGGGCCCTTGGGAAAATGCACCAGTGGATGGATGAGCTCTGTTTCCCAGTCTCTGTGTTTCTCCCTCTCTATTCCTCTTATAAATAAATGTTAAGGGCCCGGCGCGGTGGCGCGGTGGCGCGGTGGCGCAAGTGGTTAAGGTCCTCGTCTTGCACGCCCAGGATCTCATATGGGCACCGGTTCTATTCCGGCAGCCCCACTTCCCATCCAGCTCCCTGCCTGTGGCTGGGAAAGCAGTTGAAGACGGCCCAAAGCTTTGGGACCCTATACCCATGTGGGAGACCCGGAAGAGGCTCCTGGCTTCGGATCGGCATAGCATTGGCTGTTGCGCTCACTTGGGGAGTGAATCATCGGACGGAAGATCTTCCTCTCTGTCTCTCCTCTCTGTATATCCGCCTTTCCAATAAAAAATAATAAAAATAAATCTTTTGTTAAAAAAAATAAATGTTAAAATAAGTCAGGAGGCTTCTGGAAATTATTGGTAATCCTTTGACATTAGAAAGGTATGAACCCCCAGTGGAATTTTGGAGGACAAGGCGTTCTAGCAACTGGCCTGGAACAGCAGGTGGCTGGAGTCCTGCACCTGACCTTGGGGACCCTCTAGGAGGAGGGATTGTGTTATCAATATGTAATGCAGGGAAAGAACTGTTCAATATGGGCTGGGTAGGTGGACCCCTGTATATGCTGCCTCAGTTATGTGCAGCGTCTCTTCCATACCATTAATAGCTGTGGGCTACATGATACATATCATAGTGTAGCTTGGGAAAAGCAAATGAAATAGCATGCATAAATTGTACAGAGAAAGGTAGTTTGTTAATGTTAGATATTGCAGTTGAGGATATGCTGTCTCTTGTTCATCCTATCCGTGGGACTGAAGCGCTTCATTTTGCTGTAATTTTGTTTCCTTCCAGAGACCTGAGAGCACCTCCAGAGCAGGGGAAGATTTTTATTGCAAGGCGATCACTCCTGGAGTGAGTATGCTTCTGTTGATGTTTGGTTTGAATTTCATGGGGAATAAAGGCTATTCTGGCTGTGGGAATCACTGCTTGGTATGTGACTGTGTAAGACTTGGTTCCATGTGCATATAAATCCTTAGTTTTTGTATTTATGCTTCTTACTGCATTTGTTCTGTCTTGCCACTTCTGATCTTCAGCTTCTGTGTCTAACTGCATCTAATTGTAAAGGAGGAATTAGGGATAAAAATGTTATTCCATGAAATTGTCGGCAGGCATTTGGTTACCCTCAGAGCTGGTTTCTTGGCTTAGTAAACATTTCAGGTTTGAGAGCTGCTGCCTTTCTGAATAGGTTCGTTAGTGTTAATGTTACTTAAAAGCTCTGTGTCTAGTGCTTTTAAAATAAAGTCCACAAAGTAAATCAATTGTGGTGACTTCATTTATGAACTTGTAAATTCCAGCTTGGAATTCTAGGTTTTGGGCTAGTGTATGTTGTATTAGCATATACGCTGTCACCAGCTTGCCGTTTGGGGAATGTGATTAATATTTCTTTCTTAGTGCTCTTTGAGTAGATTGTTCATTTTCATTTATTCATTAGAGTGCAACTGAAATTTGACCTGCATTGTTATAGATAATCTGACTCACTGGTGTAGGTGTCTTGAGGTACCTTCCTTTAAAAATGCACCTTGTAATTACTCACATTGATTTTTCCATGAATCAAGTTGATCTGTACTGCTTACCAATGCTTTGTGAGCATGTGTAAAATCACTTTTCAGTTTTACCACACCATTGCTTGAAGAAATCTTTTCAAGTTTGTGTCGGAGGAGATGGAGGCTTTACACACAAGAGGAAAAATAAAATAATCACATCATATTCTAATACAGGTTTTAGTAATAGAATAGTGCTATGTGGAAAAGAAACAAAACACTTTAATGAAAAAGATGTTAACCAAAGAAATGGAACACATTTTCCATGACTAGATGAGTTTTTATTAGAATTTGAAGAGCTTTATTCCAAGCATTTCATTTTATTTTAGATATCTCAAAAATGTTTTAGAAGGTTAGCATACCTCTTAAAAAAGGTTAAAATAGTTGTTTCAGAGAGATATGAATGGTATTGAGGAATTCACTTAGCAAGACATTGCTGTATTGTTAAAGAAAAGCAGACTGCTCAAAATCAGTGAGGAAAAAGTAAAAGCACTTGTACAAATAGCTCAGGTTCTATGGATGTGTAACATGCTGGTTACCAGGAAGATGCAGGGAACTTCTGTGACAACGGTAACATCTTGCCAGGAAACAGTACTTGGTATCCTGGCTATACTAGTTAGGTTTACAGAGTAGACTGTAAGAGTAGGGTTTTTTTCCTTTTTTTTATTAGCATATTATTATCATTTCACGTACAGCTCCATGGGCCCTGGCATTTTCCCTGCTGCCATCACTAATCCTGCCCTCCCCGCTCGAGTTCTCCATCATACATTTACTATACATCCCCTTAAATGAAAAGCCACAAAATAAAATTAACAACAGGAAGAAAAAATAGAAACTTACAACTCCATGAAGTTAAAGAACATGCTGCTGAATGACTAATGTGTGGCTGAAGAAATGAAAAAGCAAATAAGAACCTTCTTGAAGAAAATGATACTATTGTATAATCTGAGTCAGTGAATAATTTAATGAAAAAAGAAGTGTTTTGAAGAGATGAAACTAAAAACAGAAACATAAAAATTCATGGATACAATTTCCACTGGTCTTTGTTGGTGAGATGTCTTCTGTAGGCAACAAATAGATGGATTTTTTTTTTGTTTTTAATCCAGTCGGCTTAATCTATGATGTTTGATTGATGAATTTAAGCCATTTACATTCAAGGTTAATATAAATAGGTAGCAATTTATTCCTGTCATTCAGCAATGCGTTGCTCATTGATTTAGTCTTCTGTTGTTATCTTACTGGGATGTTCTTCCCATTTGCCTTTGGTTTGGTTTGGTGCTATTCCTCTTCTCTGTCAAGAGAACATCTTAAAGTATCATTTGTAGGGCAGGTTTGGAAGAGGCAAATTCTTTTACCTTTTCTTTACTATGAAAGAATTTTATTTCATTTTCAAAGACAAAAGAAAGCTTTGCTGGAAATGTTATCCTGGGCTGACAGTTTTTCACTTTTCGAATCTGGAATAAGTCACTCCATTCTCTTCTTGCCTGTAGAGTTTCTTGTGAGAGGTCTCGTGTGAGTTTAATTGGCATTCCTTTATATGTCAGTTGATTTTTTTCACGTGCACATTTAAGGATCTTTTGCTTATGTTCAATTGAAGAGAGCTTGATGATCATATGTCGTGGGGAAGATCGCTTTTGATCAAGCCTGTTGGGAGTTCTGTGTCCCTCCTGGATCTTGTTTCCCAATTCTTTCTCCAGATTAAGGAGATTTTCTTTTACTATTTCATTAAATACATGTTTAAATTCAGTTTCTCTTTCTGCACCTTTTGGGACTCCCATAACTCTTTTTTTTTTTTAAAGATTTATTTTTATTATTATTTTATTGGAAAGGCGGATATACACAGAGGAGAGACAGAGAGGAAGATCTTCCGTCCGATGATTCACTCCCCAAGTGAGCGCAACGGGTCGATGCTATGCCGATCTGAAGCCAGGAGCCTCTTCTGGGTCTCCCACATGGGTGCAGGGTCCCAAAGCTTTGGGCCATCCTCGACTGCTTTCCCAGGCCACAGGCAGGGAGCTGGATGGGAAGCGGGGCTGCCAGGATTAGAACCGGCACCCATATGGGATCCCGGGCGTGCAAGGCGAGGACCTTAACCACTGCGCCACCGCGCCGGGCCCTCCCATAATTCTTATATTTGGCCTCTTAAATAGTGTCTTTCAGTTCTTGAAGACTTTTTTTTAGCTTGACCGAGCTCTGCTTCAAGCTTTTTGTTTGTTTCTCCTTGGTGAAAGGAAATATCTTCCAATTCTGAGATTCTTTCTTTTGGCTCCTTCATTATATTCTGGAGACTCTCCACTAAATTTTTAATTTGCTCTATTACATCCTTCACTTCCAATAATTTGGCTTGATTTTGCTTCTTTGTTGCTATTTGCTGTGTGGTATATTCCTTAAATTCCTGCATGTGCTTCTCGTCATTGATAAGAAGTTTTATAACAAGTGTTTTGAATTCTGTGTCCCCCATTTTCTCAGTGTCTTCCTCAGTTAACTCTGAGGTTGGCAAAGGCTTTTGCTCCTTTGGCTGGGGAGTCTTTAGTAATATTCTTTGTGCCTTTGTCTCTTCTTTTGCTCTTTGTCATTGTTCTTCTGGTTAGCAGATTCTTCTCCTTAGGGCAGGTTTCCAAGCTGTGTCACCCACAGGTTGGCAATTCAGTTTTACTTATTGTGGTTGGCACATGGTTCTGTGTTTGCACTTACTTGTGCCACTCCCTCCAGCGAGTTCCAGGTCTGGTTTCTTCTGTTAGATTTCCACCATGGTCTCTGTAGCCCCAGATGCTGGCTCAGCACACTCCACGTCCTGTGGTCCTGCACTGTTGCACCATTGTCTGTTCAATGTTTCTGCTAAGATTAGGAAGACACCAGGTGTCCTGAATAGCTGGGTTGTTGGTGGTACTGATCTTGGTGGAACCTGCTGGCCTTTGGGTCTGAGGACCACACGGACCTATTTTGAGTTTTAAGATGTCAAAGTTAATATTACTTTCCATGTGGACCAGTGCAGTTACTGAGCTCAGTGAGTTTGTTCCCAGCTCAGCATATTCCCCCAGCTCACTGTTGTCCCTGCAGTCTCAAAGCCTTTGCCAAGCTGTACAAAATGGAGCTTAATGTGCCATTACTGGAGTTCTTGATCTGCTGTCGGTTAGGTCTAGGGGCTATTGGGACCTATTTTGGGTGTCACCTGCCACATTGTTGCAACTCACTGAGCCCAAAATGAGTTCATTCCCAGCTTAGCGCATGTGCAGTCCTGTCCCATAGCCATTGCCTCCTTACACAACATGGTGCCCAAATCAGCTCTAGAGGGGTTTGGGCTGTGATATCTACGCTGTTCCCATACCATCTGTGTGGGATCTGCTGCTCGATCTCTGTTCCTGGTGAAATGAAACAAACCAGCAGGATGAGCAGTTCTATGGGTTCACATCTGGAGTTCTCGGTGAATTCCCCTTCCCACCTGGTTGCTGATGGAGTTGAGGCTGCCACTTGCTGAATGCCACCAGTGTATCGGGCCACTGCAGCACCTGCTTTCCTGGGTCTGTCAGTCTCCAGGTGCCCCTCTGCTGTCAGTCTGTCCTCTCCTACTTCCTGGAATGTGCCCTCTCTGCTTCACACTGGCTAATGTTTCTCATCTGTTTAAATGTGCCCCACCATATTCTACCGTCTTGGTTCCCCTCAAGAATAGAATATTTTATAAAAAGGTTTATTTATGTTTGTTTGAAAGGCAGAGTTGCAGAGAGGTAAGGGAAGAGAGAGAGATCTAGCTACTGGTCCTCAGAAGGGGCTGCATTAGCTGAAGCTGGGCCAGTCTTAGCTGGTGACCTCGTGTTTCCTCCAGTTCTCTCACATGGGTGCAGAGTCCCAAGGATTTGGGCTGTCTTCCATTGCCTTCCCAAGCTACGAACAGGAGCTGAATCAGAAGTGGAGCATCTGGAACTTGAACCAGCACCCACATGGGATGCTGGCATAGCAGGTCATGCCACAGTGTCAGCGTTTTTGTTTTGATATAGCCAGCAACGAACACAGATCTTCTGTCCACTAATTCACTCCTTCCTCAAATATCCCTAACAGCTGCAGCTGGAATAGGCTGAGTTGATGAGCTTGGAACTGACTGGGTCGCACCATGTGAGTGAGTGACCAGGATCCAATACTGGAACCATCACCTCCCAGGACACACATTAGCAGGAAGCTTGAGTCAGGACAGAGTCCTGGGACTGGTGTGAGACCTGGGCACTCCATTTCTGACCTAGCTCCTGGTGAATGCGTCTGGGAAAGCAGTGGAAGATGGCCCAAATGGCTTTCCTCCTGTGTCCAGTTGGAAGACCTGGATGAAATTCCTGGCCCCTGTCTTCAGCCTGGCCCTGCCCTGGCAGGTGCAGCCATCTGAAGAGTGAACCATCAAATAAGAGTTCTGTCTTTTTCTCTGTGTAACTCTGCCTTTTAAATAAATCAATAAATCTTTAGAACAGAACTGGGACTCAATTCAGATCTTCTAATACAGAATTCCGACATTGCAGGCGGCATCTCGCACCAAACAGCAATGCTGGACAGGCCGAGGCAAGTAGCAAAACAAAACCTTGTGCATGTGAAGCAGTTTCTCTGTTTTCATTGAATATCTTTTTTGCTTGCATAGAAAATAGTTATTTGCAAGAAGGCAGACCATTTGTTGATACAAATGTTTGGTATTCATGCTGGTTTTCAGGAGGCAGTATTATTAGGAAAACAGTTAAACATCTATTAAAGTTTTTTAACTGTGGGCTTTTTTGTTTTCCTTTTTAAAATAAGATTTATTTATTATTATTGGAAAGTCAGATTTACAGAGAGAAGGAAAGACTGAGAGAAAGATTCTCTGTCCGCTGGTTCACATCCCAAGTGGCTGCAACAACAGCTAGAGCTGAGCTGATCCAAGCACTAGCCAGGAGCTTCTTCTGGGTCTTCCATGTGGGTACAGGGTACCAAGGCCCTGAGATGTCCACTACTGCTTTACCAGGCCACAAGCGGGGGGCTGGATGGGAAGTGGAACAGCCGGGACACGAACCAGCGTCCATATGGGATCCTGGCAGAAGCAAGGCGAGGCCTTTGGCCACTAGGCTACCAGACCCAGGCCCATACTGTGGTCTTTCTTACCATTTAATATATTTGTACTTCACAATTAATAGTATAGTGTTTTAAGGAATTTAAGTATGATCTACTAATTGGACCTGTTTGTGTTATCGTTACAGTGAGTTGTTTGAAGTGGACCACATCAGAACAATATACCACATGTTCATTGCCCTCCTCATTCTCTTTATCCTCAGCACGCTTGTAGTGGATTACATCGATGAAGGGAGGTAAGACGCTGATGCGTGGACATTTCTGAGTTCTCAGTACGTTTTGACAAAGAATACTTTGGTTAAACTTGCTTTAGACCATCCCAGAGCGACTCGTTTGAGAGTAATAGCCTTGCTAAAGAGGAAATTAGAAGTCTGCTTATTTTTGTTTTTAAAATAGTTCATTGTAATATCTAATTATTGTTTTCAAATTGGAACATTTGAACTTAAGATTGTGTGGTAATCAGACTGAATTATGTGCTTCTCGGAAATTAAAACTTGAAGTAATATTTTATTAATAGATCTTCAAATTTTAACTATTTGCCTCCTAAAAACCCTATTCTGCATGAAAGTAAAATAGTACAACCGCTATTTGGATAGATTTGGATTGGTTTGTGTTTAAAAAGATTGATGTGAGGATGTGTCTGAAGTTCATTGCTTTATTATTTTAGGTATTTTCATTTCAGTGGCAGTATTAAGACTTTTAGGAAAGTTGTTGTTGAGATATATTGTGAAACAGGGCTAAAAACAGGTCATTACCAAACCATTACGTCCAAGACATAAATGTACTAATGTTCCAGTGTTTGCTGAAGTTCAAAGTTTGGGGTTTGAACACTGGTGTTCCGTGAGCTCAGTGCACGTTGAAAACTCGGATCTCTGTGTTTCTCCTCCACAGGCTGGTGCTCGAGTTCAATCTCCTGTCTTATGCTTTTGGCAAATTTCCTACTGTGGTTTGGACCTGGTGGACCATGTTCCTGTCTACACTTTCCATTCCTTACTTCTTGTTTCAACATTGGGCCAATGGCTACGGCAAGAGTTCTCATCCACTGATCCATTCTCTCACGCATGGCTTTCTTTTCGTGGTCTTCCAGCTTGGAATTCTCGGGTTTGGGCCAACGTATGTTGTATTAGCATATACGCTGCCACCAGCTTCCCGTTTTATCATTATACTTGAGCAGGTAAGGTTGTGGATGCTACCCAGCAGAGTGCTAAGCCTCATGAAAATAGTGATGATGATGTACTAATGAGGCGGTTATTGTTGCCTGTATTGATTTGATAAATTTTTGGAGTTTTTTGGTTTTTTTTTTTTTTTTTAATGCTGTTCCTTGTAGAAGCAAAATCTTAAACTGAATTTTCTGCATGTAAGATTTTTTTGCTTCAGTGTTCTCTGAGTTATGGTAAATGAAATAAATTATTAATTTTAAAAGGTTTATTCATACTGGAAAGACAAAGTTAGAGAGAGACCTTTGGTCTGCTGATTCACTCTCCAGATGGCCACAGTGGCAGGAGTTGGGCTGGCCCATAGCTGGGAACTATGAGCTTTACCTAGGTCTCCTACATGAGTGCAGGAAGGTGCCCAAGGACTTGGGCCAGGCTCCACTGCTTTTCCAGGTCGTTAGCAGGGACCTGGATTGGAACTTGAGTAGCCTGGACTTGAACTGGCACCCGTAGGGGGTGCTAGAAACACAGGTCAAGCACCAAGCCAGCCCTTGAAATAAATTGAGCTGTTCTAGATGGGTTTTTTTTTCCAGACTACTGTTTGTTAAGGTAATCTAGATTGTAAATATTTTTCTAACTGAAGACTTTTTTTAAAGTGTCAAATTCATTGTTTTGTCATATATATTCCCACCTAAGTGTTTAATTTTAAGATTTATTTTTTATTATTTTGTTATTGGAAAGGCGGATATACAGAGAGGAGAGACAGAGAGGAAGATCTTCCATCCGATGATTCACTCCCCAAGTGAGCGCGACGGGTCGATACTATGCCGATCCGAAGCCAGGAGCCTCTTCCGGGTCTCCCACGTGGGTGCAGGTTCCCAAAGCCTTGGGCCGTCCTCCACTGCTTTCCCAGGCCACAAGCAGGGAGCTGGAAGGGAAGTGGGGCTGCCGGGATTAGAACCGGCGCCCATATGGGATCCCGGGCGTGCAAGGCGAGGACCTTTAACCACTTGCGCCACCGCGCCGGGCCCCTAAGTGTTTAATTTTATACCCTTGGAAGTTTTCTTTAGAATTTCTTTGTTTTTTCAAAGGTGGGCAGCTTGGGAGTTGGGGGAAGGTATATTCTTTCTGTTCTCCAAATGACCACAGTGGTTGACTCTGGCCAGGCTGAAACCATGATCTTGGGATTCCTTCTGGGTTTCCCACTTGGGTAGCAGGTGCCTAAGCAATTAGGCCATCTCCTGCTGCCTGTCCAGGCCATTAACAGGGAGCTGAATTGGAAGTGGAGCAGCTAAGACCTGGTGTGGCACTCCAGTATGGGAACCTGATGTTAGAATGGTCATTTAACACGTTGCATTGTGGTGCAAGCCCCCTGGGGTTTTCTGGCGTAAAAGCAAGGACCATTTTAAGAAACATTCTTTGAACAAATTTTTAATTTTTTTAGTGGAAGTAATTTTATGTTCTTAAGTGTTTTTTTTCATCCCTTAATTTGCTTTATTCCAAATGCAAAATTAAATGAACTTCTTGGTATGAATATGATCTTATGCTATTTAGGGCTACTTATGGAAGTTTTGATAGAAATGATAGAAAATTTACTTTTTCCCCTTCCTTTTATAGATTCGTATGATAATGAAAGCTCATTCATTTGTCAGAGAAAATGTACCTCGGGTACTAAATTCAGCCAAGGAGGAGTCAAGTATGTAATTCTGTTAGGCTAAAGATCTGTCAGCAAGCCTTTGATTTGTATGGGGATGTTACTTAGCATTCTGTAGAGATTTCTGATTTTAGATAGATGGAATCCATTTTGATTTGGAAGACTTATTTCACTATTTCTTAATTAATCCTGTTTTGTCTTTAGTCATATCTTTCCAGAAAATTAAATCTCTGTGCCTGCTTACTCTTTGCAAATTGTTGCTTCATGCTCTAAAAGTTGTCTCTTGCTCATGTTCAGTCAGGAGGGTCTTCGGATCTCAGAAGGAAGCAGTAGGAGCTCCGTGTTCTCTGCTTCCTTCTTCCTCTGTTTGGTTTTGCTGAGAGATGTTGAAGAGCCTCTGCCTGAGTGTCATTTCCTTTCCTAGGCACTGTTCCAATACCCACAGTCAACCAGTACTTGTACTTCTTGTTTGCCCCCACCCTCATCTACCGGGACAGCTACCCCAGGTAATGGCACTCGGAGGCCAGTGTGCGTCAGGTGCTCACGGGCTAGGGGTTTGGGCTCGGTTGAGGTCAGACCACAGGGCATGCAGGATGGGCTTTTACTTTTCTGTTGGCATTGAAAGCTTTAAATGGCAATGAGCAGTTCGATTTTATTATTGTAATTCTTAGCTGAATTATGTGACAGTGAATGATGCTACATGTGGAAAAATATTAATTGGGAGGGTCTATACGTTCAACTGTTTATTTAGGAAATTCGTTTTTTTTTCTTCCTTTTTTTTAGGACTCCCACCGTAAGATGGGGTTATGTTGCCATGCAGTTTGCACAGGTAAATATTTTTACCTGAGATGTATTGGTTTGGTGGGAAATTTCCATCTGGGGGTTTACTCCTTAAATGGCTATAAAACCTAAGGTTAGACCAGGCTCAAGAAGGAGCCAGAAGCTCCATGCAGTTTCCCCACTTGGTGGTTGGCATCCATGCACTCACCATCACATGCCACCTTCCCCTGTGCAGTTGCAGCAAAGCAGCCAGGACCCAAACTGGCACTCTAATGTGCAATACTGGCATCCCAGGCTGTGGACTAACCCGTGGTACCACAATGCTTACCGCTCCAGGCTTTTTTTGTTTTTGTTTTAAGATTTATGATAGAAAAGCATCAGCCCAACACACACACACACACACACACACACACACACACACACACACACACACACACACACACACACACACACACACACACACACACACACACACACACACACACACACACACACACACACACACACACACACACACACACACACACACACACACACACACACACACACACACACGTTTGATCTGCTGGTGTACTCCCTTAATGGCTGCCATAGCCACAGCTGGGCCAGGTTAAAGAGCAGGAACTTTATCTGGTGCTCCCACATAGGTGTCAGGGCCCAGGTACTTGGTCTGTCATTTGCTGCCTTCCAGCATATTAGCTGGAGACTGTCTGAAGTGGAGTAACTAGAACTAGAACTCTCCTGAGGGATGTGGCTGTCCCACACGGTGCTTAACTCACTGCACCATACTGCTGCCCCTCAGATTTCATTTTGAATTCTTGTCTAATCAAATATACATTTATGAAAGAAGTTCTTGATTTCTAAGTTTCATGTAGTGAGATAGCCAGATTCTAGGAGAATTTTAAAGTTACTTTATTTGAAAGGCAGAGTGACAGACAGGGATGTCTTAGTTGCTAGTTTGCGCCCCCAGCAGCTTCTACAGCAGTGTTGTTGGTGCAGACTGAAGCAGGAAGGCTGGAATTCCATCTAGGTCTCCAGGTGAGTGGCAAAGACTCTAGTGCATGAGGCGTTATTATTCTAAGTGGGAGCTTAACCTACTGAGCCACAGCACTAGCTCCAGAGTATGAGCTCTTAAAAATTTCATTTGAAACAAAAGGTCATTTAGTGGATTAGGAAAAGGTATAGAAGTCACTAGGCTGAGTAATATCCCTGAAGGATTATTGGGATCTTTTTCTTAAAAATTAGATTTCCTTGAAAGACATTTACATTCTAAATGCCCAAGCAGCCAGGGTTAGGTTAGGCCAAAGCCGGGGTCTGAGACTCTGTGAGTCACCCAAGTAGGTGGCGGGGCACAAGCATTCAAACCTTCTGTTGCCTTCTCCGTCGCATTAGCAGGTGGTAGATCTGAAGCGGAGTAGCCAGGACCTGAGAAGACAGCATTGGAAATGGCAGCTTAATTTACTGTATCACAACTATAGTACCCCAAGGGAAGTCTTCCTCATTACACAAAAGACCTGTACTATAGCAATCTCCTGTGCTTGTGTCAAACAACAATATATGGGTTAACATTAATGAAAAGGTTCCCTAGGGGGAAGAAATTGCTTTCCAGCTTGCCTTACGAAGCCATCATTGTTTTGTCTTCTGTTATGTTCCAGGTTTTTGGTTGCCTTTTTTATGTATACTACATCTTTGAACGGCTCTGTGCCCCATTGTTTCGGAACATCAAACAGGAACCTTTCAGCGCTCGTGTTCTGGTCCTGTGCATATTTAACTCCATTTTGCCAGGTAACATGGGTGCTTGTTCATTTGGTCATTTATAAACTCACAAACAAGAAGCTAATGCCTATCACTTTCCTGCTTTTTTTCTGTATTCATGTACACATCCATGTCCATGTTAATCTTTTTCCATTTGTGTCAGAAATGAAGCACCCTTCCAGTCTCACGCCAGTTTTCCCATTTGTCTTGTAATTTATTTATTTATAAAGATTTATTTACTTCCATTGGAAAGGTGGAAAGACAGAAAGTTCTTTCATGTGCTGGTTCATTCACTAAATGGCCACAGAGCTGAGCGTTTCCTGAGCCAGAAGCCAGGGGTTTCCTTGTGGGTGCAGGGTCCCAAGGCTTTGGGCCATCTTCCACTGTTTGGTCTTGCCACAAGCAGGGAGCTGGATGGGAAGTGGAGCAGCTTGGACATGAACCAGTACCCATATGGCATACTGGTGCTTACAAGGGAAGAATTAGCCAGTTGAGCCACTGCACCTTGGCCCAGGATGAACAGTATTTGTTTTATGTTAGAACTGATCTTTAACATTAGATATTGGAAAACAGGTTATAGATGGAGTGTCTTGGAATGAGGTTCAGTTTGGCTGGTGTTGGCAGTCCTGGGAGTAGACTTATTAGTGGTGAGTTTAGATGGTGTGTTCATCTTGCCGCTGCTCACATTTTAGGCCTGAGACAGACTGCCAGTGGCACAGCCCCTCCCCTTCCAGTTCTGACTGCCAGATACGTCACGGTTTTCAAATGTCCGTGGAGTGGGGAGGGACAAAATCTCTCCTGGTTTTGCACAGTTGGTTTAGAGAGCTGTATGTACACTGCATTTTGAAGTGCATTGGACACCACATTACGTCTATAAGATTGAGTCCACATTAAGTCTGTAAGATTTGTGCCTTTTAAAATAGCTCCCTTTTTAAAACTTCTTTAAACATTTTGCTAATATATAATTATGTAGCACGGTGGATTATTTTGAGAGATTATAGAGCTCCTAATATTTTTTATTTAAACAGTGAGCTTTGGGAATTGTATGTTATCTCAGGAGCGGGTGCGTGGGGGTGTTGGTCCACATTTCACGCAGCAGTCCTGGCTAAGCAGGCAACGACCTGTGTCTTGCTGTCGATGAGCTGCGTGGCAGTGACCCTGCCTGTTGCAATGTCGCTTCTCAGGTGTGCTCATCCTGTTCCTCACCTTCTTTGCCTTTTTGCACTGCTGGCTCAACGCCTTTGCCGAGATGCTGCGCTTCGGGGACAGGATGTTCTACAAGGTACTGTGCACCTGCAGCCAGCTTTCTTCTTCCTTCTACTTATCCATCATTAAGCATGTGAACATACTTGATTGTTTTACTAGATTTTGCACAAGAACATTGTGAAATGTTAATCGTTTTCTATAAATCCTGGGATTCTGATACAGATGTCATTATCTTGTCTTCTGCCTCTTGGGTTTGTTCACTTGGTATATAGCATATGGCTTCTGCCAGATCCTGTGAGGCTACTGGTGGTTTTACAAGGAAGGAATTTGTCTAGAGAGTATTATACTGTTTAAAGAAGAATATTAAGCAGCTCCTGCAATAAATTGTCATTGCTTTGTTTCAAAGGATACTTAATTCTGCTTAAAAAAGTTGTTCTTAAAAGTTGAGGTTGTACACTAAGCCTCACCAGAGATTTGTAGTGATGCTGGCTCAAGTTCCAGAGTGGTTTGTTCTTGCAGCAGCGCTCCGAGCCTCCTATTCTTTCTCAAAGGAGCGGTAGGAACAGGTTGCAGATTTTAGATATCTGACTCCAGTATTCACTCTTAGAATTGTGATCAAGAAGTATGTAAAGGGCTGCTGGACTCGGAGGTGGCTCCCATTCACTCCTTGGGTAGCTTATTAAATGTTGCCATTTAGGATGCCACCAAGAGGTTATTTGGTGTCAACAGTCTAACCTTTTTGACCTTAAGAAGATTCCTTCATTATTAACAGTATAAAGGGTGGAATGTTACTAGTGATTATTTAGACTAGATTTAAGTGATGTTGTTTAGTCTGTTTTCTGCAATAATTTAATAGTAAGACAAAAGTACACCAAGAATTTAATCATGTGGAGCACTAGAATAAAGTTGAATTGAACTCTAATAAGCAAAGTGCTGTCTTAGAAATGAATGTAATTATGTATGTATTTGAAAGCAGAGAGAGAGATCTTCCATCTGCCGATTCAGTTGCCAAATGCTGCCGAAACTGGGTCTGGGCCAGGGAAAAGCGAGCAGCCTGGAGCTCCTCCTAGGTCTCCCACTTGGGTGTTGGGTTCAAGCACTTGGGTCATGTAAGCTGTTTTTCCTTACCATTAGCAGGAAACTAGGTCAGAAGTGGAGCAGCTGGGACCTGAACTGGTGCTCATATGGGATGCTCTACAGGGAACAGGTTAATCTGCTGCATCCTAATGCTAGCCCCCTAATGCCTCAACTTAAGATTACTATATCACCAGCGTATGTACTAAACAGTTCATCACAGTGCACTATGGGTTCTGTGTTAAATGTGTATGTTCTTTGGGAATATTCAGGAGTTTGACTTCAGGTCGATATATTTTATACCTTTACTTTTTTCCTCAGGACTGGTGGAACTCCACATCCTATGCAAACTATTATAGGACCTGGAATGTGGTGGTCCATGACTGGCTATATTACTATGCTTACAAGGACTTGCTCTGGGTAAGCAGCAAGATTTAGTTGATGGTTATTGGTAGAGATTGGGCTCCAGAAAGGTTGAATGTTATGCAGCTTATAGAATTTACATGGCTCCAGTTAGTGACAAATGTCTGTGAACACTCTTTAGAAAAAAAGTAGAGTGTATTTAGACCAATAAGATGTGACATAAATTTTTTAAAATAATTTGAGAGGAGGAATGAAAAGGGAGAGAGAGAGAAGGAATATGCTCCCATTGGCTCCCATTGGTTTGACTACTTCCCAAATGCTCCTAACAGCCAGTGTGGGCCTAAGGAGCTCAGCTTCACTGCCTGCCAAGGAAGCTGACAGCAGTTTTGGATCTTGATCTTAGCCTTGAAGAGCTGAACACCAATCTAGGAAGTACTCCTGGCCAGCAGTAGAAGTACCGTGTTACTGTACCGTGAGGCCATCAGTAGGCCACGTGACACCACTTTGTGCACTTGAGTCCTGGTTCTGTCATTCACAGGAGCAGTGTATCCAGATGAGCACGCTCCTTTCTAACTCTGTTTCAGACAGGCTGCTTTCATTGTCCACGATAGTGTCAGCAGCATTCTGTGTCTGCATATATGAAAATGTGTTTTGTTAATCATAGTAATTAGATATAAGCTGTAAACATTTGTGGACATATGGAAATGTAAATATTTGTAGAAAAATCTGAGTCACTAGTCTGGAGTGCAGTAATATGGAGAGTAGTATTTTGTTTTTTAATCAATTTTTAAAAAATTTTATTTTTGATGATGTTTATGTAGTTGATCAAGATGTGAAGGGTTTAAGACAAGGGGAAAGTGGGTAAGATAATTGTTTACACATTTTCTTTTTCTTCTTCCTGTATCTGGGGGAGGGAGGGATAGAATGGGAGAGAACATACCCAGCCTCCCAACCATCCCAGTACCCAGGGATGGGGAATGGCCATCCAGTGTCACCCCAGGGTCTGCATTGCAGAGCATGTTCTGAGGGTTCTGCTCAAGTGGGTTTTGAGATGCTGTTGATATTGCCACTCCAAGGATGAGGAAATCCTTCCAATGTCAATTGGCTGACATAGTCCACCTCAAGAGTCTTCATTTGCCCAGACGTTTGCTGATAAGTTTTACCAGTGTAGTTGATGAATTTGTTCTGCCTTTCTTCCTCTGCAAACCAGTGAGTGCTGTGGCCCAACCCAGCCCAGCCCACCACACACGCAGCCCTCATGTACACCAGTGGGAGCTGCAGCCCAATCACAGCAACCTCTGGTAACCTCCACTGTACTGGCACCTAGCTCTGGTTCCTGTGCCTGCCAGCATGTGCAGTAGACTGGTCCAGTCAGTCCCGCATCCCATTGAGATCACTTATACATCTTTGGGCATTGAAGTCTAACTCATCCCAACTGACTCCACCCTCCAGCCCAAGCTCATGCCAGTGAGTGCTACCACCTGTCCAGCCAGGCCCCCCCACCCCAGTCCTGGTTCTCATGCTCACCAGTGGGAGTTGCAGCCCATCAGAAAGGAGCTCACAACCTCCCCACTGGACCCACTCCCTGCCCCAGATCTTGCACTCTCGAGGTGGTTCTGCAGTCTAGCTCAGCAGGACTTGCCCCAAGTCCCAGAACTTGCCAGCTGCTGCAGCAAAGCCCAGCCCGCCTGCCCATACTCTGGCTCATCCCTGAACCAGTGTATACAGTCAGTTAGCCCAGCCTGGCTCTCCCTGTAACCCTGTTCACCTATAGGCCAACAGGTGTTATAGTCTTGCCCAGGCTGGTCTGCTCCCAGTCCTAGTTCTCACCAGCAGGAGCAGTGGCACAGCAGGAGAGTTCCCAATACTCCCTTACCAAGCACCAAGCTCACACACTCCCCTCCCCCCTCCGGTGTCACATGTGCTGGAGATTGCTGCAGCTCAGTCTGGCGTGACCCATCTCACCTTGGCATTTGCCAGCAAATACTATAGCCTGGCCTGGCCTGACCTGCCTCTGTTCAAGCTCGTGCTGAGTGCTGCTGCCCAACCTGGCACAGTCAACCCCCAGGCCCAGCCCTAGTGTGAACTGGCTGATGATACAGCCAGAGCCAACCTGTCTTGCACCGCTTCCTGGGTCTCATCTGCCAGTAGATGTTATGAACTGGCCCAGCTTGGCCCATCCACAGACCTCCGCCACACATATGCCAGCAGGAACTGTAATCTGGCCTGGACTGGGCTGCTCCTAGCCTTGGTTCTTGTGCTCACCTGCATGGACTGCACCCTGACAAGAGTTCCCAAGCTCTTCTGTTGGGTCTCTTTGCAGTGACAGATCTCGCATATACCAGTGAGTCCTTGACCTGGACTGACTTAGTCCATCTCCTGTCCTGGCTGGAACAGTAGCCTTGCCCAGCTGGCCCATACCCAATTCGGTTCTTACTGTTAGGGTTACAGTTTAGCTACACCTAGTCCATGCCCAGACACAGCTCTTACTTGGCCCAGTGGGAGCCGAAACCTAACCTAGCCTGTTCTATACACACCTTGGCTTTCATGAGTACCAGTGGGTTCTAGAATTTAGCCCAGTCTGGTATACCTTAGACCCAGACCACCGCCATGCCAAGGGAGATTGCAGCCATATCCAGTCCAGACCGCCTCCCCCATTCTAGCCCTTGCGCTCACCAGTGGAAACCATAACCTAGCAAGGGTGTGCCCTTAGCTCCCCAAACAGGCCTGTTCCTGCCCATATCTTGCACCTGCCAGTGGTTGCTCTGACCCAGCTCTGCATAGCACATCCCCTGTCCTGACCTTTGCCATCAGATGCTACAACTTGGCCTGACCTGGTCCACCCCCAGTCCCAACTCCTGCTAGAGAGTGCTATATAGTCTGGCTGTGCCCAGTGCGCTCCCATCCCTGACTCGTGCAAATCGGTAGGAGTAATAGCCTAGCCAGGCATGTCCTACATTCTAGCCTGTCTCCTGCACTTGCCAGTGAACTGAGGTTTGCCTGGCTCTGCCTAGTTCACCCCCTTCTAAAACCAACCCACACACTTGCCAGTGGGTGGAGCTGCTCTGCCCTGTCTGACCAGCACCCAGACCTGGATCACATGCTCACCAGTGGGAGCTGCAACCCACCAGGGGAGTTTCCTAAGTTCCCCAAGTTCCCCTTCCAGGCCCACCCAAGTCCCTGATCTCACACATGCCAGTGAGTGCTGGGGCCGTCCTGGTCATAGGCTACCCCCTCCGGAACAGTCTATTTATGAATGTGGATGTTATGGCCCAACCCAACCCATACTCCTTGGATGTGCCTACAGGTGCCAACCCAGCCTGTACCCAACCCCAGTATCCATGAGTATTGGAGGGTTCCATGGTCATGCCTAGCTCAGCCTGTCACCATCCCCAGCTCCCAAGTAAACCAGCTTAACTTGCAGATCACAGGGGTGGGCATACAAATCCCCTGTAGGATCTGCCCCCAGACTCAGTTCTCTCACTTGCTGATTAGTGCCATGGCCCAGCCTAACATTTCCTGTCCCCTATTGTAACTCTCTCTGGCAAATAAAGTGATCTAGCCCTGCCAGGTAGACCCCCAGCCCCAGCTTTTGTGTGCAGCAGCGAGTGGTACTTGGTATTGGTCCATCCTAACTACCCCAGGTCTAGTCTCCCACAAGGGCCGATGCTTCGGTCTGACCCTTAGAGGTCCGTGTTTCTCCCTAAGTTTGTACCTCCTGGTGGCCTGAGGGCTTTGCTGGCCCCATTGGTGCCTGGGCCTCCAGCCCAAGCCTGGCCACCCAGGAGCCCGCCCTCAGGGCTAGTGAGAGTCATGTTTTCGAACTCTCGAACTTTTGCTATAAGAAGAGTTTGTGAGCATACATGTATTTTATAGTTAAATTAATAGATTTGAGTGAATCCCAGGGATAGACCAGAAAAATGAAACATAATAGGTATCTTTAGCATATGATAGTTATGTCCTAGTTTATGCTTTGCTACTTACATTTTTTCAAAAATGTTTTCCATTGATTTTAGTTTTTCACCAAGAGGTTCAAGTCTGCTGCCATGTTAGCAGTCTTCGCCTTGTCTGCCGTTGTGCATGAGTACGCCCTGGCCGTCTGTCTGAGCTATTTCTATCCAGTCCTTTTCGTGCTCTTCATGTTCTTTGGGAGTAAGTAACTTGTCATACTGTGAGTACTGCGAATTATGCTAAAGGAGAAAAACGGGCGAAGAAGCTATGAAATTAGCGTAGAACAATTATATTATAGAAATGCCATGTTGAGGCAGTGTTTGTCAGGAGGTCAGACTGCTGAGTGAATAGATGTTTAAACTTGGAAACAGGGATGCGAACCAGGTAACCCTGAACGTCTCGGCAGAACCATTGGTCTGGTATAGCATGGAGCCGTCTCTTAGCAACAACTGCCCGGTTCGTTAACACTGTCATATTACACCCTTAGAACGCTTGGAAAATGGACCGTTTTTTGAGTGGGACTAGTTAGGATTTGAATAATTACGTGAATAATTAGTTACTAATTAGTGCCTTTCAGGACTGAAGCCACATTGTTATTTGAAAGACTGGAGATCATAATAAAATGTGGACCTGAACAGTTGTTCATTGCGTGCTAAATGAGATCATGTGCTACAGAATCAAATTATGGAAATATTTTATTTGAAAAAGATTTAAAAAATTACACGAGTAGATCTCCACAGAAACCCTGCATATTCTGATGTTTTGATGACTATGAATATGTTTTTTCTTTCTCTAACTTTAGTGGCTTTCAACTTCATTGTCAATGATAGTCGGAAAAGGCCAATTTGGAACATTTTGGTGTGGGCTTCGCTGTTCTTGGGCCATGGAGTCATTCTGTGTCTTTACTCTCAAGAATGGTACGCACGCCAGCACTGTCCTCTGAAAAACGTGAGTCCCCAATCTGGAGGGCAAGAGGGACGTTGTGCCCCGAGTTGGAGGGTTGGCGGGCATCACTAAATAGGAAAGTCGCTTGTCGGCCTGATTGCAAGTCTGGAGTTCATTATTCAGTCTCACTGTGTGCTGTCTCGTCATATTGAGCTCTCCTAGGTCTCAGATTTTGGTCTTATTTTAATGTATTTTACTGTTCTGTCTTCAGCCTCTTCTACTTTGACTCATGTCTCCTGAAAACTTATGTCCTCTCCATGGTTTTCCCAATGATGTGTGTCCTTACCGTTATGACCTAAACATATATTACTGTATTTATCTCTTTCTTCCAAAATAGTAAACTCTTAGAAAGATGCCATAATGCTGACTTGCCTAGGATTGTATTTCCCTTGATTCTTTGTTAATAATTATGTTTGGGTTTCATGTGGCCGGAGCTGGGGTGACCTGAAGCCCAGAAGGAGGAGCTGCTGCCGGGTCTCCCCTGTGGGTACAGAGACCCAAGGATCTGGGCCATCTTCCGATCCTTTTCCAAGTGCATAGCAGGAGGCTGGATTAAAAGTGGAGCAGGGTCCAGTGCGATGGCTCAGTGCCTAAATCCTCTCCTTCTCTCTGTAAATCTTCCTTTTCAAGTAAAGCTTTTTTTTTTTTTTTTTTAAGGAAAACTGTTAGAAAACGAAAGTGGAGTGGGGGCCAGGATTTGAACTGGTGAACACATGGGTGCTGGCACTACCTGTGGCAGGTTTACCTATAAGCCACAGCCCTGGTCCTGGTTTCATTAATGCTTAGGCCTTTGGTTAGTAACTGTGTTAGTAACTGTCCTACTTGGAAATGGGAGCAGAGATGACCTTCTTGATGCATCTCCCTGGAGCGTTCTAAACACGTGTGACATCCAACCAGCTCCTCTCCCCAAGGTGGTTTCCTTCCTGTCCCCTATGTTGTTGTTGTTGTGCTGCTCTAACTCCTTTTTTCCTTGAGTCCCCTTTATACATCTGAACTCACTTCTCTGAACTCATCTCTGTCCCTGGCCATGCTTATGTCTGTGTAGTCAGGAGGGCTGCATGCCAATGCAAGCCTCTGATGACGGTGGGGAAGAGTCGAGGTCTGGAGGAAGGTGAGAGAGTTGAAGATATCCGTTTGTTTTTTTTCCTCCCATGTGCACAGGGGGAAGGAAGGCGCCCTCCTTGCTGTCACATTATATCAGCCCCCGGGGCTGGGAGACTGTCATTTGATGTCAGCCCAGAGAGCCCAATGTGGGGGAGAATGTCCTGAAGTTGGTACTTGAGTGTGGTCTTGATAATTCTGACACATCGTCAGCTTCGTTGCACCAGGGTTGAGAAAATATTTCTCGGGGTTGTTGCTTGCTCAGGTCTACTTCAGTGTATCCACAGGCTGAGACATTTGCTGCAAAGCCAGGAAAGGCATATTCGGGTTTCCCACATCAGATTGGATTTTCCTATCCAAATCCAGTTTGGATGTGTGTTTTCCATGAAACCTTTTCAAACTCTTACTCTTCTGCCCTATTTCTGAATCTTTATGTTATTTCATCTGCTCCTCCTTAAAACAGTTGGATAATTTAAAGTCTGTATTATGGTTATTTGTACATATATTATCCTTACCCTACCACCACTTAGATCTTAGGCAATTGAATGTATCTGTAATTGAAAACAATATACAGAAAGAAATGCTACCTGTTTGGAATTTGGTCAGAAATATTCAGTTGTCTAGAGTTTACTAGACTTAAGAACTTCTTGCAAAGCTTCCAAATTAAAGAATTCTGTGGTGTAGATAAAAGCATTGCAGCACTGAACATCTTTTGATTTACTGAATTTCTTCCTTCTTTCTCTTTTTTTCTTCCTTCCTTCCTTCCTTCCTTCCTTCCTTCCTTCCTTCCTTCCTTCCTTCCTTGTCTGTCTGTCTGTCTGTCTGTCTGTCTGTCTGTCTGTCTGTCTGAATTAAGTTCACTGACACACTCAGGGGCATTTTATAGCTGTGGCTCTAAAACTCCTTCCCTACCTCCACATCTTATGCACTGGATCTCACAAATAAATTAACTTCCCATTCTTTTTCCCCATAGCCCACGTTTCTGGATTATGTCCGACCGCGTTCCTGGACTTGTCGCTACGTGTTTTAGCAGCTGGGATGATGTTTCCTTCGTTGTCACTGAAGTTGGAGCATTCTGCCTGGTTTGGGGCCAACTGACTCCAGCTGCTACTGAAGTTACCTGTATTTTTTGGAACACTCCAGGCTTTCCTGATGGCTCTATTTCCAGGACACCAGAAGCTGTGCTATTCAGACATCCCTGAGGAAGACACTTCTTTATAGCGGGGAGGGAAAGTCTGCCGGCTTGAGCCTCAGTAAATGCAGTGTTTCGTTTCTTGACTCCGTCCAGCCAGGCTAAACCTCGAGTTTTCCTGGCTAATGAATTAGCCATCACACTTGTGAAGACATCATTTAAGCATCTGTGGCTTACAATTTCTTTCATAGATACTGTTTGGAGGAATATTAATTAAACATACAAAGAAGATAATGTAGAATAATTGTTTTTGCTATTTCTAGTAGAAGGATAAAATCTATTTTCCAAACGTAATCTTGTTATGTATTAACGTTTTATATTTTGTTTGGAAAAGTTCAGTTCTGCTCAAGTTTTAGCTTCTTCATACAGTATAGATGATAATTTTCATGCAGGACAAAGATGCCTTCCACTGTGGACTCTGTGCTTTCCCCCATTAATAATTCATCCTGACAGGACCAGAAGTGGGAAGGAAAAAATTTATCTCAGATTTTAAAGTTTTAAAGAAATATTTGCAGTGTCAACCATATTTTTAAATTATTTTATCATGAAACTTACATGGAAGATAATTTTTTAACCTTAAGAACACAGGGGTACTTTTGAAAGTTAGTGGAAACTAAAAGGTAAGTTACTTTTGGCAAAAATATTTTTGAAATCCACGCATATTCCAGATGTTCCGTGGAAGATGTCTGTTACGCAAGAATTATGTATGGATTTCACAAGTTTTTTTGTACCAGAAGTAGAACTTAACCTTTACTTCCATTTCCCATGAGTTTTTTGAAGTATTCCCATGGTCTCTGAAGTTTTGAAGTATCTTTGGGTACAGTTATTGTCTAATAAATACTTATCTTGAAGTCTTTTGCAGATTAATGCATTCGTCTGTAAGAGAAGTGTTAACTCACTCCATTACTACTGAAGTGATCATTAAGGACCAGAAGCTGGCTTCTGCATTTCCTCAGTTACTATGCTCATAATTTGAACAGAATTATATTTTTAGATGAACGATTAAAATGTGATCATTTTCAAAGAAATGTACTCTTACATGGCCTTTCACGTGCTAACATGTCCATCCCTGATACGAAGCGCTGTGCGGGAATCACTTTGTGTGTATGAAAACTGTATTTTCAACATAACGAGAAAGGTGGGTTCAAGATTAGGTCAGGGAAAGGCTTGAGCGGGACAGGATGTTTCGGTCTTTGTTTCTGTTACGGAGTGATCTAAGTTCACAGTCACGAGACTTTGTTCCCTCAGCGCAACACTTCATTGATAGACACAGTCGAGGAATTTTTAAAAATAGCTCTCATTTTCTCTTTTGTTTATAAGTAATTTTTCTGCCCAGGATTTCCAGGGATAGCACTGGGTCTGTATTGAACTGTAGATTGTTCAGAGAACACCGTCCTAAGATACTTTCAAAAACACATTAATTCATAAAGAAATGACCACTGCTTGTGAAAGAGACTCGTTTGCTAGCCATGACCTTCATGTCAGCTGATCGTAGCAAGTCTTTTTCTTTAAACTGCCACCCACACATTTTAAATAAAATGAGAAAATAAAAAGCTTCTTGCTGAAGTATTCAGGAAGATTCATTATTTTCTTACTTGCTAATGCGTGAAAATAACTAGTAATTTCCTTCCTGGCAGACAGTGATCATGGCCATTACTTTGGGTGTATTACCCAAGGGAACAGTGTGCTGGTAGGTGCAGTGTTGCGCTTTCTCAGTAGATCCTAAAAGCGTTTCCTATCCCTCTTGTGTTCAGGAGTAAATTTGTTAGACACTTTTATTTTTGATCCTGGATAATGAAACAAAATGGAGTTAGGCTTGTTGAATCACTGCAACACAGCTAGCTCCCTGGGTAACGCTGCTTGTCTCATGTTAGAATTCAACTAGAAAAGTGAAGCTGTATTTAACACATCAATAACCATAACATTTGAAAACCAAAAAAAAAAAAATGGGAAAAATATTTTGTCCTCTCAGTATTGCAAGGTACAATTAATATTGGCCAATTAAGAAAGTACAATGTAATAATTATCTTGGGAAGCACGGGTTATGTTGTACAATTCATTTTGTGTTTTCAGTAATTTTGAAATTACATTTGCCTGAAAGATTGAATCTTGAAGTCTTTAGAAAAAAAAAAATCATTTGCTTAAAAGAGGTTCATTTAGTCTACTTAGCTTAAGAAGATGTAATTTGCTAGTTGTTACATGGTCTTGACACGAAAAGTTTCAGCTCTGGATATAGGTATTTCAGGTAAATTCAGTTGATTTGGGGGTGAGACAGAGCGAGGGGCTGTTGAAAAATTAACGTGACTGCAATCATGCAGTGGCCCTGATAGTGTGACAGTTTCACTTTTCATAGACATTTTTGAGTCGTCTGCACTTAAGCCCAACTCGTGAAACGCACACTACAGCCACTTCCGAGTGAGATGAGGGTGGTGGGCTGGTGCTCGGTCCGCCCATCCAGCCCGCTCCACAACACCCACCCTGAGTGCAGCGGGAGGGCTGAGGGGGAGTTAAAGCTTCAGCACCGCCCGGTGTTGCCAGCAGATGTGGCATGGGCGGAGCTGAGTGGATTAGAGCCAGGGTTTTCATCTGTAAAGAGGACAGGAACTACCTCAGGATCCCTGGTGGAAACAGGGCCTCCGCTTTCTGAGCCTTGGCAACTTGGACACCTCAGCCCTGACTGCTGTCTTTAGGAAGCACGCACACTTTTATTTCACGCTGCACACACCCCCGAGTACACGCAGGATGTGTAAGGGCCTTCCCCAGTGGGCTGCCACCCACACCGGACCTTTGTAACAGGCTCGGTCACAGCGTGCAGTTTGATTTCCACCTTCCCCCATTCAGCGCTGTCTGCCTTACTGAGAGATGGCAAGCCTCTGGAAAAGAGATTCATTCCTGCTAAGATAAAGTGAGTTGTTCTGGACGAGAAGCTTGTGAGGCCTGAATTCTGCCAGGGTGAAGAATGCTTTCCGGGTTTTACGCATGGAACACTGTCCCTGTTGGTCATGAAGCACACGTGACTTGCTGACTAGCCTTGTGCACAGCGTCACATTTGCGTTAACACATGCTGACAAGGGTCTGTCTGCGTGTCTCAGCTCTGGGTTTCACTCCTACCATGGGTTTGAAATACCTTTCAGACAGACAGTTCCTGCCCTCCCCTGCCCCACATCCTTTAGAATGACAGTGTGAATTCCCGTGCACCTGCCAGGGAGGCTCTGCTGTGGGGATGGCGTTTGCCTCCGTGTTGCGGATCCATCCGTAGCGTTCGGGAGTAACGGTGCCTCGTGAAAACCCGAGGTGCTTTTCAGAAGGCTTTTCTGGAATGAAAGGATTTCCTGTCCTTTCCTCCTCCCTGCAGATCCTGGTACCATTACTTATTTCAGATCCATCGTGTTAGCATTACTTCTCAAAATTTTAAACTTTTAAATGGAAAAACACTGCATATGTAAAGAATATGTTCAATAAATATATTTGGAAAAAACAAACCGTATCTGTTTTTAAAATGTTCGTGGGCAGATGACAACACTTGGGATGCCCACTCCCCATGTCAGAGAGCCGGGGTTGGAGCTGGGGTTCAGCTTTGGGTTCCAGTGCCTGCTCACGTGCCCCGTGCGAGGAAGCAGGTGATGGCACAGGGCCTTGCTTCCTGATGCCCCACTCCGGCTCCCTGGCATCCTGGGATGAGTCCGTGGATGAGATGATCTTACAAGACAAGTGCTTAAATAACTTCTTCAAGTGTGTATTCAGTGTTACCTCAACTCTAGACTCATAAACGATAGGCTGAAAGTAGCCAGAAGGTGTAGCTAACAACCAGAGCCCTTTGTCCAGACCAGTGGAGGGGAGCCATGGTACAAAATACCAGCAAGTGGTGGCCCCAGTTGCAGGTGAAACAGAACGGTACTCCCCAGGACCAAGAGGGACCCGCTTGCAGTGGGCGCCAGTGGACTTCAGGTTTCCAATGAACTGTGTCGGCATGAATATGTGCTTTTTCAAGACAAGATGGAAAACCAGTTTTGGAGCAAGATAATGATGCTTCCCCTTTACTTTGGCTGGACTGTCCTGCAAAATTCAGATGCTGCCACTGTGTGAATATCCGGAGGTGGCACGTTTAGGTTGTCTGACACCCAGGAGGCAACCTTGAGGTCCTTAGCCAAGGCTTCTGGAGGGCACAGTTTGCCTTGAAGAGGGCTCACCAAACACCTGGGCATGCCAGCCTTGGACTGCAGAACTGTGAGATGTCAGGTGGGTTACAGATCAATTACGCAGTTCCAGTATCCCCTGAAAGTGGCACACGTGGACTGGGACGCCATGCTGCTTCCACATGAGACCATTCCGATGAGTGGAGTTGCTTACAGCGCTCCTGTCCAGCAGCCCGTGAAGCACCAGAGGACAGCCGCCTGTAGAAACAGGCCACGTCTGTTCCTTGGACCAGGGGACTGCAACCAGGAGCAAAGCCACAGGGAGCAGGATTTCTGCATCATTAAAAGCTTGAATGCTGTCCCTTTAGACTTAGAAGGTTTGCATTTGGACCCCAATTCACAAAGCACCTGACTCATTTGTAAAATGGGGACACCTGGGATCAACAAAACGATCCACTTGCTAATCCGCCACCTGCAAGCACTGGCGTCCCATATGGGCGCCGGTTTGTGTCCTGGCTGCTCCACTTTCTGTCCAGTTCCCTGCTTATGGCCTGGGAAATCAGAGGAATATGGCCTAAAAAGCCTTGGCACCCTGCTGCACTCAAGGTAGACCTAGAAGAAACTCCTGGCTTCAGATTGGCTCAGCTCCTGCCACTGCAGTCAACAATTGCAGTGGACAAGCAGATCTTTCTTCTAAATCTGTTTGCCCAAAAAGATTAAATCTTAAAAAAAAAAGCGGGGGGGGGGGGAGGGAGGGCTGCGGTATGCCTGTTCGTAGCTTCATTGTGACAAACTGCTTGTGGCATGGCTTCCTCCATGTGGGTGTCATTGGATTTACCGACTGTAGAAACCCAGTTTACTGTGAGAACAGAGATGGGTTTGTTCTGGCAGACTACGTCAGCATCACATGGTTGCATCCTGTGTCCTGAAGATAACACACGTGTCTCCTGCAGGCACACGCAACACCTAAAGTAACTGGAGGCATTCCGTTTCAGGGGTACCCTTTGTGGAAGCCGGAACCCACGTGGGAGACCCACAAGGAGCTCCTGGCTCCAGGCTGGATCAGTTGGGAAGTGAACCAAAAGATGGAAGATCTGTCTCTCTTGCCTTTGAAATAAAAATAAGCTTTTAACAATATCAATCCCATATATATAATGTACACATGAATGTATGTATAAATACATATACACACAAATAATAAAGGGTCTTTCAAAGTTGATGGACAATATCTATGAAAAAAAATTATGCATGGATTTCAACGCTTTCTGCGTTCCTTAATCTTTCTTGAAGGCATCTACTGTACTGGTACAAAAGAAAAGCCACTGGCAATAAGACCCAAGCTATTTCTTACAGACACTGAGACGCTGGGATTTCACAGGGATGCGTGATTTGGCATTAAATCTTCACCTTAAAACGAAATGGCCCCTAGGAGCACTGGGCGGAATCTCATTCCTTTGCAGCCAGAAGCCCGAGCGGCTTGCGGGGTCGGTCCAGCCTGCACAAAACAGACCAGCACGACTCCACCTTCCCTGGGCCCCCCAAACGCCAAGGCCGCCTACGCACCCGGAGGCCACGCTCTGCCTTCACGCTCAGTCTGGCTGTTAGCAAAGCCCATAAAATAAAAACAACAGCAAAAAGGCCCGAGAGCTGTGGAAACCGTACATGGCTTATGTCAGGTGGCGCAGCCAGGCCACAGGTCGTCCCCGAGGGCAGCCCCTGGCCTCGCTGGCGCCTGCGCACCGGCACCGGGACGCTTTTCGGGTCCTGTGACGGCAGCCCGAATAAACAATTTTCTTCTCTAATGTTCCCTCCGGAGCTTCAGCTGAGCCTTGAAATTCCCGGGGACCCCCGCCCTCCGCACGAGAAGGCAGTTGTGCGCAGGCACCGCCGCAGGCAGCCCCAGCGGCGGTCGCTAAGGCTCGGGGTCCTGGGTTTCTATGGCGACGCGCAGGCGTTCCGGGGAACGGCGAGGCTGCCCGGGGCCCGGCGGGAAACACGATTGGCGAGAGCTGATCGGAGGTGTGGCTTGCCCGACGCCGGCCCGGCCCCTGCCCGACCGGGGCGCGAGCGTGAGGGCGCCCCCTGCCGGCCGGGGAGCCAGGCCGCCCTTCCCGCCCGGCGGCCGAGGCCGGCCTCTGGTGACTGACTTGTTTTGTTGTGCAGGACGACGGCCGTCCTCCGTCCTGACTTGTCTGTTAAGTCCTCTTTCCGGGAGAGCATTTCAAAGTGCTGAAGGGTGACAGGAGGCGTTGCTGATGATGTCGCTCCCGAGAACGCCCCCCACCTCCTTAACCTCCGTGTCATCCCCGGAAGGGAGAAAGTTAAAACCGACTGTGGCCAAGGGGGAGACAGGAGGTGAGCTTCAAGATGCTACAGGCGCGGACGGTCCTGTCCACATCCATTCGAGCGACATGCTTGCAAGGCAGCGCCAGCCGGTCCCTGTGCTGGCTCACACCCCCAATGCCAGCACTAGCGGGGGGCTGGGTTAGGCCAAGCCTGCAGTTGCACACTCCATGTGTAGGGGGGTCGAGACCCAGCTCCGGGACCAACTCCTTGAGTGACAGCTCGAACTTGGACACAAGAGCAGAGCCAGGACTCAAACCCAGGCCTTCCGACACGGGGTCCTGCACCGAACAGCCACCCCCAGCTCCACCCTTTGAAACCCAAGCCCCTCAGCTGAGTGCAGCTAGTCTTACACAAGAAAGGAGCCTACTGAGCTTGGCGCTTGGTCGTCGTAGGCAGAGATGTCCCCCTTTCCACATCAAAGGGGACCGTGGGCAGACACGTGGCCTAGTGGGCGGATGCCTGTGCTGCCTAGCAGGTGCCTGGGCTGCCACTGCGGGTGTGGGGTTGAGATGCAGCAGGTGGCAGCTGAGGTGGTGGGTCCTTGCCTCTGGGTGGGAGACCTGGGTTGGGTGCTTGTCTCCTGGCTGTGGTCCAGGCCCGGCCGTGACCTGTCTGCGCCTGGGCAGCGAACCTGGGCTGGCTGTACACACCCTCTTTCTTTGCTTCTCGGGTGAGGCAAACAGCATTGACTGCTGTCATCATCACAGAGCACTCGGAGCCCGTGTCCGAGTGAACGTGGGCATGTGCGTGTCCGCAGCTGGGTGATGCACGCTGCTCGGAATGTTTCTCAGAAACACGTAGAGGGGCTTGGTGCGGCAGCCGAGAGCTCTCTCCAACTCCACGACAAAGCGACAGCTTTTCTTTCTCATTGCTTTGTCAGGCCTTCCTGAGCTCAGGGGGAAGAGGAGCATGCTGGGGCGTCCCAGCGCCCTGCCCGCAGGCCTCCACAACGAGTCCATCCCGGAGGAGGTGCTGCTGTCGCTGGCCTACGCGGCCGACGCTGGGCCCTGCCCTGAGTACTTACTGCCTCTGAAGAAGGGAAAAACCCCCAAGGTGCGTGGATGCGCGTGGATGCGCGTGGGGACGCCGTGTTTTGTTAGCCAGTTCACAGCTGCTCCTTGAGTGTATATCAGATAGTACGGGTGGCCCGAAAATCCTTTTGTTTTATTTTGTAAAAGATAAATATGTATGTGTACATATATATGTATGTATTTTTTAAACGGAAAGATTTACAGAGAGAGAAGGGAAGACAGAGAGAGGAGATCTGCCGACCACTGGTTCACTCCCCAAACGGCTGCGGCGGCTGGAGCTGGGCCAGGCTGAAGGCAGGAGTCTCTTTCAGGTTTTCCCACATGGTGCAGGGGCTCAAGGACTCGGGCCATCCTCCTCTGCTGGTGCCGAGTGGAGCAGCTGTGCCTTGCACAGGGGCCGTGGGAAGCTGGCACTGCGGGCACACGCAGTAGGCTCAGCAAGCCAGGCCCCTGCCAGTGCCTCTTGCTTTATCTTTACTTGAGAGACAGAGAGAGGCAGAGCACACTGCAACCCAGGGCTGCCGGTGAGTGGCAGGATCATTACCCGAGCTGTTAGCACTGCCTCCTGCCAGCGTGTATTGGCAGGAATTGGAGTCCTAAAGGCAGCAGGCGAGCCAGGCGCTCCGGGTGTTGCACAGGGTCTGGCCCAGGCATCTGTCTTCATGGGCACAGCTGTGACAGATTGTCTCCAAGACCTGAGTGTCTGCATTAACTTGCTTTTCCGTATATTTATCAAAATGACCATTATCCCGCCCTTAGCATTTTTGGTTCCCTATAGGGTTGTTCTAGTTTCAATCTCTCTCCAGTTCATAAGAAATTCTACACTTTTCCTGAGCATCCACGTGTTCTTAATGTGCCTGCCAGGCCAGCCAAGGGCAGATTGATTGGCCTGGAGCGCCCTCTGCTGGGCACCCATGTGTGTTTGTTTCCTCCTCAGGGCACACTTCCACGCCCTGTAGACCACGTCTGGCATCACCCTGTTCGAAGGGATAAATTCAGATACCTCATTGACCATCCCGTGTCCCTCACAGGAGCTGGAAGGTAAGGCAGGGAGATGGCGGGGTAGACGGAGGGCAGGACGGATGGTGAGGCGGGAAAGATCACAGACTCACAGAATGGTCCGGCTTGCAGTTTCTTGGATGAGCCAGAGCAGTCAGAGGGGGCAAAGGCTTCTGCACTGTGTGTGATTATCAATGGCAAGGGAATGCGTTCTGGCCGTATGTGAACTCGGCTTAAGTTTTGTTGTATGCTCTTGTCTTTGGCCCTGTGCCGTGGTCCTCCCTGTTGCAGTGTGCTAAGAGGGATGCGATTGTGCAGGTCAGAGGCCTGCCTCTTCCCTGGGTGCCTGACTGCAGGGCATCCTGAAGCAAAGGGCAAGCGAGTGTGGGCTCAGCAAGTGGGGACCTGGGGCAGCAAATGCGTCATTCCTTGCCTTCTTCCAAGGGCACCCCTCACCTCTGCACTGTCTCGTTCCGACTAGCAATGGTTTGTTTTTTACTTTGTCCCTCAAAGCATTTATCAAAGTGAACATTTTTCATGAGAGGACTGCAGCCTGCTCGTCTTGCCAGTATTTTTCACAGCTCCCTCTAAGCCCCTCGCTCGGCTCTCTCTAAGCCCCTCGCTCTGCTCTCTCTAAGCCCCTTGCTCAGGTATTGTTTGCTCTGGACGGCGTGTCATTGCTCACCCTCCGTTGCGAGGTACTCTAGCTGCTCCGAAGTTCCATTTTCTCATCTGTAAGAAAGACGAGATGCACCTGCTAAACTCTCTGTGTCTCCCGGGGACGTTGTGAAGCACAAATCAAAGGGTGGATCCTAGCGCACTCCCTGCTAAGAACAAGGTGTCGTCACTAGGCGTGCGTGAGGGCTGCAGAGAGTGACAGAAACTCGGCCTGTTAACTTGCTGTCTGGGAGCTGGAGTGTCGGAACTCATCTGATGCCTTCAGGTCATGATTACAAGTATTCGTAGTAATAATTAGTCGTTACTCTGAAAAATCAATCATCTGTGTCTGAGTAAGAGAGTAAGTTGACAAAGTTTTCACGTCAAATGGCTTCTGAGCTGGAATTGAAGATCTGGTAGATAGGGCAATGTCCTCCCAAGCCGTGCCGCCCTGCATGGCCTCCCTGTGTCCTGGGATGTAGCAACGCCGCACTAGAGTCTTGGCAAATATGCCGAAGACGAGAGGACTGGAGATGGAGCGATGACTCTGAAATCAGGCTGGCCCCATCCTCTCACTGTGTACCGGTGGAAATGGAAGGCAGTGGAACGAATCAAGGGGTGAGATGGATGGGAGGGCTGTTGATCTGAAGCGTGTGGGAGCTGAGCCTGCCACTGCTGGCTTTGAAGACGGGGAAGTGGGAGGAGGTGCAGGGGACAAGCCGGGAAATGGAGTCGGCTGCAGGAAACCGGGACTTCTGATGGCAGCTCGGCCCAGAGCTGTCAAGCAAACAGGAACCTCGGTTCATCGATGGTCGGGAACTGAATTCTGTCAGGCCAGGTGGTCACAGAACGGAAACACGACCCCACCCCTACCTTGACCTTAGTCCCATGAGACCTTGCATCTGACTTTGACCCTCAGAACCGTAAGATAATGAATTTGAGCAAAGCTTATGGTGACTTATTAGGGCACCAGTGGAAAACTAATATACAAATGAACAACTAATCTTATATGTAGTCCAAAATAGCTTGTCCGGCAACCACGGATAGCCAGAGCACGGCGGCATAAAGAACAGCAGTGTTGGAGCGAATCCTTCGCCTTTGATGCCAGCATCCCACATGGATGCCGGTTCTAGCCCCAGCTGCTGCACTTCCGATGCAGACTGCAGGGTGGGTGGGTGGGTTCTGGAGTGCCCGTTGCTGTGTCAGCACTGTGGTGAAGTCACAGCAGGGCAGATGGCCTCTGCCTTGCTCCCACCCCCCACATCTTGCAAGGCAGACTGCTCTGCAGGCTCAGCCCACAGCCAGACCCCAGCGGCAAGGGTGTCTGTGAAGAGCTCTCCTGCATCCCCTGGCCACAGCAGGTGCCCTGCACACGCAGCTCTCCCGTGTGCGACACGGCGGCAAGGCTTAGAGACACAGCCAGAACACCTCCACAAAGCTCGCCCTAAGCTACATCACCAGAACTACCGAGAAAACACACTGCTATATTTACTGCATTGAAGAAGGCTACATGTTTGAAATACAGTTTAAAAAGACGATTGCTTAGAAAAAGGATATTTCAGGTATGCAGAAAATTGGTAGCTTTGAAATTTCAAGTTCCCGGGCCCGGCGGCGTGGCCTAGTGGCTAAAGTCCTCGCCTTGAGCTTCATCTGGGTCTCCCGTGTGGGTGCAGGGGCCCAAGCACTTGAGCCATCCTTTGCTGCACATTAGCAGGAAACTGGGTTAGCAGTGGAGCAGCCGGGACTTGAACTGGCTCGCAGACGGGCTGCTGGCGCTGTGGACAGCAGCTAGACTCACTGCACCACAGTGCCAGTTCGTCTTTTTGTTTCTTCTGGAACCTTCTTCTGAAACTTCTGATTGTTTTACAGTGGTTGGGGACTGTGCCTTTCAGGGCCGGGGAGGAGATGTGTGTGAACAGTCCTCTGTCCCTTTCATCTGGCACCTTTGTGACATCCAATGTTTGCTGAATAGAGTAATGACTTTTAGGCACTTTTTGTGGCTGGGTAACTTATACCATGTTTTAAAGCAGCACCGTATGCAGTCGCTAAAATATGAGATCATCCAAGGTGCCCATCATATGAATGGATAAAAAAATTTGGTTAATAATATTATTATATTAATAATCATAATATTAATCATAACATTAATTATTAATATTTATGATTAATATTAATATTAATTGATTAATATTAATTAATCATTAATTAATTTATAATGATTAATATTAATTAATCATTAATTAATATTAATGATATTAATATTAATATTAATATCATAACAATAATTATTAATATTATGATTCACTTCTAAAAAATAACCAAATCAGGCTGGCATTGTGACGCAATGGGTTATATCATGCAAATCCAGCATTCTGCAGGAGCTCCGGTTCAGATCCTGGCTACTCTGTTTCCGATCCAGCGCCCTGCTGATGCGCCTTGGAAAGCAGCAGATGGCGGCCCAGGTGCCTGGGTTGCTGCCGTCCGTGTGGGAGACCTGGAAGAAGCTCGTGGCTCCTGGCTCCGGTCTGGCCTTGCCCTGGCTGCTGCTCCCATTTGTGGACTGAATCAGCAGCTGTTAGATTGATTTCTCTCTCTTTCTCCCTTTTTAAGCTCTGTCTCTAACATTCTGTTTTTCAAAAACATAAATGTTTTTTTAAGTGGTGGAATTCTGTCATTGGCCGCAACATAATCGAAATTGGAGTAAATCATGTTGAGTGAAATAAACAGACACAAATATTGCACTTTCTCTCCTATATGTGGGATAGAGATATTCTTTTGAAATATCTATATTCTTTTTTTTTAGTTGAAAAATATCTAAGTATTTTGGTTTTCCTGCAAATCCAGTGTTCTTTCAAATTTCATTTTAAGTACCTGTCAAAGTGTTAGGAATTATTTTCTGCTACATTTTAATGATATTGTGACTATTTTAAAATTTTATGAGTCAAGTTGAGCATCTTTGCCTTTAATTTTTATATATATAGTCCTTGTCCGTTTTCATGCTAGACTGTGGTCTTTAAACTCTCATTTGTTGAACTCTTTGTGTGGTGGTAAGCCTTTACTATAATGTAAGTTTAAAATGGTATCTGAGAAAATAATAAGTAAAATATTTTTTGAAGATAAAAAAGGGAGGAAGTCAAACTAAAAGAAATTCAGTCTTGGGAAGATTATATTTTGGCCCGGCTTAGACCTATTGCCCGGACCATGGCTACTAGGGGACTTGTGTGTTCTTTACTTTGTTTTATACAACTTCCTTTCAATAATTTCAGACTTACAGAAATGTTCTAGAAGTAGCAGTTAGACTGTACTGCCTTTTCCAGCACTGACATCTTACATGATCACTGCAATTCATGAAAAATAAGAAATTAGTATTGATACAATGCTTTTAGCTGCTCCATATTGGAATGCCTTTTAGCTTCCCACTTATGGAAACTTTTTTTTTTTTTTTGGTAGTCCTACAAGGAAAAGCAGGGTATTCTGATTCTAAAGTAGAGTAAATAGATTAGACGGCAAAATCAACAATACCGATGGCAGGCAGAAAGCATCGTGTTTAGGAGAGCGGGTACTCCAGAGTAAGGATGCAGGAGCCTGCATCAGACCAGGGTTGACCTTCAAACTCAGTGTCAGGACAGAAACATCTGAGAATTGTGCACAAAAAGTGTCATGTTTAAAACCGCCATATGGAGGTAAATCCACCAGTGGATGGAATACGTTAAAGAGGCTCGAGTTTTCACATGGAAGTGTAGTGACAACTTGGCCATTGGCAAGAGACAAGAAGACCGACTGCTACGATGGTTGGCAGATGACTATAAAGTTCATGTTAACGACAGGGTATTACAGGTGAAGAGTGGGAATTGTCCCATTAAGGATGCTGCGATTTTGATGAGAGGATGTGTGGTGTTGTGACAGCTCAGGCAATAAAGAATGGTGACGGGAAGGCTAGAGCTCCTGAAACATTTCCAAGATGTGTCCATAACCTCGAGTTCTTCAAAGACCTAAGATTCTCAGGAAGGCTCAGGGATGTGAGCGACAGTCCTTATTGCAAGTCCGATCGCATTTCAGGACAAGAGCTTGCTTTTCCTTTATAGCTCGAGCAACAAGCTGCTTGCCCCACCTTGGTTTCTGTGCGTGGAAGTGGAAGCATCTGTTTGCCTAGTTCAGTTGTTCACTGCGACACAGGATGGCTCTCTTCCTGATGGGGTAGTTGAGAGCGCACAATACCCGTTCTGTTCTTGCACCACTGCAGTTGGCGGGGTAATTTGTATTGTGCACTGATGTAAGCCTGGTTGATTGATCCATATGTGCTAGTGCTCTTAGTTGATTGGATAATCGTCATTGCTTAAAAACCCCTGAGCACAGCTGACTGGGCGCACTCCCATCTTCCCCTTGCAGGGGTGTGGGACAGGCCTCTGGTCAGTACTGGCTGGTGAATAAGGACTCCTGAGCTCCAGAAAGGTTGCCTTTGACTCGTTTCTGATAGATTTGGTCAAATCACAACAGTGTTAACAGAATCAGTAAAGATAGGAGAGTGAAAAAGTAGAATGGGAGAATTCCTGTGTGCCTAGAGCTAACAACTGTAAGGTTGGATTCAGTGGTGTCACCGAAGGAGAGAATGCCAGGAAGGGTGAGGGGGACAGAACCTTTGCAGCATTTCTGTCTAGAAGCAGGAGAGCACGTCAGTGTCCCAGAAGAAGTAGCCAAAGAGGGAAGGGGCTAGTGTTGTGGTGTAGTGGGTTAAGCCACCGCTTACAGTGCTGGCGTCACAGAGTGCCAGTCAGACAGTGGGTGGAAGATACTCTTTTTTTCTCTCTCTTTTTCTTTGTCACCTTGATCTTTAGCAACTGAAGAACCAGGGGAGTCCTGTAAGAGAGAATAGGAAGATAGGAAAGATAGGGTTTATAGAGAGATCAACTAGCGGGGGCGGTGGGCAGAGGGAGGCAGCCAAGTAGTGTAACTGTTAAAATGCTGCCCGGGACCCCAGTTTGTGAACCTTACACACTCCTGCATTGCTTCTGGGCAGAAAATTTATCTTGCAAATGTGTATTCCTGTCTTCCAGGGACATTTCTTTTCTGTATGATATTAAACACGCGGAAGGCAAGGTGCAGGAGAATGCACTTTGCCCCCCGGTTCAGGACCGGTCACCACCATCCCATGATGGCGTCATTGTGCCCCATAAGGTAAAGGATTCCACAAAGCACCTTCTCTCTCTCTCTCTGCATCTCAAAGATTACGTCACCAAATAGGAAGCAATCTCATACTGTCAGGACAGCAGTGTGCTCATCAGTTATTTCTGAGAGCAATTGATAGGAAAAGTTCAAATATATATATATATATTTTTTTTTCAAAGAGTCAATTATTTTTATTGGAAAGACAGATTTGCAGAGAGGAGGAGAGATAGAGATCTTCCATCCGCTGGTTCATTCTCCAAGTGGCCAAAACGGCTGGAGCTGAGCCGATCCGAAGCCAGGGGCCAGGAGCTTCTTCTGGGTCTCCCATGCAGGTGCAGGGTCCCAAGGCTTTAGGCCATGGTTGACTGCTTTCCCAGGCCATAGGCAGGGAACTGGATGGGAAGTGGAGCAGCTGGGACCTGAGCTGGCACCCATATGGGATGCTGGTGTTTGCAAGGCGAGGATTTAGTCATTGATCTACCATGCCAGGCCCAAGTTAAAAGATATTGTAAGTCAGTTTCCAAACTACACTACATCTCTCGTCTAGAAAATGTAGTATGAAAGATAAATAATTTTTTCACTTCCAGAAATCCATATATCAAATTATAGATTTATTATCATTGGTATCTTTTAAAATTTAATTTTACATTTCCAACCGAATTTCCAGAAAAAAAAAAACGCGTTTCTGAATGTAACACCCTCTGTGTCTGCATGGTTTGCACCCTTGGATCAGAAATAGGAAAAAAAAATGGCAAACGTGCACGTCTTTCCCCCGGTGGCTCCCTACACAGTGCATGGCGTCATTACTGTTCACACGCTACTTGTGCTGTGTTGGCTGTTGTAAGTAGTCTAGAGATGATTCAGAGCAGCTGGGAGGATTCGTAAAGGTTACGTCTCAATAGGATGCTGTGTTATCTAAGGGGCTGGAGCATCTGTGCAGGAGTTCCACCCTGTGGATATTGAGAAATAACAAAAACAAAGCTGTTCTCTAATTCATGGGCTGTGTGTAAATGTTTTTGTCATTTTCGATGACCCACATTCCTAATATTGTCATTTCTCTGATCAAAATCTCTTAAGAAAGAGTATCCTTTTGGGATAGGAGTCAGAATTTCTGCAACTCATTTCTTCCGTTCCTGTATTCATCCTCCCCTGCTTCTTCCTTGCTTGCTTTGTTTTCCAGCCAAAGACCCTAATGGATACTTTGGTTCCTGAAGAATTCCATATTGTGTCAAGCACAGGAGTCTCAGGTTTGGAGTGTTACGATGAGTGAGTACAGTGTTGCATATTGACTGTCTGCCAAGTTGAACTGCTTCCTTTCTCCCAGTCACCGAGCCTTGGAAGATGCCCTCAAGTTCCCAGACAACGAGGAAACATCTGGGCGAGCCACTCTGACACTCTAAGACATACGGATTTTTTTAAACTATGAAGGATTTCTAAATGTTTGGGATTAGTGATTTCAGTTGTTTTGTCTCATTTCCTGCTATTTAGTTTTGATTTTTTTTTTAAATGGAACTTTATTCTGAATGCTTGCCCGTGACCTTCAGGAATGGCTTTGAGCAATGGCCAATGAGCGCAGACGTCATACTGGTCAGAACTGGAGCGCACCTGTGAGGGTCTGGCTGCAGATTGCAGCGTGGTCAGTCCTCTTTCCTTCCTAGGGATGGGACTGCACATGAACCGGCCTTGGTTTTCTAAAACAACATATGTGAATGTTTCTAGTGTTTTTTTTTTTAAGCTAAAGCTTTGAACTTTACAGTGTCTGTAATAGTCAGACACTATTGCCCTTTTGAGCTTACTCAGCCCGTATGTTGACATTTCTTTGTGATGGTGAATTTCAGAATAATATTTGTCAAAGAACGTCATATGGAATTCGTTTTTTTTTGGGGGGGGGTGACTTTTCATTTGTATATAATTTTAAACTTAACAAAAAAAAGTTACAAAAGAGGACAAGATACCCCTGTGAAGGCCTTCTGTCTTAACTCACTGGGTTTCTGCATTTTGTCTCTCTCTCCTTTTTTAAGATTCATTTTATTCATTTGAAAGGCAAAGTCACAGTGGGAGAGGCAGAGACAGGGAGAACTTCTATCAGCTGTTCACTCCCCAACAGCCAAGCCTGGGCCAGGCAGCTAGGACAGCTAGGAGCCAGGAGCTCCTTGTGGCTCTCCCATGTGGGTACATGGGTGCAGCAATTCAGGCCATCTCTCACTACTCTCCCAGGCATGTTAGCAGGGAGCTGGGTCAGGAGTGGAGCAACTGGAACTTGAAGTGGTACCCATTTGGGATGCCAACACTGCAGGCAGCAGCTTAACCTACTGTGGCGCGTTGCCAGCACCCGCCTCACACACATTTTAAAAGTGTTCAAGAGTAGACTGAGACATTCTGGACCTTTACTACCAAATGCGTTCATCTATATCTAACTAGTTACATATCTCCAGATGATTTTTAGCTTTATCATTTCTTTGATATTTATTGGTTGCCATTTCACCAGCTAGACACATAGATTTCTATTCTGTTTGATGGATTTTGGTTCTTTATCACCATAATTTACTTTTCATAGACTTAAGTCCTCCATTTGAGATGATTTCTTCTATTTTTAAAATATTTATTTATTTGAATGTTAAAGTTACAGAAAGAGAGGACGAAACAGAGAGATCTTCCAATCTCTGATTCACTGCCCAGATGGCTGCAGTGGCCATAGTCAGAAGCTTCAGCCATGTCTCCCACTTGTGTGGCAGGGTCATCTTCCACTGCTCTCGGGGGTCCCTCTAGTGGGGACTGTGCCTAGAAGAATCTGGGACGTAGTGGATGCAAAGGCAAGACAAACCAATGCACCCTTCATTGAGTTATACTAGGCAATTTATACCATAATTTTTGCAGGACAAGCAGGTGAATGAAAGTTAGTAGTTAACTAAACAATAGCATGCAAGCTACTCTAACAATAGGTCACAAGGAATTTGGAAAACAACCTCTAGGTCTCAGGCAATGGGATAAGGAAACATGAGTTACAGGAACCAATACCGGTAAACAAACAGATGCAACTAGAAAAGGAACCTAACAGGACTTTGTACTCAGATATGTTGAGACCACAATCACTAAAAAAATAAATAAATAAATAAATAAATGATATGGATGCCATTGTCACGGGTGGCGGCCTTCCCCACTGTGCCACAATGCTGATCCTCCAGTATTTATTTTGATGTGCCATTTTCCCCTGGCTTAGCCAATGTCAGTTTCTTTGAACTGGCTATCATATTCTTTGGATTTGTCCCTATCAATATTCAATATTCAGTATTTCAAGACTTCTGTAGTTTGTGCCTCTTTAGGATTTCTGTATTGAGCTGTGTTTCCCAACTCTAGTCATTGAATCACGGCCAGAGATATAGGTTCTGGTCCCAGTCACACACTCATTTTATTTTCCACACAACATCTTAAAACTGTATTTTGACTCTTTGCCCTCGAGATGTTCATTGATCTAGATGCTGAAAACTGATCTTGCTAACCAACTATTGACGTGTAGGGCAAAAATCAGAGGCAGTGCTTATGAACTACTGGAGTGTCGAGCCACAAATAATAGTAAATCTGCAGGGTCGCCATGTGACTGGAGGCAGCTTTGCTTACTCGGGCACAAACAGAGCATTCAGAAGACACTGGGACTGGGGTCTTGTTGGGTCTGTTCTTCTTACGCATTTATCCCATGATCAGTTACTTTCAAATCTTCAGTGTTCTTAAAACATCCTTCCACCTCTGAAAAGTTAGGTTTAAACTTAAGAAATGAATCAAGAAGTTTCCACAGTTTGGCATTTTGAGTAATGCGATTGGTTTCTATGACCAAAAAGGTCCACTCTATGACATGTCGTTTTATTTTTGTCAGTAGGTGTCTGTGAATATTCAGGAAGCGTCTTGCGTGCGCATGTCAGGTCTTTGGCATTGCCTACAAAGCTTAAGTTTATTATGCTATGACATTTTCCAGTTCCAGTGCTGGAATGAGCCACGACTCACTGCTTTCCAGGGGATAATGATTCCTTGTGGTGGAGAATGGCCCTTAGACACCAAGGTGCTGACTGCTGTGTGTACTGATTGATGAACAGGATTGACAATGTCCTGCAAATGACACATGTCTGTCTTATTTTACAGCAAATACACCACTCTCCTTACTGATAGTGAAAACAGGCTGTTGCTCTTCCCATCCATGTAAGTAGAGCCGATTTTCTAACATGTCTGTTAACAATCACCACGTAAATGCTACTCAAGACAATACTGCCCAAGTGCAGGATCGAACCCGTGGTTTCGTTTATCATTTGGATTGCATATTTAATCTTTACATGTTGCATTTGTTCAATTCCATATGTGATTTCACCTGTTAACATTATGTTGTATGATATTTAAGAACTATAAAATACATTATTTAATTGCTTATTTGAGAGGTAGATAGACAAGAGAAATATGAAGAGAGACATATATCCTTTCTGATGGCTTCTTCTTCAAATGCCTGCAGTGGCTGGGCTGAATCCAGGTCTGCCACGATTGTTGTATGCATTTTATCATTTTTTCTACTGTTACTGATATCCCACTAGAACCACAGAAGCAAAGGTGATGCTGTTCAAATATTCCACAATATATACGTTTTCTTTGTATGCTCTGTATTCTTCTGTCATTTGAGGATGATCTGTTACACTAATTACATGAATCTGCCACCTTAATTTTAGGAAACCAAATAAAAGAGTAGAAGTGGTCCAGCTCAGTGATGTGATGGACGCTATGTTGGAGAGGGCTACTGTGGAAAACCAAGAGTATGCAGGACCAACCAAGGTAATTACAGAGATCCATGTGAAGAGCATGCATCCTGGGGGCAGGGGCCTGCGTTGGGATGCAGTCCTGCTCCTTATTAGCAGGTGACTTTGAGCAACTCATTTAATGCATTTGTTCCTCAATTTTCTTACCTGCAAATTATGGATGTTGACAGTAACTACCTCACAGGGTTGCTATGACAAACGGAGATAGCTCATCTACCGGCCAACTTCCCAGATGCCTGCAGCCAAAGATAGGCCAGATCAACTCTGGGAGCTCGGGACTCCATCCGGATCTTCTGCATGGCTGGCAGGGACTCCAGCACTCAAGCCATGCTCTGCTGCCTCCCAGAGTGTGCGGAGCAGGAACCCGGAGTGCAAGCAGCATGGCCGGGATTTGAACTAGGCACTCTAATATGGGATGCAGGCAACCCAAGGGTAGACCTATCTGCTGTGCTACACACCCTCTTCTCTTTGTTTTTCTTAGCCTAGTTATTTTTAGGAGCACGGGCCAGTTAGAATGTAGAATGTTCCCCAGTTTTGGCTTGTCATTCAGGTTGTGCATTTTCAGCAGGTGTAACGTACAAGTGAGAGTGTGACCTTCTCATTGCGCAGCAAAAGCAGACGCCCAGTTTTTAGGAGATACGGAAGCACGTTACTTTTTTATACTCCCACACACGGGGACTTGGAGAAGCATATGGAAAATTCAACTGAAAGAGAGAAGTTTACTTTTGCACAATTGCTTTGAAAGTCATGCAAAATATTTTCATAATACACGTTTTCATGAGCTTTTGAAATTGTATATGAAGTAAATTCATCATAATGTTTCTAAAGCTCATTCACAATCACATGCTTGCCTACTAAACTATTTTTTTTTTTTTTACTGACAGACTGTCCTAACTGGTGATTCTCTTGTCTTCTGCCAGATGCATCAGCTGCTGCACATGCTCAGAAAGGAACAGTCCATCTACAATACCGTATTTCATGAACTTATCCGGCAAGTCAGTGTGGACTGTGTGGATAGAGGAGAGCTGTTGTCCAAAATAAGGTTTGAATGTTCCAGCTTTAAAATTAGAGCTGCCTTTTTCCTTGAAAAAAAATTATAAGATTTAGAATTCTTCATTATACTGATAGGAACAAATTTACTTGCATCTTTATTGTATTTTCTGTAGTAAAAACTTCATATTGATAGATGAACTTAGCATAAATCTGGACCTTAATTATCTCATTTGTATATGGCGATAATAGCCACTGTGAAAGTTTCCATTTGTAATTCAGTATTTATTTAATATTTACTTTGTGCCAAGCATTGAGATGCTTCATGACACTTGTGGTGAGCTGTAAACAAGGACGTAATATTTGATCAAATATATTATAATAAGTAATTTAAGAGAAATCAAATATTATAATCAATAAATACAATTCATGCAGTAATTCTTCTTGTGACTATAACACTTCCCAGAAAGTTGAAAGAAATCATAAAATCAGAATACCTAGGCTCAATAGCATATTTGGCGCTCACTTGCCATCGAGTCATAAGCAAATTATCCGATCTGTCAGACCACCAGTTTTTTCCAAATGTCAATTAATTGGTTTTTAAATTTTACTTCTTTTTATTATTATCATTTTATGATACAGTTCCATAGGCCCTGGGGTTTCCCTTATCCCCCCCTCAGTTCCCTCCCCCCTCACTGAGTTCCTCTATATCGTTACTATAGCATTATTTTTCATACACAATCATATGTCTGTCATTGCCGGCATGGACAAAGGCAGAGAGTACAGCATCCTATTGTTAAGATATAGTGAACAGTTTCATTGGGAGTCCATCTTTGTCTGGAAGTAGAGATGCATACTGCATTGTATCCTCACATCTGGATATAATAGTCTCCATTACACAGCTACTGTATATGCCCTCCAAGTGGCAATTAATTGTATGAACTGGCTCTGCTTACCCACTATTTGACTGGTTGAACCAGAAGCAAAGCCCTCCAGAAGGGACTGGTTGGGGCTAAGCAGGAAGGGGTAAGCAGGGCAGCACTGAGGGCTACGTAGTGCTGGGTGAGCGCAAGGATGGGGCAGGGGAGATCTGAACAAAGCCAGGAGGGCAAAGCGGATGGGGCAGCGGAGATCTGAACAAAGCCAGATGAGGAACCAAGGCGCAAGAACTGCATGACTACAGGGTATGCAGAGCCGGCCCTTACGAGAGGAAGGTGCACACAGCCCTGTCCCCACTGGCTTCAGAGTTAGCTTCCGGGACCCCAAACAGGAAAAGATAGCTAAACTAGTCCTTTTAAGAAAGTTGAAGACACAGGGAAGCCAATAGCAGTACTAAATCAAGGTAGCAGAGGCGCCCCAGAGCAGGGCTTCAAAGCCAGGAATATAGAATAGGGTGCGGGTTGGGGGAGCAGGAAGTAAGCAGGAGCAACGTGGGTTCGGGCTGAGTGCTGGAAACTTTGTAATGTGTCTACAAGTCCAGAAGCATTTGACCGCCAGCATTGTTACTGCGGTAAATTGCTTTTGGAGATGTCGGCACCACTTTAAATTGGAGAACCTTCCGCTACCCCAAACCTGATATCTGATAGGCAGCTTGGTGTGGGCCGCAGCACCTGCCCCTGTTCTTTTTTTCTTTTCTTCTGCTTCTTTTTCTTTTTTTAATTTCATTTTATTTTGGAGGCAGAGAGACAGGTGAAATTAGAGACAGAGCAAGATCTTGCATTCGCTGGTTCTCTCTGTAAATGCTTGCAACAGCTGGAACGGAGCCAGGCCAAACCCAGGAGCCGAAAACTCAATCTGAATCTTCTATAAAGGTGGCAGGGATCCAAATATTTTATATATTTTTTGAAGAATTATTCTTTAAATTAAGATACAGAATTGCAGAGAGAGAAGGAGAGCCAGAGAATGGTCTGCTAGCCATTGGTTTACTCCCCAAATGACCACAAGACCCAGAGCTGGACCTAGTAAAGTCAGGAGCTTCTTCTGAGTCTCCCACGTGGGTGTAAGGGCTCAAGGATTTGAGCCACCCTTCATTGCCTCGCCAGACCATAAACAGGGAGCTGGGTCATATGCTAACTGCCAGGCTTGTCCCATGTTACATTTCTACAAACAATCTCTTTATATTTTGACTTATACTTGTTATTACCCCTCCCCCCCCGCCTTTTTTTTTTTTTTTTAACATAGTCATCCTGGTGGATGTGAAATGTTGCTGAGTATGGTTGAACTAGTAATTTTTTTTTTTTGAGAAATTTTTCATGTTTCATAAGGGATGATAGTCTACTCCTGTTTTCTAGTGAGGTCTTTGGTTATTGGTGTTGTGTTGATATTGGCCTCAGAGAATGAGTTGCAGAATATACTGTTGCTGCTTCAATTTTTTTTTTCTGTACATAGTTGATCAGGGTCGGAAGGATTGAGAGTTAGGGAAAAGTGGGTGTGATCCCCATTTCCAGATTTTCTATTTCTTCCTGTTTCTGGGGGAAGGGGAGAGAGTAGGGGAAAATCCACATCCAGCTTGTCAACTGCCCCAGTACCCAGGGATGGAGAATGGCCACCGATATCAACCTAGGGTCCCAGTGAGGTGCCCACTCTGAGGGTTCTGCCCAAGTGGTTTGGATAGTTCTGAAATGCTATCAATCTCGTTGATCCAAGGATGAGGAATCCCTTCCAATGCCCATTGGCTGACATAGTGTTAGAGTCTTCATTTGATGACGTTAGAGTCTCCTTTCGACTGGTATTTTGCTGTCATTGTTTGACTGGGGTGGTTGTCCAGTTTGTTCTGTTCTCCTTCCTCTGCTGTGGTACCAGATGTCCTCTGCAGACCCCAGTGGACTGCCATATCCTCCATGTGCTTCAGTGCTTGCCATACACTGCTCTGTGTTTTCCACTGAGGAGGATCTGTTCTAGCAGGTGGGTCCAAGGACCACTCTGTTCGGCTCATGGACCTGGCACGCACCATACAGGTGGGCCCAGGGACCTGGTCTTCACTGGGCCCCCACTCCTGCGCTCATGGACCTGGTACCATGCGCAGGCACGCCTAGGGGCCTGGGCTAGGCAACCCAGGAACCACTGGAACCACCACCCCTGGGGATTATGGACCTGGCATTTACTGGGCAGGTGGGCATAGTGACCCAGGCCAGGCAAGCCGGGCCCTGCAAGACCCCCCACTCCAAGGGCTCACGCACCTAGCACCCACTGCCCCCAGATTGGCATGGCTCATCTCACCTTGCCATCCACCAGCACATGCTTCAGCCTGGCTTGGTCCAGCCTGCCCCTAGTTCTAGCTCATTCTGGTAGGTGCTACAGCCTAGCCCCACAAAGCCAGCCCCCAGTCCTAGCCCTAGCGTGAATTGGCTGGTGTTGTGGCCAGACCTGGCCTCTCTTGCACCTTATCCTGGATTTCATATCTGCCAGTGGATGTTATAAACTACCTCAGCCTGATCCATCCCCGCCCTCAGCCACATGTATGCCTGCAGGTACTGTAATCTGACCTAGTTTGGGCTGCTCCTTGCCTTGGTTCTTGTGCTCACCTGCAGGGGCTGCATCCTAGCAAAGGAGTTTCACAAGTTCCTGTATCAGGTCTCCTCTGAGTGGCGGATGTTACATTCACTGGTGGGTCCTTGACCCAGGTTGACTGCCAACCAGCCCACACCCATTCCAGTTCCTACTGTTGGGTGTTGCAGCCTAGCCACAGCTGGTCCATACCCAGACACAGATCTCATGTGGTTCAGCAAGAGCTGAGACCTAGCCCAGCCCATTCTATACTTACCCTGGCTTTCATGAGTACCAGTGGGTGCTGGAGTCTAATCCAGTCGGTGCTTCCCAGACCCAGTCCACATCCACACCAAGGAAGACTGCAACCATGTCCAGCCCAGTCTGCTGTCCCCGTTTGGGGTCCTGTGCTCTCCAACAAGAACCCCAGCCACCCATGTCATCTCCTTAGCTCCCCAACTAGGCCTGTCCTCAGCCACAGCTCTCCATCTACCCCACACAGGTTCTGCCTTCAGACCTGATTCTCGCATGCTGGTTAGTGTCATGGCCCATCCTAACATCACCCGTCCCCTGTTCCAACTCTCACTGGTGGGTACTGTGATCTAGCCCTGCCACATAGGCCCCTAGCCCTAACATTAGTGCATGCCAGTCAGTGGTGTTCGGTGATGGTTGATGCTAACTACCCCAGCTCAGGTCTCCCAAGTATGCTAGCATTTCGGTCTGGCCCTTAAAGGTATTGCAGTTCCCCCCTCCAGACTGCTTAGTCTCAGTCCCCTGGCTTACCTGCAAGTACAGTGGCCTTGTGGATGAAAGTCCTTTGGTAGTAACGCCTCACTGGGACATGAATCCTCACTCAGGTCCCTGCTCGGCTCCACCTGTGCCATTACCCAGACTCACTGTAAGCCCACATCCTCAAGTCCCCAGAGTGTGCTGCTGGGCAACCCGAGGGCTTCACCTGATGGCACTGGTGCCCAGCTTACCTGCCTGACGGGCAGGGAGAGGTCCCTGGCCAGGCCTGATGCAGGAGCAGCCCTGAGTCTTCAATTTTTGTGCGGTTTTGATGTTATTTCTTTCTTAATGATATGGCAGAATCAATCAGAAAAGCTGTCTGAATCAGTTTCTTTTGTAGGAATGCCTTACATTAGAAATTCAATTTATATAATACACACAATTTTTCAGGTTATCTAGTCCTTATTTTTTTCATCTTTCTAGAAATTTGTCCAGTTTATGAAAGTTTTTGAATTTGATGATATGATACTGTTAAAATTTTTACATATTATCATTTTTAAAAAGGAGATTTTTTTTTGGAAAGACAGCTACAGAAAGAGGAAATAAAGATATCTTCTATCACGCTCACTCCCTGCGTGCCCACACCAGCCAGGGCAAGGGCAGCCCGAAGCCAGGAGCTGGGAGCTCCCACCTGGATGGCCGGGATCCAAGCATCTGGTCCATTGGCTCCTGGCTGTATTGCAGGAACCAGGATCAAGAACAGAGTAGCCGGGACTTGAACAATCTAGACTGGGATGCTGGTACCCCAAGCAGCAGTTCATCTTGCTGTGTCACCGTGCCCACTCTGCCTTACTGTCCTTTTTTTTTTTTTTTTTAAAGATTTATTTTTATTATTTTTTCATTGGAAAGGCGGATATACAGAGAGGAGAGACAGAGAGGAAGGTCTTCCGTCCGATGATTCACTCCCCAAGTGAGCACAACGGGCCGATACTATGCCGATCCGAAGCCAGGAGCCTCTTCCGGGTCTCCCACGCGGGTGCAGGGTCCCAAAGCCTTGGGCCGTCCTCAACTGCTTTCCCGGGCCACAAGCAGGGAGCTGGAAGGGAAGCGGGGCTGCCGGGATTAGAACCGGCGCCCTATGGGATCCCGGGCGTGCAAGGCGAGGACCTTTAACCACTTGCGCCACCGCGCCGGGCCCCTTACTGTCCTTTTTTATGTCCATGGAATCTGAGGTCATGTCAGTTCTCTCTTTCCTCGTATCGATTACCTGTGCCTTCTTTATGGTTTTGTTGTTCCAGGAAATCAACTAGACTTTTATCAGAGTCACTGACTTTTGGTCCAGTGATATTCTTTCTTTTTCAGTTTTGTTTCACTGATTTATGCTTTAATTTTTCTGATTTTTATTCTTTTCCTGACTTTGATTTAGTTTTCTCTTGCTTACCTGGCTCCGTGAGATAGTTGTGGTCACTGGTTCGATCACAGGCTCACCTGATTCCATGGTCTCTCAGGATCGCTTCCATTCGTGATGCCCAGTGTCTTGGAAATGGTTTCATATACTTAATCCTTTGTTATTTCAGATAGGAGAGCAAATGCAGATCTCTGAATTTATGTTTCTACTTCCTGTATCTCTGTCAAACTGCATGTTATACACATTAAATGTCTTTTTAATGTTTTGTAATAAATGTATTTTTAATGATGTTGACATAGCTAAGGATGCGTGCCCAGGTGGACCACTGATTAAAGTTGAGGAACAGGGACAAGTGCGTAATGTCTTTTTAAGTTTTAGACAAGTATCAGTAATGATTTCTGTTAGTGCTTCTTTTGCCTTCTACCTGTCTCCTCTTTCTAGAACTTAAAGTATGTTTCTGTTAGGCATTCTCTATTTATATATTCATCTAATTCTTTTATAATTTCCCTCTGCTTGTGTCTGTGCTACTGCCTGGGTGTTGCTACTTTGTTTAGTTCTTGCTGTTTTGCTTAATTCACCTATGGGTAATTCAGTTAATAATATTTTATTTCATTTGTGTGTTGCAACTTTGTGATGCTAGTTTTTTGGCTGGTCTTAACCAATGAACCCTCAGGGTATAAATCAGGGGTACTTTCCTGTATAAAGGATTTCCGGGTTCCCTCCCGAGTCTGAGCTTGAAGCAGAGGTCTGGGTGCTTTTAAGTCTCCTATTTTGAAGAAGGTCCAAGATTGATTTGAGTCTCTGGGTTCCAGTATTGCTGTTTTTTCTAGGGGAAAATCCTGGCCCTGAGCTTGCCTACTGAATACTGCTCTAACCGCCCCCCCCCCCGCCCATTCTTCACGTGATTTGTTGTTGTTGTTGTTTATTTTGCTTTCTTCTTTTGAGAGGCAGGGGGGAAGGAAAGAGAGACACCGAGAGAGAGAAGTTCCCATGTACTAGTTCATGGCCAAATCCCCACAGTAGTTGAGGCTGGGTCAGATCGAAGTCAGGAGCCTGAGAAGCCAACGCAGGTGTCAGGTGTGGGTGACAGGGACACATATACCTAAGCCATCACCTGCTGCCTCCCAGGGACTGGGAACAGAGCCAGAATATAAACCTTGGTTTCCAATGTGGAAGCGTGGCGTGTAGGCATCCCAAGTGGTGTCTTTCTTTCTTTCTTTCTTATTTATTTATTTATTTATTTATATATCAAAGGCAGATTTTTACAGAAAGAGGTCTTCCGTCTGCTGGTTCACTCTCCAAGTGGCCACAACAGCCAGAGCTGAGCTGATCCAAAGTCAGGAGCCAGGAGCTTCTTCTGGGTCTCCCAGGGCGGTACAGGATTCCAAGGCTTTGGGTCGTCCTCCACTGCTTCCCCAGGCCAGAGCAGAGAGATAGATTGAAAGTAGAGTAGCTGGGACATGAGCCAGTGCCCATATGGATTGCAGAGCCACAGGGCAGAGGATCAGCCTGTTCCCCAAGTAGTGTCTTAACTGCGCAGCCAAATGCCACCCATGCTGATTCTTTTTGCTTTCAATCCTGTAAGTCCACTGCTGTTCTGAAAAGAATACTCTTATTATGGCTGGAGCTAATTGGAAAGGGAAGGTCCTGCAGCGTTATCTCATGCCTGTGTTGTCAGAAGCAGAAGTCCTAAAGAACGCATTTTTAAACTGACAAGTTCCAATGGGTGAGATGCATTTTGAGCTGTTAAACTCCATTTTTAAGTGTTTAAACAAGGGCTGGAAAACTCCGTAAGAGATTAGACAGAGTGACCAATCTAACTCAAACATAGTATAATTCTAGTACCTCACGCTTAGGTTATAACACCAAATTCTTACAAATGAAGACTTTTCAGTTAACAGTACTTATCATTTATCATCTACGATCATTTACACATATTTTGTTTGTCCTTATTCAAAAGGAAAAAGAATTGACTTCTTTGTGGGGCTGGCACCGTGGCATACTGGGCTAAGATACCACCTGCAGTACTGGCATCCCTTAGGGTGCCAGTTTGAGTGTCCACTGCCCCTACTTCTGATGCAGTGGAGCATAAGCAGGTGCTTTGGCCGCTGAGCCCACATGGGAGACCTAGAGGCAGCTCCGTCCCGGCCACTGTGGCCATCCGTGGAGTGACCGGCAGAGAGAGGGTCCCTCCATTTGTTTCTCCTGTCTCTCTGTAACTCTGTCTTTCAGATAAATAAATAACATCTTCTAATAAATAAATCAGGAAATAAAATATTTTTAAATGTATACAAAAAGAGTTAGCTTCCTTGCATGACAGGTCCCGGACATTCTGTTAGATATTTTACAAGTACAAATATGTAAGACCTGATTTGTACCCTCACACAACTTCTACTAACTTTAGAAGCAGGAATGGAAGAGTTCCTTACTTTTGTTATACATCCCAGTTGCTAGGTTGCAAACACAGTGTCTCGGACTGCGCCACTCGCCCTGCGGTCACGTGCAAGGGCCCAGGTCTTCTCTCCTCTCCGCCCTTCCTTCCCACACGTCTTGCCTGGATGTCTGTCTGCGGTTTCCCCCTTTCACACGGTTTTTCTCTCTCGCACATTCTCTGGCTGCCGCGTCCCTTCCTGGTTTCTCAGAGAGAGGTACGTGCAAATGCTTGACCAGATTGCCCGGCAGATGGTTGAGTTCTACAAGGACTTGGTGACACAGCGCGTGATGGACCAGCGCATCTTACAGGAATTATATAATTTCAAGAACGTTATTGAGGAACTGACCAGGTGAGCACTGTGATTGCCCTAACCAGTTCGTGGCAAGATGATTCTTGAGCTCAGAGGGCAGCGTGGTGGTGTCACCTGTCAGCATTCCCAGGTGCCCCATCCACAGGCTCCACTGGCTTCTCTCTGCCTTCCCCCCCCCTTCTTTTTTTTTTTTAAAGATTCCTTTAAAAACATTTCATTTGCTTTCACTTTATTTGAGAGGCAGAGAGACTCAGAGAGCCAGAGCTAGGAGCAGGAACTGAGAGAGACCTTGCATCCAATGAGTCACTCCCAAGTGCGTGCCTGGGCAGTGCCTTAACCAGCAGGCTAATACCCAAATACCCACCCTCCTTTGACAGATTCCACTGTTAAACCTGTCAGGATCTCATCCACCATGTATGCTGGATTTCTCAACTTGATAATAAGGAGGAAAGGCCAGGCAAATAGATGTAAATGAGAAAAAGCTAGCATTGAAATCTGATGCCCTGAGTAGAAATTTTTTTGGAATCTCCAATTGCGGTTTTAAAATGCCTTTGCTTTATTTTAGGGAATTGTGTCTAGTTCGGGCACATGACATGAAGCTAACAAAGGAAGCAGAGAAGGCCCATAAGGATTTGGCTCAAGCTCTTCTGGATGCTGAAAAGAATGCCAAGTGAGTTGCTTCACGTTTGCGTGGCTTGTCTGAGAGATGCTTATGTAACTCCTGAAACAACAGGTGTCATAGCAGCTTCTTGAATTCTGAAGACACATGCAGCCTGCTTTACTTGAATTTGGTTGATCTCTCATTCTAACTGGAAAGAAAAGCAAATGTGATCACTGCCCTATAACACGTGGTTGCTTCTGGCATGAATCATTTTGTTGAGTGAGGTTTTCTTTTGGGTTTTCTCGGCGAAAGTATAAAGAAGCAGTGTGAGCAGCTCATACTATGGAACTGCCTACCATGCAGCATCCAGTGTTGAGGTGATTATTATTATGAAAACTAAGGGTATTATTATGAACGAAGTACCTAGAATGGTGTCTAACACCTAGTCAGAGCTATGACAATGTGAGAAATTCTTTTTCAAATATTCAGAAAAAGAAAATATTGCAGTAAGCACTGCTGGAATTACATTGTTCATTATATGTCTCACCATGCCGTACTCGTTGTACTTGCTTCACGCTCTATTTTTGCGAGGTTGACAGGGACAGAATTTTACAGAAACATTTTGCTGTGGACAGCCCAGACTCGGCCCTGGTGCTTTTCTCTGTTGCAAGAAAGAATTTCAGAAGGAGATGCCGAGAAGCCAGGTTGACTTGCACATCCAGGTCAACCTCTGTTGTCCCAGGAGGAAGTGGCACAGCCTCGTTGCACATGGGCCTGTCCCCTACTGCGGCTGGCTGGCAGCCGCTCCTCCTGCAGGTCCTGGAGGCCCTCCCTCTGTTGTGAGTCTGGGAAAGAAGTGCCACAGTGCAATGTGCCGGCCCTTCTGGGGCTGGAGGAGGCGGTGACAGGGTTCAGGTGTCAGAGACCCAAGGGCATTGCTTGATGCTTGCTGAGTTCTCTTTTCTGTTACCCAGAGATGCTCTTTTAAAAGCCTCTGGCGCGGCTGTGTCTTGGGTAAAGACTCACTCGGCTGCTCCTGCATCTTGTTATTTTGAAAAATAGCTTCCAGGCTGGCATTCCTAGCCTAGCGTGTGAGCCAGCAGGGGCAGGAATGGTCCCCCCTCCCCTGTTTGTGTTGGCTTTCCATGCCCAGGGATGGCCCCTTCATCAAGGCTCTTAGCATATTGTCCTTAGGGGACCGCTGTGGGGGACTCTGAGGCAGGTGATTTTGATGGCCTCATGGAGTGCTTTTTTTTTTTTTAAGATTTATTTATTTTTATTGGAAAGTCACATTTACAGAGACCAGGAGAGAAAGGAAGATCATCTGATCTGAAAGGAGCTTCTTCCGGGTCTCCCACGCTGGTGCAGGGTCCCAAGGCTTTGGGCTGTCCTCAGCTGCTTTCCCAGGCCACAAGCAGGGAGCTGGATGGAAAGTGGGGTCACTGGGACTTGTAGCAGCATCCATCTGAGATCCCAGTGTGTGCAAGGCGAGGATTTAACCACTAGGCTACCGCATCAGACCCAATAGAGTAGTTTTGTCACTGTTTCTTTTCTTTTTAAAATAATTTATTTTGGGGCCCGGCGCAGTGGCGCAAGTGGTTAAGGTCCTCGCCTTGCACGCCCGGGATCCCATATGGGCACCGGTTCTGTCCCGGCAGCCCCGCTTCCCTTCCAGCTCCCTGCCTGTGGCCCGGGAAAGCAGTTGAGGAAAGCCCAAAGCTTTGGGACCCTGCACCCGCATGGGAGACCCGGAAGAGGCTCCTGGCTTCGGATCGGCATAGCATTGTCCATTGCGCTCACTTGGGGAGTGAATCATCGGACGGAAGATCTTCCTCTCTGTCTCTCCTCTCTGTATATCCACCTTTCCAATAAAAAAATAATAAAAATAAATCTTAAAAAAAATTTATTTTGAAAGCCAGAGTTAGAGAGAGAGAGCTCTTCCATCCACTGGTTCACTACCAAAATGGCCACAGTGGCCACCACCGTGGTTGAATCCTGGAGCTAGGAGCTTCATACTGGTCTCACACGTGGGTGGCAGGCGCCCAAACACTTGGGCCATCCTCTCTTGCCTTTCCCAGGCCATTAGCAGGGAGCTAATTCAAATCGGAGCAGCTGAGACTCAAACGGGGAGTCTCAACTTGAGACTCAGCCTGGATGCTGGGTGTCAGCATATGGGATGCTGGCACTATAGGCAGCAACTTAATTTGCTATGCCACAGCACTGGCCCCTTGCCTTTCAAGTGAATAATCTTTACCAAAAGAAAAAGGAAGAAACATCATTATGAATTAGAAGTAAAAAGTGTTCTGGTAGAGATGCAGAAAGATTCAATAAGAAAATGTCATTTAATTATACATATGCTTTTGCATGATTGGGAGAGAATTTCTTTTAATCTTGTATGAATTATATGTAATTTTAAATTAATTTAAAATATTTACTAATGTATTTGAAAGATAGAACTACCTGCTGGTTCATTTTATGAATGCCCACAAGGCTTGGGGATGAGCCAGTCTACAGCCAGGAGCAAGGAATTCCGTGCTGAGTTTCACATGTGGACAGCAGGGCCTCAAGTAGTTCAGCCATCCTCTGCTGCTTTCCCAGGCATCTGAGCAGGAATCTGGATTGAAAGTGGAGCAGCCAGGACTCAAAGGAGCACTCCTGTGGGATGCTGGCATCACTGCAGCACAACGCCAACTCCAATATTCATCTTTAAATATTCATCCGTTTCCATTTTACTTAAAAGGCAAAGAGACGGAAAGACCTTCCCTCTGTAAAAGCTGGTAACATCTGGGACTCATCGATCAGGACTGGTCAATCAATCCATGTCTCCCATACCCTTTCACTAGGTTGGCAGTGACCCGAGGACTTGATATTACCTGCTGCTTCCTGGGATGCAAGTTAGCAGGAAGCTGTGTTTGCAAGAGGAGCTGGGATTTGCGTCTGAATCCCAGCACGGACTGGGAGCATCCCAAGTTGCAACACCTTTCCCTAGTTTAACCACGCAGTGGCTCACGGTTACCAGGCTCTGTCCCTTCCATAAGGAGTGCCGAGGCTGTGAGCCAAGAGTAAAACTGCTTAGTTACCGTTACTTGTGTTCTGGTTTTTCCACCAGGTATTGTGTCATATGCCACTGGAATATCAAGTCGTGGAAGTTCTAGGGTAATTCCAGGGAAAAGGAGTGTTTCAAGCAGTGAGTGATACATTGGAGCTTTGATTAGACTGCAGGGTTTAAACAAAACATAGATTTTTTTCTTGTACTTCGCTTCAGTTACACTATCGTTACCTCGTGATGAGTTTTAAAGGAACAAATGACTAACTCTACAGTTTTAAAAATGTCTAAACAGTTGTTGTATTTTTTTCTTTTAGAATCGTAGAAGAATACCACGAATTATATTCATTGCAGAGAGGAAGGATGGAGAGTGATATTACACAATTAATGGCAGAAAGAGACCACTGGAGCTCAGCCACCCACGAGCTGGCCCTGAAGGTTGGTGCCCCTGTGTTCACAGCACGGCTTTCATTTGTGGCTAAACACATTTGGTTTTGTAATTTGCAGCTATATCAACAACACTCCCTCAAATGAATGTGTATATTTATTAATTAATAATATAGCCTTAGTGCATCTTGAAAAGCTAAAGAGAATTATTTTCATTCACCTTTTTTTCTATTGGATACCTAGTTACTGCACTGTTAAGGACTCTTTTTTAATATAATCTGTAAAGTAAGATTTTGTATTATTTGGGAATTTATTTATACTAAACTAGGGAGGATAGTTTTCTTTTTTTTATGTGCTGTAACTATATTGTTATCACCGGATATTGTGCTCTGGCCCTAACAGCCTAGTATACAAGATGACAGCGATTGCCTATGGAATTGTACATGATGCTTTAGGCAACTAGGGAAGTCCTACCACCATATTCTGCATATCTAATGTGCTTACTTGATGGCTGCCTCCCCTGACATCTGAGACGTATTAGGTATCAATAGTAGTGAATTATGACCCACAAAGGATTAAGATAGTGGCTCAGTTGGATTCGTTCCACAGTACATTAGAGGCAGCTCACAGCACTCTGTGGAAGTATATTGCATGAACACATCTGCACTTCAGATCTTTTTTTTTTAAAGATTTATTTGTTTTCATTGGAAAGGCAGATCAGATTTATGGAGAGAGGGGAGACGAGGGAAAGCTCTTCCATCTGCTGGTTCACTCCCTGAGTGGCCAAGATGGCCAGAGCTGAGCCAATCCGAAGCCAGGAGCCAGGAGCTTCTTCCAGGTCTCCCACGTGGGTGCAGGGTCCCAAGGCTCTGGACCTCCCTCTAGTGCTTTCCCAGGTCACAGGCAGGGAGCTGGATGGAAAATGGCGTGGCTGGGACATAAACCAGTGCCTGTACGGGATCCCAGTGCATGCCAGGTGAGGATTTAACCATTGAGCTATAGCACTAGCATTATAGTTCTATATTAGGCTTGGCTCTGTGCAGTAGCCTGTCAGTTACTTAGGCACTTCAGATCAACTCAGCTCTGGCCACTGTGGCCACTTGGGGAATGAACCATCGGGCAGAAGGTCTTTTCCTCTGTCTCTCCTTTCTGTAAAATCTGACTTTCTAATAAAGACAATTTTAAAAAAAATTATTTATTTTTATTTGGAAAGTCAGATATACAGAGAGGAGGAGAGACAGAGAGGAAGATCTTTCATCCAATGGTTCACTCCCAAAGTGGCTGCAACGGTTGGAGCTGAGCCAATCCGAAGCCAGGAGCCAGTAGCCTCCCCCAGGTCTCCCACATGGGTTCAGGGTCCCAAGGCTTTGGGCCGTCCTCGACTGCTTTCTCAGGCCACAGGCAGGGAGCTGGATGGAAGCAGATCGGCTGGGATTAGACCCGGCGCCCTTATGGGATCCTGGTGTGTTCAAGGCGAGGACTTTAACCACTATGCTATTGCGCTGGGCCCACAAACAAATCTTTAAAAAAAAAAAAAAAGAATTTGTACTTCTTGAAATGTACTGAAAGTCAAAATAGGTAATAATGTGGTCATGTAAGAATAAATAAATCCAAGAGGACCGAATAGGAAAATTATAAACTGACTCATGTGTATGTGAGATGCTCAAATTGGATAAACCCAATTGTATAACCCAATTTGTTATACAGTGAAATTTTAGATATATAATAAAAAATATTACACAAACAGTTAAATTCTAGAAGAGATTGAATATTTGGAAATGAAAGAATGAAACTATGATTTACCATAATAAGTGAGAATTTTACAAATTAACTTATTTGAAAGGCTCAACTACAGGGAGAAAAAGTCAGGGAAAGGGAAAGATCTTCCATCTGCTGGTCCATGCCGCAGACGGCTGCAATAGCGGGTTAGGGAGGGCCGGGGCTGCGAGCCCAGAGCCAAGAGCTTCATTTGGCTATCCTGCATGGGTGGCAGGGGACCAAATCCTTGGATCAGCTTTCGTGGTTTCCCAGGTCATTAGCGGGGAGCTGGATTGGAAGTAGAGCATCTGGGACATGAGCCAGCACCCAAATGGGTGCTGACGTCACAGATGGCGTCTGGCTGTATAGTTAGCTGTGCTGCAGGGCAAGCCCCTGAGAATCTTTTTATGATACCGGAATGGGGAAGCTCTTTGTATGACATGAAAGGAAACTTAAATTAGAATCTTCTACGCAGTGCTAATGACAAAAGCAAGTGGCACACTGGAATAAAACGTTGGTACCTTATGGAGAAAACAATGCTATGGAAGTAGTAAGTGCATTTCAAAAATAAAAGTACTTCAGTAGAACTATGAGCATAGAATATAGTCAGATAATTCAGAGTAAGAAATTCAAATGGTTAATAAGCCTGTGAAATGTACTCAGCCTCACCAAATGATATCACTTTGCACTTACAAGATTAGCAAGTGTTAAAATATAAGCATGAGCAGTATCATGTATTATTGATGGGAATTTAAATTGATACAACTCTTCTGGACGTTTGTATTCTCAACTTGGTGATTTTTACGCTTTGGTGATGGTGTGAAAGCAGTGTGAGTAGAGTTTTGATCTTCCCTTGAGTTAAACATATGCATATAGTATATGCATATGCATATGTATACTATGATACATTAAAACACTAGGATAAATTCTAATGATCTGTTAATGTTTTAGTTCCTGAGCGTAGTACATTATTTTTACAGGTAATTGAAAGAAATAAAGTCATATTGGCACAAAGACTTTACCTCAATGAAAAAGCCTGGAACAAGTACACTAAGCATTTCATCATACTGCTCTCAGCCAAGGCAAGTCCGATTCCCTTCAGTTATGAGTGCTGAGAGCTGATACGAGTGAATTTTATTTATTTGAAAGACACACACACACATACACCAGAGCATCTCCCATCGTCTTAGTTCACTCCCCAAATGCACAGTTAAGACTGAGCCAGAACAAAGGACTGCCATGTTGGTGGCCAGGGCCAGCTCTCTGGCCGTCATGTGCTCCTCGCAGGGGACACATTAGCAGGAAACTGGAATCGGGAGTGGAGCTGAAGTAAGAACCCACGCACCTTGGAATGTGGGCACGTAGAGTGGGATGTTAACAGCTCTGCACACCCACCCTGAGAGCTGAGACTACTACAAGTCTTTTTTAATTCAAATTATTTTTTAAAGTTTATCTATTTTTATTGGAAAGTCAGTTTTTTACAGAGAGAAGAAGAGACAGAGAGACAGATCTTCCATCTACTTGTTCACTCCCCAAGTGGCCTCAATAGTGAGAGCTGAGCCGATCTGGAACCAGGAGCCAGGAGCTTCCTCCAGGTCTCCCACACGGGTGCAGGGTCCCAAGGCTTTAGGCCGTCCTCCATTGCTTTCCCAGGCCACAGGCAGGGAGATGGCAGGGAAGTGGGGCAGCCTGGACATGAACCAGCGCCCATATGGCATCTTGGTGCTTAAAGGGGGAGGATTAACCAATTGAGCCATTGTACTGGGCTCCACAAAATGATATTGCTAAAGAAAAATCTCTCTTCAATATTGCAGTATGTCTCCTTTAGATTTCTCTATGGCATTAATGCTAATGATGGCCTGATTATGATGATTATTTTTTGTCGCAAGAGTAAATGGGTGGGTTGTTTGATTTCGTGCTTGTTACCTAGGATACAGCAGACCTTGCAATGCTGCAGAAGTTGACACAGAAATGGCGGAACTTAATGAATAAGTTTAAACAGGAGGTGGAGCAAACTGAAGAATGTACCTTGGAGAAACTGAAAATTGTCCAGAATGGCGTTATCAAATGGCATCAAGTCTTGGTTGATAATCCGTGAGTCTACAAGAATCGTGTTCTCTGATGATATTGTGCTGTATGTGATAACTCAGTCCCATTCTCTTGTTTCTCTCCATATTTTACCTCTTCGCTGCTCAAGGATGCTGGGGAGGCCACCAACAGGCCTGCGAAGGGCTTTCAACAATCTGCTGCTTTCAACAATCAGTAGTCTGTCCTGATTGCCCTGCCCAACTGTTACTGTGTTCATTGAGGGTCCCACTCTTTATTTTCTTTTAAATGTCGTGTCATCACTGTTGGCAAGCATGAATATAAAGGACCACGTGCAAATCCCACAGCACAGTGCTTATGCCAATGAATGACAACTAGAGGGAAATCGTTTTCCCTTAGCTGTCCTACTTGGCAATGGCAGAAGCTGCCAGTAAAGTGCTTGCCCTGAACCGAATGACCGAGTCACAGCAAAGGTTGATGGGAATCCATGCTTTGCAAGCAGGCTGAGCCAGATGATGTCAAAGGTTATTTTTAGAAACTTAAGACACTCTGTTTGCTGAGGAAACACATTATTTCCATTTTAAATTGAGAACAATGGTTTCGTTGTTCCAGTGAGTAGGCCTGGAAGTTCTGGAAGATTTAGCTGGTACAAGTGCAAGCCACGGCTGCCGTCATGTGCACATCACTGCCATTGTCAACTCAGCTAGGAGCTGGACGTGAGCAGCCGAGGCGCGCTTCTCTCTCTCTCTCTTCAGAAACTTCCTTATCAACAACTTACAATAAAAGGGAACTCTTTATCAGAAGTTAGGACCCTTGACCTAAATGTTTATTTTTTTTCTTTTTAAGCATGTTTATTTTTATTTGGAGGACAGATTTTACAGAGAGAGACGGAGACAGAAGGCCTTTTGTCTGTTGATTCACTCTCCAAATGGCCACAAAGGCCAGAGCTGAGCTGGTTCAAAGTCAGGAGCCAGGAGCCTCCTCCAGGTCTCCCATGTGGGTGCAGGAGCACAAGAACCTGGCCTGCTTTCTCGGGCCACAAATAGAGAGCTGGATTGGAAAGTAAGCAGCTGAGACACGAACCGGCGCCCGTGTGGGATATCAGTGCCATGGTGGTTAGCCTGCTGTGCCACTGCACCGGCCCCGCTATCGGCTCTTAGCTCACCTGCTCATTTCGCTTCATCTCTATTGCCGCGTCGTTTTGGCAGCCGTATTCCGCAGGAATTCTTGCGGCAATGATCTAGTTTTGAATTCCCAAGACCCAGGGACCGTGATTAGGAAAAAATACCCTCATGATCCAACATCTGAAACTTGGTTGCTCAGGTCTCATTAAAGTCTGAATTTCAAAATTTATATTTACAAAATTAAAGTTGGATGAGAGGGCCTACAGCTGGAAGGCATGCTTCAAGTCACTGAGGCAAAGCTTAATGTCACATGGCTGGGGCTTTCCTTGTTTTTACTCTGTTCTCAGACCTTTCTCTCTTCTTTCAGCGGGAAAGATATTCTGCCCCATAATAAGAAAAATGTATTAGAATTAGTTCTTCTGGAATTCAAGCAGTGGCAAAAGGTAAGATTTTCCAGCAAACAGCTTCATGCTCTAGGAATGTCGATTCCTTACCTCCGACTAAGGCACATGCCGTTTTTAAACATTTCATACTTAATTTTAGGAAAGACAAGCAAAACATCAAGACCATAGGAGCCTTTTTCAGGTTTTAAAAAGATTTATTTGGTTTTACTTAAAAGGCAAAGTTACAGAAGAGAGAAGAGAAACAAAGAGAGGGAGGGAGAGAGAGAGAGAGATTTCATTGCTGGTTCACTCCCCAAATGACCACAATGTCTGGAGCTGAGCTAATCCAAAGCCAGGAGCTTCCTCTGGGTCTCTCATGTGGGCACAGGGGCTCAAGGACTTCGGCTTCATCCTCTGCCTTCCCAGGCCATAAGCAGGCAGCTGTATTAGAAGTGGAGCCACAAGGACTTGAACTGTTATCCCTATGGAATGCTGGCGCCACAGGTAGAGGGTTAATCTGCTATGCCGTGGCACCAACTTGAGGAACATTTTTCAATGTACTTAAATATGCCCAGTTCCATTTCACAGTTCTGAGTCAAAATTACCTAATCCAAAAAAGAAAAAAATGAGGGAAAAAGTACTCGTTCTCGCACCTAATTGTTACGCATAAGTAACATGTGCCTCATGTGTATCTGGCTTTTCTCTTGGGGACAATTTGGACTTTGAAAATGAATGACCTTGATTTTATTATGTCGAGCGATCATCGGCAGCGCTGTCCCCAGAACCTTTCATTTTCCCGCAGTGGAAGTGTGACCCTTACATATCGCGTCTCCCGGTCTTCCTCCCCCAGCCTCCCTCGCGAGAATCAGCCACTTTCTGTCTGACTGCTCTGTGTACCTTCTGGCTGCAGTATTTGTCCTTTTCTAACTGGTCAGAGTTCATCCTTGTCATGGCAGGTGTCAGAAGTGTCCTTCCTTGTAAGGCTGAATAATATCCCAGTGCATGTATTTATATGCCCTGTTTGGTTTATCCATTAAAATCATCTTTTGCCAAGTATTCAAGCTGTGGGCAATAGATTTCATTATTTAGATTATTATTATGTTGTTATCTTCATCTGAGCAAGAATAATACAGCACAACACAGAAATACTTGCAAAGTGAATAGAGTTTACAAAATCTCACCCAGATCCCCCAAACAGCATTTTCTTTTCTTTTGGATTGCGTTCATCAGAATGGTCTCACATTTGAAGAAGTTTGCCATGCAATACACATTGGATATAGTTTAGCTACTTTAAAAGGGTTTCTGGATGTTTTGAATACTACTGATTCGAAAGTTCTAATTATTTTCATTCTGGTAAATCATGGCTTGTCTCATAAGGCATCAAAACAGATTTGAATTCACTTTAAAAACAAAATGTCTATCATATATCATTTCTTGAGATCTCAAAGAAATGGTATGAAAAATAGTAGTGGACGATGCAACTTCGCAGCAGTTGGGACTTCCTGCAGGGTAAGGGTCTGGGGAGTTTGATGACTTCACTGCTGAGCACCGTGCTTGCTCCCCCACCCTTCTCTCGCTAGATGCTGACAGAGGAGAAAGCACGGATTTCCGGGGAAATGGTAGTGTCAAGACACGATAATATCAAGATTATCAGGCATTTACAGGAAAACTGGGCAGATGTTGGCCTTGGGATATTCAGTCGCCATAGAAGCCTGGAAGGGGAGCTGCCCCCGGAGCAACAGTACATGGAGGAAATCCTGAAAAACATAGACAAACTCTACAAAGACTACGAAAGCAGAATCAATGGAGAACACGGTAAGCCAAAAATGACCATCAGGTTTCTTGGCATTTTATAAAGCATCTTAAGAGGTCTTATTTTGAACAAAATTAATATTTAAGATAATAATGACACATGCACAGAATTAAAAATAAAGTGTTGAGCACTTTATTGTTTGAAATAGGATTTTATATGCAATTCACTAAAGTATACAATTGAGTGTGGATTCACAAACATTTGCTTCCATTACCACAGTCACTTCTAAAATACTTGCAATGTAAGTAAATTTTAAATAAGCCTGAAAAGGAGCCCGGGTCGTTGGCTCTCACCCTGGCATTCCCATGCTACACCTCGTGTCTGGAACCTGACACGAGCGTTTATGTGAATGAAGCCCAACGCTTGGTGGTATTTGCAGTCGGCTCCTTTCACTCAGCCTGTTCTCCAGGCTTATCTGCGTTGTGGTGCGTGTCAACTTGGCCATTTTTATGGCCGAACAATATTCCTTTAACAGATCTAGTAAAAGTGTTGTTTTTCATTTCAGCTGTTTCTACTTTTGGGCTGTGGTGAATGATGCAAACATTTGTGTGTGAATTTCTCTGTGCACCTTTTCCCATTTCTCCAGTCGCTTAGTAACTGCACAGAATCCTTAAAGCACTCGTGCAGATTTGGAATTGAATTAAAATTCAGTGCATCTTGATACACACAATTTTGAGATTCGTATGTATGTGGAATATTCCAAAAGTTCACAGATTATTAATTTAAAAATGTTTTACACCAAAATTACCTTAAGTATTTTAATTAAAAAAAAAAAAAGTGAGAGCATGGGAGGAAAGGAGAGAAAGACGGGGAGAGGGAGAAGAAATGAAAACACAAGCTTTCATTCCCTGGCTCACTCCCAAAGTGCCCGCTGTGAGGCTGGGCTCGGCCGAGCAGGGACCGTGAATTCATCCCGCACTCCTGTCCAGCTGCTGTGCTGAGGGCCAGATGCCAAATTCAGGCACCCCAGTATGAGATGCAGCTGATCTAACTGTTGTCTCAACTGAACTGACTTTTTTTTTTTTTAAGATTTATTCATTTTCATTGGAAAGTCAGATATACAGAGAGGAGAGACAAAAAGGAAAAAATTTTTCCCACTGATTCATTCCCCAAGAGGCCTCAACAGCCAGAGCTGTGTGGATCCAAAGCCAGGAGCTCCTTCTGGGCGTCCCACGCTGGTGCAGGGTCCCAAGGCTCTGGGCCATCCTTGACTGCTTTCCCAGGCCACCAGCAGCGAGCTGGCAGGGAAGCGGAGTAGCCAGAACATGAACCAGCACCCATATGGGATCCCAGTGCGTGCAAAGCGAGCACTTCAGCCGATAGACTGTCACGCTGGGCCCAGCTGAACTGACTTTTAATTTTATCTTACCACAATCTTTTTTATTTTTTAAGGACTCTTAGATGTTGCTGTATTTGGCCTACTAGAATTTCGCTGAGATCTTTTGTGTATACTTTAAAAAAAAATTTGTAAACAATTTTATTTGAGAGGAAGAGGAGAGAGAGAATCTCCCATTTCCTAGTTCCTCCCGCACGTGCCAGGAGCCTGGAGCCAGGCCCGGCTTCCCGAGTGGGTGAGAGACGCCCATCACTTGAACCGTCACTGCCGTGCCCACATTGTGCCTTCGTGGGAAGCTGCAACTAGGAAGGGTAGGACTTGAACACATGAACTTGGACAGAGGGTGCAGGTGTCCTGATGGCTGGACCGAACGCCTGCCCCTTACCTGCTTTGTAAGAGATGTTGGTCTGTAGTTTTCTCTGTCGATTTCTTCGTCTGGATTTGATATTAGTGTGCCATTTGTCTCTTAGACTTGGTCGGGAGGCATTTCCCCATTTTTATTTTGGAAGGTTTGATGTCACTTCTTCTTTAAATGTTAAGTAGAATTCAACAATGCTCCTTTTGTTCCTTGCCTTTTCACTGTGGGAAATTTTGATGGCTGATTTACTCTCCCTATATATTTTATTTGTTCACGTTTTCTGTTTCTTCTTGAATCACTTTTAATAACTTATGCCTTTTATTACACCTATTTTATCTAAATGTATCTGTCCATTTTGCTTAGGTTGTCTAATTTATTGGTACACAATAGCATTATGCTAAGAGGATTTTATTTCTGTAAGGTCAGTAATGATATCCCCCCCTCATTCCTGATTTTAGTAATTTGGCAGTTGATTCTTCATTGTTGTTGTTGTTCTTATCCTAATGAAAGCCTATAATGTTTTAAATAACCAACTTCTGGGGCCCAGTGTGTTGGTCTAGTGGCTAACGTCCTTGTCGCGCTGGGATCCTATAAGGGCGCCAGTTCTAATCCCAGCAGCCACGCTTCCCACCCAGCTCCCTGCTTGTGGCCTGGGAAAGCAGTCAAGGAAGGCCCAAAGCCTTGGAACCCTGCAGCCATGTGGAAGACCCCGAAAGAAGTTCCTGGCTCCTGGCTTTGGATCAGCGCAGCACCACCTTTGAGGTCACTTGGGGAGTGAGTCAGCAGACGGAAGCTCTTCCTCTGTCTCTCCTTTGTATATCTGACTTTCCAATTAAAAATCTTTAAAGTAAATGAACAAATAAATGAATAAATGGGGCCCGGCGCGGTGGCGCAAGTGGTTAAGGTCTTCGCCTTGCACGCCCTGGGATCTCATATGGGCTCTGGTTCTAATCCCAGCAGCCCCACTTCCCACCCAGCTCCCTGCTTGTGGCCTGGGAAAGCAGTCAAGGATGGCCCAAGGCCTTGGGACCCTGAAGCCATGTGGAAGACCCCGAAAGAAGTTCCTGGCTCCTGGCTTCGGATTAGCACAGCACCAGCCATTGCGGTCACTTGGGGAGTGAGTCAGCAGACGGAAACTCTTCCTCTGTCTCTCCTTTGTATATCTGACTTTCCAATTAAAAAATCTTTAAAATAAATGAACAAATAAATGAATAAATTACTAACTTCAGATTTTATTGATTTTCTACATCCCATTCTCAATTTCATTTTTTTCTTTTTATTCTTTTTTTCTAAAGATTTATTTATTTTTATTGCAAAGGCAGATCCCACATCGTATCACAGTGCATTCAAGATGAAGACTTTAACCACTATGCCACTGCGCCAGACCCAGTTTCATTTATTTCTATTATAAACTTTATAATTTTTTTCTTTTGCTTGCTTAGGGCTTAGTTTGCTTCTCCACTTTCCCATCTTCATAATGTAAAGTATTAGGTTCTTGATTTCAGATCTTTTTAAAATATGTTTAAATTTCTTGGAATCAAGATGATGGAATAGGGTAAGGACTCGTTTAAACAGATGGAGAAATATTAACCATTGTGAAGCTGAGAGGGCACATTCCAGGAAATAGGAGAGGACAGAACAACAGCAGAGGGGTACCTGGAGGCTGACAGACACAGGAGAGCAGTGGACACAATGGTGTGGTGTTGCAGTGACTGATAACCCAGCAACATTCAGTAACTGGTGATCTGAACTCTACCAGCAGCCGGAACTCCACCAGCAACCAGGTGGGAAGGGACGTTCACCAGGAGCTCAGGCAGTGAACCCAGACAAAGAACTGCCCGGCCTACTGGCCTGATTTGACCAGGAGCAGAGACAGAGCAGCAGGTCTCAGAAGGGCAGTGCAGGAACAGGGTGGATTTCACAGCCCAGTGGTCCCTCTACAGCCATATCAGACGCCATTTTGTTTAAGGAGGCAAGGGCTGTGAACAGTATTGCACGTGCGCTGAGCTGGGAGCAGCTAGAGCTCGCACTGTTGCCTATACGGCTGCTGGCCTCAAAGGGGCAGCCTGCACCACAGGTGCCTGCCCTGATACTGTTATCTGAATACTTTGAAATGTTTGTTTTTCGTTGGCTTTGTGTTATATCTAGATATGGCCCTCTTTAGATTTACTGTACTTGAAGTTTTCTCAGCTTCTTAAATATGGAGCTGCATGCTTTTCATCATAGATTGGGAAATTTTGGCTATTTTCTTCTCGAACATCACTTTCGATGTTTCTGTTTTTTCTGCTTCTTGGCACTCACATGAAGCACACGTGGGTGTGTTTGATGGGGTCACACGAGTATCTGAGGCTGACATTTTCTTCACTGCTTTAACTCCTTTCATTTTTGTTTTTATTTATTTTTTTCTTTTCTCAGACTGGGTAATCCCAACTGACCTGTCTTAAAGTTGGATGAATCTTTATTTTTCCTGCCAACTCAAACCTGTCGTTGAATATCTCCAGTGAATTTTCATTTTAGCCCTTATGCTTGCCAGCTTTGGATTTACTAGTTGCTTCTTCTAATTCTTTCTATTACAGGTTTCTAACTGGTGGGGCATTATTCTCCCATTTTCTGTAACATAGACATGTTTTCCTTGCACGTATTTATAAATAATATTTTAGGAAATAAGTCTAATGCCTAGACTTCCTATGAACAACTTTTGACTGCTTTCTCCCCTGTGCACATGTCATATTTTCTCATTTGTTTGCAAGTAGCATGATTTTTTTTTTTATAAAGAGAACTGGACATTTTAAATGATTTCATATAGAAACCCTGCAAAGAAGGTTTTCCCTCCTTTCCTGGGGCTGATGGGTTCGGGGAGCTGTTGCTGTTTCTTGGGAGATTCTTCTGGAATGAGTTCCTTCTGTGACGTTCTGTAGTGTTTACTGTTTTGGCTTAGGGCCCTTTCAGCAGTGAGAGAGTTCCTTATGCGATTTGACCCAATGGACTGCCCAGCCTTGGTGCATGGGTGTTGTTGAGGATGGGCGGGTGAAGGAGTGCCTTCTACAGCAAAGTAGACGCCCTCCCTTGCTGTTGGTGAGGTGACACATAATTTGAAATGAATGGAGAACGGACTAGAGGGAGTTGGCTAACAGGTTCTGAAACACAATCAGGCAGAAGTCACAGGTTCTGGTGTATGTCATAATAGCATACATAATACTAAGAACTGGAAGAGAGGAATGATGGAGTCCAAACATGAAGGAAATGGAAGGCTGGCGGCCTGAGCATTGCATATTAATATAAGTGTTAAATGGGAGCCAGCATTATGGTACAATGGATGGAGCCACTACCTGTAGCATCAGCATCCCATCTGGGCACCACTGCGAGTCCCAGCTGCTCCACTTCTGATCCAAATGTTTGCTAATGGCCTGGGGAAAAAGAGCGGAGGATGGCCCACATGTTTGAGCCCCTCCTACCCATGCCACAGTCGCAGATGCAGCTCCCGTCCTGCCTTCTGCCTGTCCAAGTCCTGGCTATCGCAGTCATCTGGGCAGTGAACCAGTGGATGGAAGAGCTCTGTCGCTCCCTCTCTCTGTAACCTTTACTTCCAAACAAAACCGAATATACATGCTTAAAAATGTTCAGTAATAAAAGGGAAGCCAACATCATGTAATAGAAGGAATTCAAAATCATGAATGATGCCAAAATTAACCAGTTTGTATGATCTGGAAGATAAAAAGTCTGTTGATACAGACAATGAAAATGTTTTCATAAGGAAAAGAAAATAACTTGATGTTTTACTTTCTGCTCTTTATGTAACTCTCAGAAAAGGAGATAAGACCGCATTTTCCCTATTCTCAGTGTAAATTATCCTTCCGGCTCTGCGTTAAGATCCATGCTCGATGTTGTTCACACCAAAAACCTGTATTATGAACATTGCGTCAGTAAACAATGACTCAGGAAGTGTGATCCCTGTCGTCATCTGTGTTATCAGCTGTGGATAAATGAATTAATGCCTTTCACAGAAACCTGTGTCTGAAAGTCTCTCGGTTTGATGTGTTTGTATTCTTACCTAACAAGTAGAAAGCTTAGTGCATTAACCATCATCAAAGAATAGACCGTTAGTCATGAAGATGCCAATTACACAGTACGTATCCACTAGATGTTTCGTTAGAAAAGTGGTAAGATATGGAAAGATTTGAACAAAAGGTATACGGACTAGGACTTCATGATTTAATATCGAAGCAGTTATTTTCAGACACTTCTTAAACTTATTGCTATTCTCACTTTTCAGGGGCCCCTAAAGTGGTTCCAAGTGTGATTAGCGCTCTTGAATTCTGTGCTTTCAAGTTGGAAAACATCCTGGAGTTTCCTGAAACGTATTTTGAGGAATGGGTGGTAATCAATAGAAAAATGAATGAAATGAGATCTCAGTTGGAAGCACTGATGAACAGTGTTGGTGCTGCTTCTCAACTCGTGGATACGGATTCTGGCTCGTAAGTTCCCACCACCCCCTCTCATTTCGGGAGAATGACTTTGAAAGCTCGTTGCGCTGTGAGTTAGCATACTGTAGGAGCCATCCTTTTCGAAGTGTAGAACTTTCATTGTAGTCACAGCCCATTTATGGCTTCAGCCATCGTCACAATCAGCTTGACAGCATTGCACCACCTCACTGAGGAGCCTCGTATGCTTTAACTAGCTCTGTCATCTTTCACCCTCTCCCCCCACCCACCCCAGCCCCAGCCCGAACTCCAAACAATCATGAATTTCCTACTGTATGTGTTGGCTTTCCTCTTCTGAACATATTAAACAAAAGAAACCATATATTATGGGACCTTCTATAGTTAGCTTTTTTATTTTTTTTTTCCTTTTTGCTTTATATAAGGTTTGGGAAATGCACCCATGTTGTGTGTTTCAATTTTTCAACCACCTTTACGACTGTATGTAGTTATATTTTATGGATTACTCTGTCTAGTTTTGAGTGATTGGATCATTTCCATTGCTGCAAAAATTAATGTTCAAGTTTTTTTGGTACATCCTCACCAGGAGTGTATAAGGTTTCCAGTTTGTACATACTTGCCAGCCTTCGTGTCTGCCTTCTTGGTTCTTTCTGTACTAGTTGAGTGTGACATTGGGGGTAGATCATTGTCATTCTGATTGACATTTCTCTGGGGACTAATGATGCCAAGCAGCATTTAATATGCTCACTGGACATTTGTGTATTTTGATTTGAGGAAACACCTTTACAGATTATTTGCTCCTCTTATCATGGGATCATTTTTTATTGACTTGTAAGATTTGTTTGTGTATTTTTAGATAGAAATCAAATTGCAAATGTCTTCTCTTATTCTGTAGGTTATCTCCACTTTTTTTATGGCTACATATTTATTTATTTTATTGAAGTGGAGCTTTACAGTGGGAGAAAGAGAGAGAGAGAGAGAGAGAGACAGACAGAGACAGATATCTCATTTGCTGGTTTACTTCCCAAACAGCTGCAATAGCCAGACCTGGACCAGCCAGGAGCCTGGAGCTTCTTCTGGGTCTACCGTGTAGGTACAGCAACAGTCTTTTTCTGCGTTCCCAGACACATTAGCAGGATCTGGATTGGAAGGGGAGCAGCTAGGACTTTAACTGGTGCCCATATGGGATATCAGTGCCCCAGGCAGAGGCTTAGCCTACCATGCCTGACTTTGTTTTTCTAAATTTTAATCTTATGAAAAATCTTGAAGAGTTCTAGTTTTTAACAAATGTTTTCACTTTCTTGATAGTATCTTGAGTCTGGCACCTTAGACCACTTGGCCATCCTGACACCCGATACTATCTTGTAAATATACAAGATTATTAATTTTGATGAAGTCCAACTTTGTTGTTCTATTTTTAGTGTCATATATAATGACCATACCCTTTGTTTTCATTTTTATTTTTTAAGTTTATTTATTTTTATTTTAAAAGCCAAATTACAGAAGGTAAAGGACAGGCAGAGGAGAGAGAGAATGAGAGAGAGAGAGAGCGAGCGAGCTTCCATCGCCTGGCCCACTGCTCAAATGGCTGCAGTGTCCATAGCTGGGGTGGTCCCATGCTGGGGGCCAGGAGTATCTTTCTGGGCCTCCTGCATGGGTGCCGAAACCCAAGCAGTTGGGTCATCCTCTGCTCCCTTCCCAGGTGTATCAGCAGGGAGCTGGATCAGAAGTGGATCAGTTGGACTCAAATACCAAGGCACTGGCCTCAGATATCCTCTATTCTCTTCTAAACACTTTATAGAATGTACTCTTGTATTAGTATCTGATCCGTTTTGGTTAATTTCTGTGTATGGCATAATGTGAGGATCCAGCTTTTTTCTGTTCTGTGTGTATATTCAGTTGTTCCAGTATTATTTGTTGAAGAAGCCACTTTTTCCAAAGAAATTTGCATCAAAGAGATTAGCACCTTTGATGAGACTCAGTTTGTCACAGACAGGGACTTAATTTCTGTGCTATAAATTCTGTCACATTAATCTGTGTTTAACCCGTGTCAACGCCCCACTCTTCTCTTTCTTTCTCTCTCTCATTTTTAAAGATTTATTTATTTTTACTGGGAAGGCAGATATACAGAGAGAAAGATCTTCTGTCTGCTGGTTCACTCCCCAAGTGACCCCAATGGCCAGAGCTGACCTGAAGCTGGCCTGAAGCCAGCACAGCCACACTCAACTAGTATAGAAAGGGTGCACGGTCCCAAGGCCTTGGGCTATCTTCCACTGCTTTTCCTGAATGTATTAGTCACCATTTTTAAGTTAATTTGAATTTTCAGCCATTATGTATTTTTTAGAATTTCTTTTTCAGGTAATTTCTCTTTCTTACCATTCCCAGAGGTTCAAATGATTGGTTTAGTTACTTATTTATTTATTTATTTATTTAGGAGTCTTTATTAAGCAAGCTTGGTGATAACAGAGCATAGTAGAAATATGGCAAGCCAATCAATCAGAATCCAACTAATCGTAACCCTAAGAGGAACAAATGGTTATTTTCCCCAAGTCCATCCGTTAAGCTGAAGACCTATGTCCCAGCTTCCCCAACATCATAAGTTATCCTAAGAGACACGCAACAAATGAACTGGCCACACTTACAAAGCTGCAGACATTCACCTTTCCCTGGCTTCTCTGCCCACATTCCACTACTGCTCAGCCTTGCCTCTCCTGGAACAGCCGACAGCACACAAACCAGAAATAGCATTGTTATATCCATTGTCCCATCCAAGCAGTAGACAGATGGAGAGGAATACGGGTACACAGGGACCATGCTGAGGGGATACCTTTCTTGCAACAGAAGCACCAACCAGGCTCTCGATCAAGAGCAAATGGATCATTTAAGAAACAATTGGTACCAGTTTCGGGCCAGCCTTTCTTCTCACACTGTCATGAGGGAAGTTAGTGACTGAGAAGATTTTTCAGGCAGTTTTCATTGTGTGTCAAAACCCCTAAGGATCTACAAGTAAGAGTAGCAAGTGTAAAGTTTTACAGTGCAGAGCTAGCATTGGAGGCAAGATCTACATTTTCCAAAGTGTATCCAGCCGGATTCTACTTCCCTGGCGGTTAGGAAAGTGTGTCAACAGCAAAACCATCATAGTAGAGAATCCAAGGTTTTGGCCATCATTCCCTGATGTCCCAAACAGTTCCCAATACCTTGGCTCACTAGGTCCAACCAGGTAGAATCCTTTATTTAGTGAATAGTTACCCTTCTATTGTGAGTAAGTAACTTATCGTTGTTTTACTTGCTTTTTCCTTCAGGGGCCTCCAAGCACACATATACAGCATGATTCAGCAATGGCTTTTGAAGATAAGCAATGAAATTAACAATGGAAACATTGAGCTTCAGCGTCATGTATGTACTTGCAAGGATATAAGAGATTATATTTTGATTTGACTGGGGCTTTCCTTCAGGAAAAACCAGGTCTTCCCTGTGTAGCTAGATCAGGAAGTGGGGAGGCAAAATAGAGCTTCCCCTGTGTAACAGTCATTCAGATGATCTGCAGTAGGTTTGTAAGTGCAGAATATTGTTTCATAAATGAAATTTTGGACATGACCAGAGGATTTTGAGTTCTGATCACTATCTTTACTCTTCATGAAATATACTGAATTTTTTCTCCATCATCATTACGCTGAAGATTAGAGTATTTTCAGGACTTACATGAGGTTTTTATTTTCACCATCCTGTCAGTGCCTAACTGAACATGTTACCAGGAGGGAATAGAAGACGTTATGTACTCTTTCTTGGTCTGTAGTTACTAAAACAAAGATTATTGCACAATGTGAAGGGATGAGCCTGTGTGCTTCTTAGGCAGCACAAGGCAAAATAATCATTTCCAAAGGGTGTCCTGGTTTCCTACATTCACTCTCACTCCTTAGTCTTATTTTGATCTGAATTTACACAGAAATGTCATGTCATACTTAATATGCAAATGTGTCTTACAACATTCATGAGATTAAATTTAATTCATTTTAATATTGCTTCAAGTTAGGAATTTGAACAGCACAAACATATCAAATGCTAATGCTACGACAGAAACATTGCACTATGTTGCAGTTCCATTAGCAAATTGTAAACTTCTAGACAACAAGAGTTGAGGAACAGATATGGTAAGACCGGAAGTATAGATCTAATAGATTTTCAAGCGTGGGAGAAGCTCCTATGTCCTGGGACACAACCAAATGACAAAAAGGGCAGCAAAGTGCTGGTCAGATAGTGGGTGAATATTTGAAGAATGACATCTGAGAGAAAAATTCCAGCACCGTTGGTGGAACACACACACACACACACGTCTCATATACAGGATCTTCTATCTGCTAAGTCACTCCTCAAATGGCCCATTGGGTAGAGGGGTGATGGGTGGTCTAATGTTTGTGGTGGTGGTTAGTGATGAAGAGAAAAGAAAGAGGGAAAGGGATTGATGTATGTTTGATTGGGTTTTTTTTTTTGAGGTGATGGGGGGATTGTGGTGTATGATTTGTGTGGGGATGGAGTTTGAGAGGGAAAATGAAGGGGAATAGGGGGTAAGTGGATTGTTTGAGTTTATGTTTTGGGATGGTTTTGTTATGAATATTGGGGTTAGGGGGGGGTTGATATAGAGGTGTATGTGGATTGAGTTTGGGTTGTTGTTGGGTGTTGTGTGATGTGTTTTTAGTTGGGGGGGGAGTGAGGTTGGGGGGTAGGGTGTGGAATGATTGGTGGTAGGGGGGGAATGTGTAGTTAGTGATGGGAGAGGGGTGGGCTGGTGGTGTGGGTGGAGGGGGGGGGTGAGGGTAGGGGTGAGTATGAGGTGGGTATTGAGGAGGGGAGGGAGTTATGTGGGGTTGTGTTGGGGATATGTGCGTGTAAATGTGGTGTGGGGTTTTGGGTTAGATGAGGGTGAGGTGGGAAAGGTAGGATAGGGTAATTATTTAGAGAAATTTGGGTGGGTTTGGGGGTGTTTCGGAGTAATAGGTTGGCATAAGGGGGTGTTGGTTGCTTGTTGCTCTGGATTAGAAGTGGGCTGCTGGATTCCAGGTCTGCTGATCAAAAAATAATTTTCAAAGGGTTTTGAATTCTCTGGGTATTTTGTTGCTTTTGCTTTGTTGCTCCAATGTGATAGGAGGCGGGGAAGAGAAGGACAGTGTAGCCAGCAGCAATACTGTGTTCTTTTGAGACCTTGAAGGAAACACAAGTCTGATGTTTCCACCAGCTTTGCCACTGTGCTCGTGTATGGAACTGGAGATTTTTGCCTTTCTCTCGGTGGCCTTAGAATTTTTGGGGGGAGGTGGTGTATGTGGCAGGGGAGGGGCGGTGTAAGAATTAGTAACCAAACCAAGTGAAAAAAACCCACACACACCAAAAGGATCTCATTCACATGACATGGCTTGTGTTTTTGCACATACTAGGAGTCATGCGAAGATCTTTGTGATTTCCTGGGTGATTCCATATAAAACTGTGCACTTTTGTTTACTGCATTTAGGTCGACCAAAGCCTCTTTTTTTTTTTTTAAAAAAAATATATATATATATTTGAAAAACTGGAAGATCCCCACCAAATGCAGATGTGGTCTGGAAACTTGGAATGTACTAACTAGGTTGCAGTCACTATGGCTACTTTGATTTTTATAGTCTAGCCAAATCACCCTTCATTTAAAAAATTATTTATTTGGAATGTCATATTACACAGAAGAGGAGAGAGAAAGATCTTCTTTCTGCTGTTACAGTCTGAAGCCAGGAGCTTCTTCCAGGTCCCCCACATGGGTGCAAGGAACCCAAGCATTTGGGCCCTCTTTTACTGCTTTCCCGAGCCATAAGCAGGGATCTGGGCAGAACTGGAGCAGTTGGGATTTGAACCAGTGCCCATATAGTATGCCAGTGTTGGGGGGAGGGAGGAGGGTGGAGGCTTAACCTGCTATACCACAGCTCTGACCCCGTTATTTAGCATTTTAAAATGTTTACATATTTTTATTTGAAAGAGTTACGCAGAGAGAGGCAAAGACAGGAAACAGATGAAAGGGGAGAGAGAAAGGAGGGGCTGGAAAACTGCCTGCTGGTTCCTCTCAATGGACAGGCCTGGGCTGCAGGCGTCACCTGGGTGTGCGTAATGGCAGGGCCCAGACACTTGGGCCTCTCTCCTCCAGTGTTTCCTGGGCCGTTAATGAGGATCTGGATCAGAAGTGGAGCATCCAGGACACAAAGTGATTCCCAAAAGAGATGCTGGTGTCACAAACCATGGCTTTACCCACTCTGCCACTATGCCAGCTGTGTCTCTCCATTTAATTCAATGTTATCAAATATTAAAAGTGAGAGGGGTGGAAGGGAGGAAGAAGGTGAGAACTGAGAAAGATGTAAATTGTTCTTGGTCAGTCAGCAGCTGAATTGTGGTGGTCTATTCCCACTGTGCGTCGTATCTTAGACACCAAGAAGGGAAACTAATGGACAGGTGGTCCTGAGTGTGTGTTTCCTCTTTGTGGCAGTTGTTGTAAAGGGGTGGCAACAGCAATGGCTCTGAGTAAGGCAACTCACTCAGACAAAAATCCTGCCAAGGAACTCGAGGATCTGGATAAGATGAAGGTAATAATTCTGTCTTCCCTTTAGTTTTGTTTGTTTTTAACACATTTTTGAGGTTTAATTGGGTTGGCAATAAGCTGCTTCTAAAGTATACAGGTGTATAGGTAAAAAATATGGATATACCCACAAAATGACTACAATACCAATAGGGAACATGTCCAACACACCCCGTTTGCTTGTTTCCCCCATGGCAGTTTGAGCTGCCTGGAGATTACATCCCGACCCAGACAATATTTGCTCCACTCTGTAACACGCAAGATTACCATTTGCTACAATTTACGAGAGTAATAGAAAATGAGTTTTTTTTTCTGGTCTGACTTCTATGATTGTATCTAATTATTTTCAGATTCAGACACATTGTTGCTTTCACCCAAACATTCATCTCTGAGTGGTGAATAAGCAGTTTGTTATACAGACACAGTGTATCCAGTTTCTGTTGGTGAGCATGCGAGTTATTTCCGGTTTTTAAAAAATTATTATAAACAAGGTTTCAATGAACATTCATGTCTGAGTTTTTGAATGAACATTTAACTTTTGTTCATCTCGTGTAGTTGTCTGAAAAAGGAATGGCAGAACCAGATGAAGTCTATGCTTAAGGCTTTTTTAAAAGATTTATTTTTTATCGCAAAGGTAGATATACAGGGAGAAGGAGAGACCAAGAGAAAGATGCCGGTCCTTGTCCATACATGGTGTTTCTCTCTGTCTCTCTCTCTACCACCTGCTGCCTCTCCAGGATGTGCGCTGGCAGAAAGCTGGGCAGAAATGTAGGAGTTGGGACATGAGATGTGAAATGCACGCATCCCAAATGATGGCTTAACCCACTGTCCCACATGCATGACCAAGTCTTTGGAAAAGACGTTCTTAATGTTGATAAGGTATACTCCATCAAAATTTTTCTTTTACAGATTTGGTATTCTATATAAGGTGATTTATGAGTTTTAGGCTTTATATTCAGTTCTGTGACCTTCTTTGAGTGGGTATTTGTATGTCTTTGTGTAGCTAATTGTTTTGTACCTTTTTTTTTTTTTAAAGATGAGAGATACACCTGCTGGCCAGTTATGTGTGGGTGTTATTCTGGGCATTCAGTTGGGTTCTATTGGTCTGTTTGTCAACATGGCCATCAGCACTAAGTTGTCTTCATTACTGTATGTTGGTAGTTAAGTTTTCATAATATATGTAATCCTTTATACCTAATGAAAATACAAATGGCTACAGTTTTGTTTAGAATTTTTGTATTGGTGTTCATGAGAAATTTATATATTGTTTTGTAATATCTTTGGATTTCACATTAGGTAAAGCTGGCTTCTTAGAATGAATTTGGAATTGTTCATACTCCTTTATTTACTAAAATAATTTGTGCCAAGTTGCGTATTATTTCTTCCTTAAATGTTAGAATCCAGCAGTGATTTCAGAGACTTTCTATGGGGATTTTTTTTAAGAACATTTGAAAGGTAGAGTTACAGAGAGGAGAAAAGGGGCGGCATCAGGGCAGGGCTCAGTTTGTGGTTTTACTCCCCAAATGGCCACAACATCCCATCCTGGGTTAGGCTGAAGCCAAGAGCAAGGAGCTTCATCTAGGTCTCCCATGTTGGTGCAGGGACCCAAGTACTTGAGCCATTCTCAGCTGCCTTCCCAGGCACGTTAGCAGGGAGCTGGATTGGAAGTAGAGTAGCTGGACCGAGTAGCTCACCTGTTGAATGCTAGTCCCTTCTCAAAAAGTTAGCAAATACAGAGCGATCCAGTTATAGAAATTTCCAATTTCATTAGCAAATCTAAGGACATTTCTTTAACAAATACAGAGCTTTAATTTCTTCCTTCTGTAATGAGCCCAGAGAAAGACCCACCCAGTGGACATGAGAACTTGTAACCGGAGCCCTTCAAATGGGTTTCCGGCTGCGATGAACTCCCTCCCTCCTGTGTTAGCTGTCAAGACCTGCTGTCAACCTCGGGCTCAAGTGGCCTCTCTAATGTCACCTCAGATAATCTGCTAGCTCCAGGAGGAGTGTGACTTTAAAGAGTCCTAGGAATGTGCCTCTGAGGGTGTCACTGCAGGTCAACTCAAGCAGGTTGCAGCATTCCCCCTCTTTTGAGGTGATCCAAAGATGATGGATTTTTTTTTTCAATTAAACATTTTATTCAAGGGGCAAAGAGAGAGCTCCCATCCGCTGGCTCACTCTGCAAATGCCTACAGTGTCCAGGAGGATTAGGCTGATGATGAGCCAAGAACTCAGCCCAGGTCTCCCATATGGATGGCAGGGACCAAACTACTTGAGCCATCAGCTACTGCCATGCAAGGTCTACGCTGGCAAGAAGCTGCCATGAGGAGGCAAGGTTAAGGGTCAAACCCACGCACCCAATACAGAACACGGGCATGCTGACCAGTAGGCCAGACACCTGCCTGGACTGTCAACGACTGTGTTATCGTCCATTATCTCACTACCGATGGCTTTGGATCATCTTGGATAGGCTTACCGTTTAGGACCATCTGTCATGTCTTAAATCCAAGACACAAATGTTAGCCCTTTTTTACCAGAAGCATCTCATGAATACAGCCCAGAACCAGACTTCATTACGATGAAATATGAAGAGGATTCACGGGCGAAGGAAGATCCACGTGTTGATGAGTGGCAGCCAGGCTGTCCTTGTTGATGGCTGGCAAGGGGTGATGTGGAAGATTTTAAAGGAAAAGTGCTTCACTCTGTTGGAAGGAGTGCCTAACTCCACAGATTACTGTAAAACTTTCATCAAAAGATTCCCAATCATATTTTTTCTGTATTGTAAGTCTTATCATAGTATATCCAATGTCTCAGAGGCTCATAAGAAAAGAACTAGCACTTCCTTTGTAATATGTGCATGCAAATAGAGAATAGTTGAATCATTTCTCATGAATGGTGAATGAACTCTGAAGAAATAAAAAAAATTTTAAATATAGTCACAATTTTTATTTTTATGTTATTTTTCATATATTTTTATTTTTAATTCTGAATTATGTCGTACAATTTTGTATAGGCTGGGATCCTTCCACCTCACAAACTCCCATTTTACCGCCTTAGGCTTCAGTTTCCTTGTCTGTAACATTAGAGTTTACTTATTGTTTCTTAAACTTTTTATTCTGATGCTTTATAGTAATTTCACAATTAAAAACATAAGTCCAGGAGCAGATGGTTTGGTCTAGGGATTAACGCTGGTTAAGACTCCCCGCGTCCCAGCTCGAGTTCCTGCATCTCAGTCCCTGCTAATGCATACCTGGGGTGATGGATGAAGCCACTGGGTGTCTGTTGCTCATGGGGGACATCAGGATTGAGTTCCCAGACCCTGGCTTCAGCCCCTCTTCCGCTCTGCCTCTGGTTTCTTGTCACTTCACTGTCCTTCGTGCCATTACAACCCAGCTCCTGAATCGTATCCATCAGAGATGCTGTAATTGATGTCTGCATCCACAGTAAGTCACTTCCGCACAAACCTTTGAGCTCAGATGGTTCAAGGATGTGTGCTGAGCAGCTCTTCCGTAGCAGTGAGTCATGGCTGTGAGCTTTTCTCCTGCACAGTCATGATCTTCTGTCTCTTTTCAGAGAGAATGTTATGAGTGGATCAATACCTGCTCTCACCTCGTGTCTGATCTCAAAGGCAGAACTATAAAATTGCTGACACACGAAGAGCTGCTGCAGCTCCTTGGAGAAGAGGTATTTGCACAAGTTAACACACGTGTTTGCTCAGATTGTTGCTGTGTTTCAGCGGGTAAGGGGCCGCGGCTTCTTCCACTGGTGTCGTGAAGCCTCGTCATCAACTCAGAAAACTTTGGTTCCAGTCTGTAAAGAAGTGGCATAAGTAGCCACTTGTCATCTCAGAAACAGTAAATTTGCAACTTCTTTTAATGGTAAATGAACTGATCCAGTCATCACAGACGCAGCTGAGATAACCAACCTGCTCCCGGGCCAGCAGCACCAGCGCCTCATCGCCGCATCAGTCTCAAAGGTCCTGGCTCCCACTCTGCTATCCTGGTGATCGAGTTCCAACTCAGACTGTGGCATTGTCTCTTCAAATACTGCCTGCTGCCTCCACTTCTGGAACACCCAGCAGTGTGTTAGAATCCGTGCCCGATGCCTTCCAGTGATAAAAATCCATGATACGATTTTTAATGTACTTTTTTTGAAAGGCAGACAGGGTGTTATAAATGTATAAATCTATCCAGAATACTCAACAAACTCTTGCAAGTTGGTAAATCTGAGAATATTTATTTTCTTGGTTTTTAAAAAATATTTATTTATTTTTTTTATTGGAAAGTCAGTTATACAGAGAGGAGGAGAGACAGAGAGGAAGATCTTCCATCCGATGGTTCACTCCCCAAGTGGCCGTAACGGCCAGAGCTGAGCCAATCCAAAGCCAGGAGCCAGGAACCTCTTCCGGGTCTCCCACACAGGTGCAGGGTCCCAAGGGTTTGGGCCATCCTCAACTGCCTCCCCAGACCACAAGCAGGGAGCTGGATGAGAAGCAAGGCCGCTGGGATTAGAATCAGCGCCTATATGGGATTCTGGTGCATGCTAGCTGCTAGGTTATCGCGCCAGGCCCAAGAATTAATATTCTTAATTTCTTCGTATGACTTAAATATGTTTCATGAGGGCGAGTATTGTTTCTTGAGATCTTTCTATTTGCAAGACAGAGTTAGAGAAAGAGAGAAGGATTTCAATCACTACTTCAATCCCCAAATGGCGGCAATAGCTGGAGCTGGGCTGGTCCCAAGCCAGGGGCTTCTTCCAAGTCTCCCTCCCATGTGGGCAGCAGGGGCTTAAGCACTTGAGCCATCCTCCTGCTGTACTCTCAGGCCGTTAGCAGGGAGCTGAGTCAGAAGTGGAGCAGCTGGGACTAGAATCCATGTTCATACGGGATGCCAGCACTACAGGTGGTGGCCTTACCTGCAACACCACGGTGCTGGCCCTAAGAAAAATATTCTTACTTTACAAAAATATCCTAGTACTGTATTGCCAATACTTTCCTGAACCATGAACATATTTCTACGGCATAGTTCAAATGTTCTGTAAAGTATTTGGTGGTAGAACTTCTGTAACTTCTCTGTGTGATTTCCTGTTGTGGGCGTTAGACTAATTTCCGGCATTTGCTTCTATGTCACCATCCAGAGCACGCTTTCAGTTGGTGTTTCGGTAGCTCCTGGGCAGGACTCCCAGCCAGCGCCTCCCCTGACTCCTCTGCCTTGCTGGTGGGCCTGTTGGATCTCGCAGGCTGCCTTCCACCTGCCCTCTGCAGCTTCGTTCTCTCTTAGTCCTTTGTGTGAGGTGCCTGTAGTGAGTCCGCATGCTCTCCCCATTTGCCAAGCTTTCATGTCTTTAAGTGTTTGTAATTGTGAAATCCCTGTCTTTTACCCAAATCCCTCCATCTAAACTCTAGACTCACCCTCAGTTGCTGCCTGGATATTTCACTTGGCTGGCTCGGTTTTGGCCCACTTTAGTGCACATCTGAACTCCTCCAGCTTTGTTCCTTATCTCTGTGCGTAGCACCAGCTTTTACAATGGCCTTAACCATCAGCCACGAAATGAGCTGTTTCTCAAACCATCCCTTGTCCATCTCATATGTCTCCAAGGGTTGTCTTGCCAGCAACCCTTCAATCTCCATCCTCCTCATCTCTGCTCTCGTTGTCCCGCCCCTCCGTGCCAGCGTCTTCTCTCAGCCTCCTCTCCACGCCTCTCCTGCCTGTCCCCTTGCTTCCCTTCTGTTCATCAAACCCACTGTGCAGTCGCTTGACTGTTTGCTTCAAGAAAGCCCCACACAGCTCAGTCGAGGTATTGGAACACAGCTGTCTGCAGGGCACGGTCCAGGCTCAGCATGACAAGCGGACTGCACGGTCATGTTCGTGTCCACTGGCTTCCAGGTTTCTAACCTGCAGGACTGTGTTTGTCTCAGAACCAGCCATCCTCTGTCCAGAGCGCCTCTGCCCTCCTTCCCTTCCTTGCAGAGGAGACTCAGACACTGGGAAACCTCCCTGAGAGGCCCCTCCCCACCCACTACCTGGCCCAGCCAAGTGCTCCTACTATGTAACTGTATGTCGGTACCACTTGTTTTCCTTGGAGTTGTAAGCTTCTTCTTAAGGACAGGGACTTTTATTTTGTTTAAGGTTTATTTATTTGGAAGGCAGCATGAAGAGAGAGGTGGGTCTGGGCCAGGAGGATAAGAAAAGATCTTACAACTGCTGATTCACTCCTCAAATGAAGGCAACAGCTGGGACAGGTGCACGCAAAAGCCAGGAGCCCAGAACTTTGTGCAGCTCTTCCAAGTACGAGGGCCATCCTCGGCTGCTGGATCAGAAGTAGAGCAGCTGGGAGTAGGGGGAGTGGCGTTGTGGCATAGTGGGTAAAGCCGCTGCCTGAGGCACCAGCATCCGACCTGGGTGTCAGAGACTGTCCTGGCTGCTTTGCTTCTGATCCAGCTCCCTGATAATGGCCAGGCAAAGCAGCAGAAGACGGGCAGCCAGAATTCTGATTCATACTTCATAATGGGGTGCCGGCATTACAGATGGTAGCTTAGCTCACTGCACCACAGCACAGGCCTGGGGAAGGAACATTCTTATCCATCTTTCTGTACTTTGTGTCCCAGCACAGCACTCAGCTGCACGAGTAGTGCCTCGTAAATATTTCTGGATAAACAATTGCTAATTCTTATGTATACTAAGTTCTGGTACTGTTTCATCTAACAGGAAGTTGCGAAAGAATTGAGGGAGTCTGAAATGAGTAAAGATGTTAAAAAGGCAAAAGAAGATAAGGAAAAGAAGAAACATCAGGAGAAAAAAGAAGAGGAGAAAAAAGAAGAGGAGAAAGCAGAAGAGGTAGTATCCCCTTGTATCCTTTCTCCCTGCGTAGCTTTAAATTCTGTACACATACCTATGCAGGAGTGTGCGTGCAGGAGTGTGCACGCAGCAGTGTGCGAATGCAGGAGTGTGTGTGCAGGAGTGTGCGAATGCAGGAGTGTGTGTGCAGGAGTGTGTGTGCAGGAGTGTGCGAATGCAGGAGTGTGCGTGCAGGAGTGTGTGTGCAGGAGTGTGTGTGCAGGAGTGTGTGTGCAGGAGTGTGTGTGCAGGAGTGTGCGTGCAGGAGTGTGCGAATGCAGGAGTGTGCGTGCAGGAGTGTGCGTGCAGGAGTGTGCGTGCAGGAGTGTGCGTGCAGGAGTGTGTGTGCAGGAGTGTGTGTGCAGGAGTGTGCACGCAGGAGTGTGCGAATGCAGGAGTGTGCGTGCAGGAGTGTGCGAATGCAGGAGTGTGCGTGCAGGAGTGTGCGAATGCAGGAGTGTGCACGCAGGAGTGTGCGTGCAGGAGTGTGTGTGCAGGAGTGTGTGTGCAGGAGTGTGCGTGCAGGAGTGTGCGAATGCAGGAGTGTGCGTGCAGGAGTGTGCGAATGCAGGAGTGTGCGTGCAGGAGTGTGTGTGCAGGAGTGTGTGTGCAGGAGTGTGCGAATGCAGGAGTGTGCGTGCAGGAGTGTGTGTGCAGGAGTGTGTGAATGCAGGAGTGTGCGTGCAGGAGTGTGTGTGCAGGAGTGTGCACACAGGAGTGTGTGTGCAGGAGTGTGCGTGCAGGAGTGTGCGTGCAGGAGTGTGCGTGCAGGAGTGTGCGAATGCAGGAGTGTGTGTGCAGGAGTGTGTGTGCAGGAGTGTGTGTGCAGGAGTGTGCGTGCAGGAGTGTGCGTGCAGGAGTGTGCGAATGCAGGAGTGTGCGTGCAGGAGTGTGTGTGCAGGAGTGTGTGTGCAGGAGTGTGCGTGCAGGAGTGTGTGTGCAGGAGTGTGTGTGCAGGAGTGTGCACGCAGGAGTGTGTGTGCAGGAGTGTGCGTGCAGGAGTGTGCGTGCAGGAGTGTGCGTGCAGGAGTGTGCGTGCAGGAGTGTGTGTGCAGGAGTGTGCGTGCAGGAGTGTGCGAATGCAGGAGTGTGTGTGCACGAGTGTGCGAATGCAGGAGTGTGCGTGCAGGAGTGTGTGTGCAGGAGTGTGTGTGCAGGAGTGTGTGTGCAGGAGTGTGTGTGCAGGAGTGTGCGAATGCAGGAGTGTGCGTGCAGGAGTGTGCGTGCAGGAGTGTGCGAATGCAGGAGTGTGTGTGCAGGAGTGTGTGTGCAGGAGTGTGCACGCAGGAGTGTGTGTGCAGGAGTGTGTGTGCAGGAGTGTGCGTGCAGGAGTGTGTGTGCAGGAGTGTGCGTGCAGGAGTGTGTGTGCAGGAGTGTGCGAATGCAGGAGTGTGTGTGCAGGAGTGTGTGTGCAGGAGTGTGCGAATGCAGGAGTGTGCGTGCAGGAGTGTGCGTGCAGGAGTGTGCGAATGCAGGAGTGTGTGTGCAGGAGTGTGTGTGCAGGAGTGTGCACGCAGGAGTGTGTGTGCAGGAGTGTGTGTGCAGGAGTGTGCGTGCAGGAGTGTGTGTGCAGGAGTGTGCGTGCAGGAGTGTGTGCTTGCAGGAGTGTGCGTGCAGGAGTGTGCGTGCAGGAGTGTGTGTGCAGGAGTGTGCGTGCAGGAGTGTGCGTGCAGGAGTGTGCGTGCAGGAGTGTGTGCATATATCTAAAAAAAGAGAGGTGCATTTATTTATTTGAAGCAGTTAGAGCAAGAGAGAATCTTCCGCCAGCTGGTTTAGTAAGATGGCTGTACGTGCTGGGAGTAGGACAAATTCAAACAGGAGCCAGGAGCTTCTTCTGGGTCTCCCACGCGGGTGTAGAGGCCCACACACCTGGGTCATCCCGGGCATAGGATGTGGGTCACCTGGCATGAACCCTTCAAGGCTGTTCCTTCTCGCAGGTGCGTATGACCACACTTCCTTCTCAGAGGAAGTATTGTCCCTTTTTTTTTTTTTCTAAACTCACTCTCCTCTCACTCCTGTGCTCCTGTGAGCTCCACAGTTGACCTATGACCCTGGGGCTCTTCCGCTGCATCTCCCTTGCCAGGGTTTTCCAATAGCAGTTTAAACCACACACCCTCACTCATTCAGCTCCCACTCGGAGCTGCTGCCGCTCGCTCTCTTTGTACCTCCTACTGTCTCCGCCCCTCCTGTGGGCCATTTGTAGTAGTAATAGCCCTTCTTAAGGCGATTTACAATGATAATAATAATCATCCCATAATGACTGCCAGTAACAGTGCGTGTTATGTCATGAGTGCCCCTCATTCTCTCATCTGTGTAACGCTGCTCCAAGGTACATGTTGGTGATCCCTTTTTCCAAGTAAGAAAACAAATTCAAGCAAGTTGACTGACTCACCCAACACCATATAGCCAAAGTGGTAGAGCCAATATTCAAAACCAGGCGAGTTTGGTGTAAGGAGCTTGGTAATTCCTAGATTCCCCAAACTCAGCGTTACCTAGCTCCCTGCACCACATTTCTTTCTTTGCTTCCCTGATGTTTCTTCTTTGTGTATTGTTTAAATGTTACTGTAACACCAGGCTGTGTCCTAGGCCTTCTATAGTCATTGTACCTGCAGGACGCAGAGCTGAAACACTGGAGAACACCCCAGCATTTTCTCACAGTTGGTTAAGTGCCACTTGTGTTGGTGGTGTCTCATCTGAGCACCAGTTCAAGTCCTGGCTGCTCTACTTGCAATCCAGCTCCCTGCTCAGACTCCTGGGGAGGCAGCAGCAGATAGCCCAAGGACCTGGGCCCCTGTTGCCCGGGTGGGAGACCTGGATACAGTTCAGCCTAGCCCAGACTTCGCTGTTGCGTACATTTGGGGAGTGAACCGGAGTGTGGAAGATATTTCTCTCTGTCTCTCCTTTCTTTTCCCCGTCACTCTGCCTTTCAAAGATATATACACTTGAAATATTTATTTAATATTTATATGTGTGTATATTTTTATTTATTATTTTATAAGCACCTGTTCAACCCTCAGATGTTTGTTTCTGTATACACAGGGGCAGAATTGAGGGCCCTTTTCTGGGTATGAAAAGGCCTCGGAGCACACCTGAATCCCGGTAGCAATCATGTTGGGCCATGCTGTCTCCCTGACTCAACTGTGACTTCCTGGGGGTCTGGAGTGAACCCCTTCCTCCCCATTCCTCCCCAGCCAGGGCCCCCCCCCCCCCACAGTGTTTGCCAGATGTTTCGGAGGAAAACAGAATAAAAAACACAGCTTCCAAGGCGTGTGGGTCCCACGGGGAGCCACCGCCTCCCATGTTGCCTGCACGTCCCGTCCGTGTCAGCTCCACGTTGCCTTACTAACTGTTCCTTGTCACTCACGTGCTCCAGGAGCCTTCAACATCTACAGAGAAGGAACAGATCATTCGATCCATTGGAGAAGATGAAAATGTTCATTCCAAACCTCTCTTCGGAGCAGACATGCTGTCATCCTGGGTATGTATCTGAAGCCCAAGTCGGAAATTCAGAATTGCTTTGCCTGACTTACAGGTGGTACAGCTCGCTGTCTCTAACGTGGCGTTGGGGCTGCCAACGCTACTGGGCTTCTGTCAATGTTTTTCCTTATTCATTCTCATGTCTGGAAAAACTCAGGGTTTTTTTTTGTTTGTTTGTTTGTTTGTTTTTTAAAGATTTATTTATTTTATTAAAAAGTCACATATACAGAGAGGAGGAGAGACAGACAGGAAGATCCCCCATCTGCTGATTCACTCCCCAAGTGGCTGCAACAGCCAGAGCTGAGCTTATCTGAAGCCAGGAGCCAGGAGTCTCCTCCGGGTCTCCCACGTGGGTATGGGGTCCCAAGGCTTTGGGCTGTCCTTGACTGTTTTCCCACGCCACAAGCAGGGAGCTGGATGGGAAGAGGGGCCGCCGGGATTAGAACTGGCATCCATATGGGCTTCTGACGTGTTCAAGGCAAGGAATTTAGCTCCTAGGCTACCGTGCTGGGCCCTTGGCTAGTTTTAAAGCCTGTTCACTTTGCTGAGAGCTCTGACAAACACATCTCTCAACCACAGCAGAGGCGTGAGGTGACTCAAGGACACTGTTTTATTGAATGGTTGCCCAGAGTTCGTGGTCCCAAATCTGCTCTTCCCAAGAAGCAAGGCAGCAAGAGGACCTCTTTCTTTCTTCATTTTAAAAGATTTATTTGATTCATGTGAAAGGCAAAGTGAGAGAGAGATCATCTGTCTGTTGGTTCACTCCCTAAATGGCCACAGTAGTTAGGGCTGGTCCAGGTCAAGGACAAGAGTCAGGGACTCCATCGGAGCCTGTCACGTGGGTGGCAGGGGTGTACCAGCCTCCACTGCTTCTGTGAGCCCATTAGCAGGGAGCTGGATCACAAGTGGAGAAGCTGAGCTTCGAACCAGGACTCTGCTATGGGATGCTGGGGTCTCAGGGGCATAACCTGCAGTGCCGCAATTTGGGCCCCAGGTTTATAGAGGAGTGGGGAGTTGGGGAAAGTTAGGGTAGAGAGATGAGGGGGTCTAGATGATTGGTTATCACACATGTTTCTAGGTTCAACCTGATGGTCATCCTGACACTAACAGGTTGGAGATTTCTTCGGCATGAAGGAAGCTTGACTATTTATAGCTGATGGTGGTAAACTGTTTCCTTGTCCAAGGGCTGTCATCTTTGCCATTTCCATGCAGTTAGCTCCTGAAATTCTTACTGATTGATTGATTTGAAAGTCAGAGAGAAAAAGACAAAAAAAAAAAATCTTCCATCCACTGATTCACTAGCAACTGGTCTCAACATCCAGAGCTGAGTGAGGTCAAATCCAAGAACCAGGAGCTTCTAGGTCTCCCACCTGAGTGTAAGAGACCAAGCACTTGGGCCGTCCTCTGCTGTTTTCCCAGGAGGGTTAGCAGGCAGCTGGATCAGAAGTAGAGCATCCAGTAATCAAACTGGTGCCCATATGGGATGCCAGCACCTCAAATGACAGCTTTGCATGCTATACCACAGTTACTGATTCCCTGCTTTGACTATTACAACACCCAGGCCCGGGGCAGGCTAAGTTCAGGAGCCGAAACTCCGTCTGCATCGTCCCTGTTGGTGGCAGAAGCCCTGGTGCTTGGGCTGGCATGCCCTGCTTTGGGCTTCGAAGGAGAAATGTGAGCAAGATAAAGGTTTTTGAACTTCAGGTTGGGGCATTAGTGGGGAGCCTGGTGTGCCTTCACGGAGATGCGTACAGTGGGAGAGTCCAGTGGATGAGGGATGAGTAACGTGTCTGCAGGTATCCAAATAAGACATTGCTAGTGCAGATGGCCTCAGGGCCCCACCTGGCAAACCAGGGCCGCCCTCACTTTGTTGCTGGGTGCCCAAGTGCCCACCGTCCCAGGGGCTAAGTAGTCCCTTATGTGAGCATTGCTGCAGTAGGCTGGCAAAATGAGCCTAGCTCTGCGCCCCGCCTCCATGCGGAAACATGCAGACATGAGGGTTTTTTCTGAAGCACACAGTTCTGGGGAAATGTCAGATTTTCATTTTAAAATAGATGCGCAATTGTTGTCCTCTCTCACATTTTAGAAATTTAGTTTTCAGGAATATGTGTGAAGTCAAGTGATATATTAAAAGTTTTTTGTTTGTTTGTTTGTTTGCTTCTGCTTAGTAAAGCTTCACATCTTTAGTTTCTATTTAGGAAGCCCCTAAGGAATGTAAAGATCTGATTGGATTTTGCATAGCTAAGGAAAGTGTTTATAGTAGGATAGATACTTTCCCTGATCTCGAGTTTGATTTATTAAAGCAGCATATTGACCCTTCTCCCTTAAAATACATTTCCCATTTCCTTTTATTGCTACTTCCTTGCTTGCCTCCTCCTTACAGCTCTAACAAAACCCGTGTCCACGTCTTTAGCATGAGCTATTTGGAAGGTGTTTTTGCTTTTGTATAGTTTGTCTGTTGACATTATTGGGGTTCTTGATCTTCCACTGCGCATCCTGCAGTGTAGCGTGTTGCCTGTCCAGACTCCCAGGCCCCTCCTGTTGCATCCTTTCTTTGTCAGAGAGAATCAGCAAAGCAAGGGACGCTGGCCCAGAAGTATCTTGAAGCAATGGCTGTCATTGAACACTTGCAGGAGAAGGTCATGTAAGTATGTGGTACCACAGCCAGAGGCACAGACCCTGGCCCAGAGCTTCGGCTGAGAAGTCCACATGGCTCGGCTTGCCTTCCCCTCTCCTGCCGTCTTTACTCTTCAAACTGCAGGCCAGAGGCAGTGAGCTGCAGTGAGAGCAGTTGTCCTTGACCTTTAGTGCAGGGGGAGGAAATCTGAGAGAGAGAGAGAGAGAGAAAAAGAGTAGTGGTGGTGGCGTTAGGAGTGATCCAATTCAGCGAGTTTTTGCAAGATGACTTGAGGAAAGAATGGAATGGGAGAAGCGATTGCCCTTGAAGAAGGACCATTGCAGAGATCACAGAGCAGGCGTGGCGATGCATGTCCAGTTCAGATGGCTGAGGAGGCTGAGGGAGGAGCGAGGTCAGCTCTGGGTGCTCCTCAAAGGGCCTTGATGATGAAGGCGCGTTCCCAAGGCTGAGTCTCCTGACTGCGACATCAGCTTTGGGGGTGCTAGCAAGGAAGGGACTCTCCTGGACTTGGGTGGCTGATCACATCCCGAGAAGCCAAAGTTGGCTACTGACAGGGGATTCCTTGGCTCTAGAGGGAGGATTTCAAGCGCACAAGTCAGATGTCTCCAGAGGTGATAGCCATGCTGTACTCTTGGTGCTGCTGCTATGGCTGCATCCCCTAGGTACACCCTTCTGACACATCCCGGTGACCCCCACTGCCCGGGTCTAGGTGTTGCTTTGTGCCCCGCTGCCCCATTAGACAGTGGTGCTTTACCTGCCCTCTCCGTCTCTTGTCTTTCTCCGGACTTTGCCAGGGAGGTTGAAAGCAGAGCCAGACTGGCAGAGGACAAGTTTGAGGATGTCAACGAGCAACTTCATTACACCCTGATCAGGAACAAGGATCTGGAGAAGGAGTTGGAGGAAATGGTCATGAAGACTAGAAAGAAGGAGACCGAGGGCGAAGAGGACAATGAAAGGGACAAGGAGGAGGGCAAGGAAGATGAGGCCGAAGAAAAGGAAGAGGAGGAGATCAAGCCAGCCGAAAGCGCCTCAAAACCACTGAAAAAAGGTGGGCCGGCCTCCTCGGTTACAGGCGAAGACTCGGCAGGGTCATGGGCCGCGATACCAGGACCTTAGCGCTGACCCCGTCAAAGACAGGCACAGCCACCTAACCGTCTCGCTCGAGCCACTCATTAAGAGAAGGAAGCGAGTGACCGACAACTGTACTAAACACGGGAGCGAATTTTTACTTAAAAAACTGGCAAAGAATTTTTTTAAATTTATTTGAGAGAGAGAGAGACAAAGAGAGCTCCCATCAGCAGGTTCACATCCCAGATGCCCACAACTACCAGAATCAGGTCTAGGGAAAGTTAGGAGACATAGCTTAACTCGGGTCTCCTACATGGGTGAACCCAGCTGCTGAACCGTCAGCCTCCTGCCCGCCAGGGTCTGGGGAAAGCTGGAGTTCGCACCTTGAGCCAGGAATCAAATCCAGGTGGTCTGAGGTGGGACAGACATCTCCCTCTCTCTCTCTCTCTCTCTTTTAAGATTCAGTTATTTTTATTGGAAAGTCAAATTTACAGAGCGAAGCAAAGACAGACAGAAAAATCTTCTGTCCACTGGTTCACCTACCAAGTGGCCGCAACAGCCAGAACTGAGCTGATCTGAGACCAGGAGCCAGGAGCTTCTTCCAGGTTTCCCACATAGGCACAGAGTCCCAAGGCTTTGGGCTGTTCTTGACTGCTTTCCCAGGCCACAAGCAGGGAGCTGGATGGGAAATGGAGCAGCCGTGATAGGAACTGGTGCCCATATGGGTTCCTGGCAATGTGCAAGGCAAGGATTTAGCCACTGAGTCACTGCACCAAGCTCAGGACACAGACATCTTAACCACATCTCAACCACTAGACCAAATACCCTCGCAGTCATATATTTTTTTAATTAATAATTAATTTGGTGGGCCTAGCACAATAGCCTAGAGGCTAAAGTCCTCGCCTTGCATGTGCCAGGTTCCCATATGGGTGCTGGTTTATATTCTAGTGGCCCTGCTTCTCATCCAGCTCCATGGGAAAATAGTTGAGGACGGCCCAAAGCCTTGGGACCCTGCACCCATGGGGGAGACCTGGAAGAGGCTCTTGCTCCTGGTTTCAGATCAGCTTAGCCATTGCGACCACTTGGGTAGTGAATCAGCAAATGCAAGATTTTCCTTTCTATCTTTCTTCTTCTCTGTGTATCTGACTTTCCAAGAAAAGATAATAATTTGAGGATAGATTTCTCATTCACTACTTCATTGCCCAAATGCATCTGATCCCTGGGGCTGGGCCGACGCCAGGCTCGGGCAGAGGAACTCCATGCAGCTCTCCATGTGGGTGGTGGGACCGCTCTTTGAAGCTTCCCTGCGTTTCTCAGGGCGTGCGGGGGCGGGAAGCTGAGGTCAGGAGCTGGAGGTGGGAGTTGAACCCAGGCATTCTGACAGGAGATGTATGCATCTTAATCTCAAACAGCTGCCTCAACTTTTTAAAAAAATTTAAGAAAACATAATGGGGTCCAGCATGATGCCTTAATGGCTAAATCCTTACTTTGCACACTCCAGAATTCATTTGGGTGTTGGCCTGTGTCCCGGCTGCTCCACTTCCCATCCAGCTCCCTGCCTGTGGCCTGGGGAAGCAGTCAAGGATGACCTAAAGCCTTGGGACCCTGCACCGCATGGGAGACCCAGAAGAAGCTCCTGGCTCTTGGCTTTGGAGCAACTCAGCTCCGGCCGTTAAGTGGACAGAAGATCTTTAAATCCCATCTCCCTTTCCAATGAAAATAAATAAATCTGAGAAAAAAAGAGAACATAATGTATTTATGGCAGTGTAGTTAGTTTTATAGACAAACATATATAATCCCAACGGAAAATGACTTGATGGGATGAGTGAGTGGACTAGTGGATAATACGCCACTTCCGGTAGAATGTCCTATAGTGGAGTGCCTGTGCTCAAGTCTGTCTCTGCTTCTAACTTCCTGTTAGGACACCCACATGCGAGACCTGGGCTAAGTTTTGTGTTTGTTTGTTGTGTTTCTTCCTCGATAACACTTGAGATACACATGGAGAAGGAAGAAAGAAATGCTTTTCCTCTTGTTCCTTTTCATTCCTGAACCATATATGGTCCTGTCCCTCAGGACCCTGGCAGGCCAGTGATCACACTTAAACTTGGGGAAATGCATTCTGAATGCCAACAGCCAGTCTCAAGTCAAACGTTTGACACATAGCTTATTTGTAGCTTGGGGATTCCTCAAGGCAGAATGGGATTCTAGAGTTGCTTTGTAAAGCTAACTGCTCTTAGTACATGTACGGTTTCTACAACACTGTAATTGTTTTTGTCTTTGTAGAAGCATCCCGCAAGGAGGTGACTGGTGTCACAAAATCCAAAAGCCGCGTTAGATATACCAAGACCAAACCCAAGTAGCCCTGGTGGCACCCTGGGGGTCACTATGGCCATATCCACCGCACACACCCAGAGGGCACTGTGACACGCAGCTGACAGCCGGCTTCGACACAGGGCCTCACCCTGCACCAGCGTCAAGGCCAACCGCCTCACTCCACCCGGGAGCATTTCCCTCTCAACGTCGCTGTGACAGCTGAGGGAGCCACTGTGTTACAACATGTACTTTCCAGATTAAAAATAGCTGTTCCAAAGTTTATCCATCTCTTCAGTTGATTTTTTTATGGAGTTTGCAAAGATGTGTCTCTTTCTGGCCAAAAAAAAATAATTACGTTTTTGGAAGACCTTAAGCTCTGACCAGAAGGCTGAAAAATGGAAGTGTTATTAACGTTGTTTCTTGAGAAGCGAGGATCCTGCTCGAGCCCAGTGGTTTCTGCAGCACAGTCAGCTCTCCCACCCTTGATGCTCATGGGAATGCTAAGAGCTAGGTGATGCTCACGGCAGTGCTACAGGCTAGGTGATGCTCACGGCAGTGCTACAGGCTAGGTGATGCTCACAGCAGTGCTACAGGCCAGGTAAAGGGGATATTGCTACATTATCCTATTTGTCAGAAGTAAAACCCAGTTGGTTGTAAGACTCACCAAGGTCACGGAGCTGGCAGGCAGAGCCCCAGCTTGCTGCACTCATTTCTGGGTTTGAATAGTCTGGTTTTACTCACAGTCAGTCCCACTGACCTGCCTGTGGTCAGGACACCAGTCTGGTCCTTGGTAGCACGCATGGACTGCGCTTTCCTCTTCTCTTAGCCTTTGCTGGCTGATCCTGTAATGCTCAAGAAACCATCATCTGGTATTTCATTTGCAGAGGCTGCTAGAAATTCTGTCTACAGGTCTGAAAGCTCTAGAGCACTGGCTGCCCATTTCTGGAATCCCAAATAATTGTGTCCCCTCCCAGTCAGTACCTTCCCACAGGAGGCAGAGTGTTTAAACATAGGCCTGCTGCCGAGGTCCTGGATGCTGTCCTTGCAAAGCCCAAAGGTGTGCTCCTAGCCAGGGACAGAGGCCTGCTGCAGCCAGACTGGCAGGAAACTGGCCTGGGGTTCCTCGGGACCCACAGCTGTGCCTGAGCACACTGGAGGACCCCTCCTGCTCAGCCTGGCCACACAGCCTCACGGTCATCTCCCATTCGGGATTGCTGTGTAGGTCCACTAATGCCCCTGACCTTGAAGATTAACTCTGCACACAATGGGCACTGAAAACTAACTCAACCCAACCGACCCTACCATCCAGCTCACTCTTGTGCTGGAGGGTGCTACTGCCTGTCCAGCCAGACCCACCCCAGGCTCTGATTCTCGTGCTCACCAGTGGGAGTTGCAGCCCGTCAGAGAGGTGCCCATCATTTCCCCAACAGGCCTGCTCCCAGTCCTGGATCTTGCACTTGTCAGCTCATTCTGCAGTCTAGCTTGACAAGATTTGCCTCTAGTCCCAGCACTTGCCAGCTGATGCTGCAGCAAAGCCAACCAGCCTGCACTTGCTCTGGCTCATGCATGCACCAGTGGGTGCAGTTAGTTAGCCCAGCCTGAACTCTCCCCTCTAACCCAGTTCACATGCATGGCAACAGGTGTTGTGGCTCTGCCAGGCCTGGTTTGCCTCTGGTCCCAGCTTTCATGCTCACCAGTGGGGGCAATGACCCAGTAGGGCAGCCCCCTGCAGCCCTCTCCCACCACCACCACCAGACTCATACCCCCATCTCCAGGTCTCATGTGTGCTGGTGGGTGCTGTGGCCCAGTCTGGCATGACTCGCCTCCCCTCGGCATCCACCAGTGGCATGCTATAGCCTGGCCTGGCCCAGCCCACTAACAGTTCCAGCTCATGCTGGTGGGTGCTGCTGCCCAGCCCAGCCAGCCCCCAGGCCCAGCCCTAATGTGAACTGGCTGGTGTTGTGGTCCAACCTGGCCTGTCCTGTACCCTGTCCTGGTTCTCTGATTTGCCAGTGGGTGTTATGAACTGGCTCAGCCTGGCCCGCTCCCAGACCTGAGTCACACGTGTATTGGTAGGTACTGTAACCTGACCTGGTCTGGGGTGCTCCCAGCCTTGGGGTGCTCACCTGCAGGGACTGCTCGCTGACAGAGGAGTTCCCCAAGCTCCTCTATCAGGCCTCCTCCCAGTGGAGATTCCAGTGGCAGATTTTGCACATACCAGTGGAGCCTTGGTCCACCTCCTGTCCTGTGGGAATACTTTCTTAGTTACTTGGTTTTCTTTCTGTAGATATTCACGTCAAATTGTTTGGGCAAATTAATGGAAAACAAGAGACTATAGAAACTCATAAATGTTTGTACAGGCGGGAACGCTTAGGGCGGCGGTGGTCCTGGAGGAGGTAAGCAAGCTGGAACACTCTGTCCCGGAAAGAGCTTACTCTCAGTGCCCACGCACGGTCATCTCCAGACAGGAGGCGGCAAGCCACTGACACATGTCATTACTGCCTTGTCTGCTTCACCAAGGAGTCTCCATAGAAACCATTCCTTTCACATTCTTTATTAGGTGTCATTGTGTAATAACTCGACTGCATTTCGTTTTCTTCCATTCGGGAACTCTTAACATGTCCCTGGTACAATTCTCAGGGTTAGGAGTGAGCACCGGGAAGAGAGACAAAACGACAGAGTGGTGTGGGCAAGTGATGGAGACACGCCTCTGAAGAGTGCTTCACAGCATGTTGGGGACAGGACAGGAGAGGGGTGAGTGCAGCGGCTCCAGGAAGGTCCGTGGCAGGTGCACAGAGGGGCCAGAGGACGTAAGACTTCTAAACCGTCTGCAGAAGCCAAGCGGGAGCCGCACTGAGGCACAAAATCCTTTCCAGGGACCAATCTTGACGAGCTCTCTCCCTTAATGTGGATTTGAGAAGATCCCACACGTGTGACACGCCCTCTCAGTCCCTCTGTCCTCTGTCTTCTCGGTAATGGTGCAGTGTCACTTTCTGCATTCCCAGGGCACTCCACAAGGCAGCCAAGGGTGGACAGAGCCTCACTCGGGGGGACAGGCTTTGACATGCCCGCTGAGCCACATGGCCCTCGGCTGCTGCTCCCCTACAGCATGGGAGAGTCCTTCTTTTTGGGGTTCAGTGGCTCCACGGGCTTGGGAGGACTTGGGTAGGGGATGCTTCCTTGTGTCCTGCCACTGGCGGGGGACAGGAGGTTGAGCAGATCGAAGGGCAGCGGTAACACCACAGTGGAGGGCTTCTCCGTGGACAAGGACTGGAGGGCGTGCAGGTAGCGGAGCTGCACGGCGGCCGGAGTGCCGGACAGGATTTCGGCAGCCACCCTCAGGGACTCGGAGGCGGCCTTCTCCCCTTCCGCGGCGATCATCTGGAAAACAGGCGAAGAGACACGGTGACGGGGCGTTGGTCCAGGACGGCTTTAGCGGCCGTTCAGTGTGACAGCAGACAGGTGGTGAGCCCCCACGTGGCAAGCCCCATGAGGCACGGGGTCTTACAACCTCAATCTTCTCCCGGAAGCGACTGGAGCTAGGGAAGCCACTGGATGTTAACCAGCAGGTAAAGCGTAGTCTGTTAAGGGCCCTGGCCAGCAGAAGGGACGCTGGGGACGCTCCCAGTGTCTGGCCAGCAGAGGTCGCTCAGGCACCAGGGCACGGCGAGCGGGCCAGCACTTCAGCCCAGCTCGCCGGCCAGCTGGCACCTGACTCTGAACCCCTGTGACTGTACCTCCTCCGGGACAGTGCATATCTACCCTTTCATCCTGCTACCTAGCACCGCGCTGTCAACAGCAGGCGGGAAACAAGCAGCTGTCAGATGGAAACGATGGGCAGAAAGGACTGGGAAGCAGCTCTGCCCAGTGGAGCATCAGTCCTCGACACTCCAGGAATATTGGTCCTCTGTGTCCGAGGGGCTTTCCTTCCCTGGCTCACTGCTCCTTGAACGGAAGCTGCCTCCCCACTCACTCAGGTTTTCTCTTTCCGACGCCCCAGGGCCCCTCCCCAGGGCCCTACCCCAGGCTGAATAGCTGAGGGGCGCGGCTGCACCTCCAACACCTACACACAGAGGGATGCCAGTCTGAGCTAACCAGGGGTTACTGGCTTAGATGTGACAGGTGAGAGCTGCCAGTGTGAGAAGTTGGGGAGCCCACAGGAGCCCAGGAGGCAGTGGCTGCCAGCAGCCTCACAGAGCACTGTTGGGTGGCCCCTTGTCAGAGCAACGTGGGCAGACTGGAGGGTGGGACTGGGGTATGGGAGGCCGGGTAAGGCTCCTGGGCAGGCCTGCCTCCACCCCTGCTTCTGTTCTCAGCTCCAGCTCACCCGCACTCTGGCCTGTCGTTGTGCCTCAGCTTCCACGGCCAGGGAGTGTTGGAGGCCAGCCGGCAGCCTCACGTCCTTACTGCAAGAGAAGGCAGGCAGGCAGGTGGGTGTGCAGCAGCGACGTCAGCAACCGGGACGTGGCTAGCCCTGCAGCCCTGCGTGCTGGTGCCTCAGGGCAGCCGACAACCGACTGCACAGGTGCACTGGCCCAGACCTGCAAGTGGCGGGTGGCCAGCTCCGAGCACCTACCACACGGAGCCTCAGATACCTGTGCTGGGATCACCATGACTGCGTACAGCCACGGGCTCCACTCGTTGGCCCTGCACCTTCCGGCTGGTAGCCCAACTCCCAACCCCCGCCAAATAAAATTTATCTAAATGCTGATTATTAAATTTGGAAATGAAAACAAGCTTGATAAGCCATACTGTTTTTTAAAAAGAGTAATTAATCCAAGTTAGTAACAGAAACGACCAAATAGGAACAACACTAATGTCATGCATTCAAAATACAAGACTGTTTTTTTCCAAGTCATCACTACGGAAAAAATAAGTGTGGGTATGGAAATCAATTTAGCAGTTCCTAAGAAAAGCTAAATACAGAGTTATCAAATAACCCATAATTCCACTCCTAGGTGTGTCCCCAGAGAATTGAAAACATGTTCATACAAAAACCTGCACCATGGCATTATCCATGCCAGCCAGGAAGCGGAACCAGCCACACGAACTGATGGATGGAGAGGAGATTTTGTATGTGGGTACCATGGCACATTACTGGACCCCAGAAAGGGCTGCAGGAAGAAAGGAGGGTCCTGCTCAGTGGGTGCAGGCTTTCTCTGAAGGTGACATTGATGTTCTCAAATCACAACATCTGAGTTATGGACTTGCAGAGGACATCCAGTACCACAACAGAGGAGGCAGGGCAGAACATACGGACAGCTCTCCCCAGATGCACATGGGCCTCGGCAGTCCACTGGGGCCTGCAGAGGACATCCGGTACCACAGCAGAGGGCATCTACTACCATGAATGGCAGAACAACTTGGACAACTCTTCCAGCTAAGCTTGGAGACTCTAAGGTAGACTGTCAGTCAATGGACCTTGGAAAGGTTTCCTCATCCTTGCAGCAATGAAAGCAACGACATTCCAGAACTATCAAAACCACTTGAGCAGTACTTGGAGCATGCTCCCATCAGGGACACTGGGATAACACTGGGTGGCCGTCCCCCGTTCCCAGGCACTGATGCACTTGGGATGCTGGGTGCAGCTTCTCCTTTTCTTCCCCTGCTTCCATCAGATACAGGAAGAAGAAAAAGAAAATTGGAAACAATGGTGGCATCCACTTTCCCTACTCCACGATCTTCCCACCCTAGTTAGTACTCAGCATGGGCATGCATCCTTCTTAGCTATGTAATCATCACAAATAACATTTTTTAAAACCAATTTAAATGGTTTTGTGTAAATTTTTTCTTAAAAAAGAATTAAAGGCCTAAAAAAGAAACCATGAGAATAATTTGGCCAAACGTTACAGCAGTTTATGGCAATGAGATAATGAAGGATATTTTCCTTTTTTTCCCCAAATTATGGCTGGTGTGGCTTTAGAGCACTCCACGAAAATAACTTCATGAGAGAGAAAGTTTTCTTGATGATTTAATCACTATTTTAGTACCAGATAACGAAATCACATCAAACTGTTTGCCAGGTCCACACTGTTTCCCTGTGTTAAGTTCACACCCACATTTCTGTCCTCTCCACTCTGATTCCCCAGATGCAGGTCACAGAATCCAGGGCGACCTGCAGAGGGAAAGAAGAGACATCAGTGAGATCCTCAGTGGGGAGCATGAGCCCCCCACCCCACCCGGGGAACCTCAGCAGGGATTGTGAAGTCCCCACCCAGTAGGCTAAATAATGAACCCAACAATGTCCACATCCTTAGCCTTGGGACCTGGGGTTAAGAAGCTCTGTGGAGCTGCGATGAAGTTTAAGGGTCCTGAGACGCAAAGATGACGCAGGTGTCCCTTACAAGGGACAGGCTGAGGGAGATTCCAGCACCGCCGAGCAGAAGGGATGCGATTCAGGCAGCAGAGGATGCAGCAATGCATGTCAAAGACTGAGGAAGGCAGGCCGCTGCTGCATCCCAAAGGGAGGAAACGGATGCTCAGAACCTCCAGGGCCAATCCGCTCCGCTAAGGCCTTGACTCGAGTCCAGGGAAACCGATTCTGAACTTAGTGACAACTTGTTCCCAGAAGCTCCAGGAAACCACACTCTCCAGGCTGGATTCATACTAAGTGCATTGAGAACCCTGCAAAGGCTGACTAAACTTGGTGATAAAATCACAATGGCAGTATCATAAAGGACAAGACTTTTCCTATGGAGATAAAAGATGAATTCAACACAGAGGACACAGCCCAAGAGGAGGCATGGAAGGCCTAGGGCTGGACGGCAGGTAAGTAGGCTGCAGTCTGAGATGCATTGGGATGAGGATGGCTGTAGGTGATGGCTGCACCTGCTGGGTCATTTATTCAACTCATCCACAAACATCGTCTGTCTGCTGTAGGGTATGCCCTGACACACTGGGTGCCGGGAGGACAAGAAGAAAAATGAAATACCACCCCGTCACTAGGGAATTCAGCGGGGAAAACAAACAAATGTGTGAATACATCAATTGTTACTCACTGTAAAAGAGTGAGTTTGCATGGTCAGAGTTTGGCCTTTCTCCTTGGGAGAGATGAACAAAGAAAACAGACTGGAAAACAGCAGAGGAGCAAGTTGAGTGGCTTTTAATCTCCTGGGCAGGTGTTCAGCAGCAGTTACACGGCTGCTTGGGGTGCCTGCATCCCCCTCAGAGCACCTGGATCTAACTCCCAGCCCACTCCTGATTCTAACGTCCTGTACTGTGCACCTGGCAGCAGGGGATGCTTCAAGCACTTGGGTTTCTGCCTCCATCAAAGAGATTCAGAACAGTTCCAGTTCCCAGCTCCTCCTTACAGGCATTTGGGGAGTGAACTGACACATCAGGAGATTTCTCTTTCTCTCTCAAGTAAATAAAATAATAGTAACAAGAGTTAAGAATAATAAAGAGTAATTAAAGGAAATCATGCAGGTCCCATAAAGCACGATCATCATCAGTACCTTGCATTCTTTTTTTTTTTTTAAAGACTTATTTATTTTTACTGGAAAGTCAGATGTACAGAGAGGAGGAGAGACAGAGGAAGATCTTCCGTCCATTGATCCACCTCCCAAGTGGGCGTGACAGCTGGAGCTGAGCTAATCTGAAGGCAGAAACCTGGAGCTTCTTCATGGGTGCAGGTTCCCAAGGCTTTGGGCCGTCCTCGACTGCTTTCCCAGGCCACAAGCAGGGAGGTGGGTGGAAAGCGGGCTGCCAGGATCAGAACCAGCGCCTACATGGGATCCCGGCATGTTCAAGGCGAGGACTTTTTAGCCACTATGCTATCGCTCTGGGCCCAGTGCCTTGTTTTCCTACACTGCCTCCATCTGAGGTCCTCTTTCTAGCTCAACAAGACTCACAACCTCGTAACCCATTTCTGGGCCTGGGTTCAACGGCTGCAGTGACAGGCTCTGTCCCTGACTGTACCTGCTGCTTAATTGGTCAGTGGCCTAGAACCCAGCTTCTCTCCCTACAGCCTTCATCAACCTGTCTTGGGAAGAATGAAGGTCGTGGAGGAAGCTGCTGAGCAGGCTGCCCAGGTCCAGGTGAGCTGCTTGTGATGTACCTCTGGCTCTCTGGGCCACCTCTGACCCAAGGTTAATACAATCCACGCAATACTCATCTGGGACACACCCACCTCTTTTTATCTGAAAGTCTTATTTGAACTTCGCCCACATGATGCTGGCTATTCCAGTGAGTACAAGCTCCCAGGACCACCTTATTGCCCCCACTTACCATTGACTTTTCCTCCCAGCACTACCTGCCCCCAGCACCCTGCAGCAACCATGCCCAACACTGGGCACCAGGTGAGCACTCCACAGGGCATTTCAAGTCACTGGGTAGGGCTGAGAGCAAAAACTGACACTGACCAACTGACCAGCAGCAGACCGGTGACTGTGGGTGAAGCAGGGTCATGTGACAGCCTCCTAACTGTCTGTAAGTTCCCTGGCACATGGGATATTTAATAAAAGGCCAACAAACAAAAGAATGTTAAAAAGCAGATACTTCAACAGAGTGAACTTAACGTTGCTCTAAGCACCTTCACATCGTGCGCGATGCTCTTCCTCTCCAGAAGGATCTCGGGGAAGGAGCGATGTGCTAGGAGACGCTTCGTGGTCGTTTGCACAAGGAACGGGAGCGCCTTGGCCACGTGAGCAACACTGCTCAGGAGCAGAGAGGCGTTCTCCACTCGATAGGAGCAGACGGCATCTATCTCCATGATCAACATGTCTTTGGTCACAATCTAGGTAGAAAAAGTGTACATGACAGGAGAGATTCTTGGGTTCCATTCTCATGTGGGGATAGGGGATACAGGAAATAAATGTATTAAAAGGAGATTTTCCCAGGGTAAGGTTTATAGCAAAGGGCAAGAAGAGGGGAGGGGGTCCAACTTTATTCAGAATAGAATACGTCTTTGGAAACCATGGGATTTTTAAAATTAAACACATTTATTAAATACATATTAGTTTTATTAAGTACATGTTTATTATGTATTCAAGTAAGGGAAGTCCATTGGCTATCATTTTGTTTTTTAAAAATGTGAAGAATGATGTTCTTACATGAATACATTCAGTTGATTTTTGTATGAGATCATTCCAGATGTAGGCCAAAAGCATGAACAACTGTTTAAGCCATCTTGAAACTGACTTGTTTGCCTTTGTTGTTGTTGTTGTACGTTGTCTTTACAGCCTAGCCACCAACTACTTTGAGCACACAGTTTACTAATGTTTTCTCCCATCCCACAGGTTGCCTTTTCATCCTGTATCGTGTTCCTTGATGTCCTGAAGTTTTATTCTGTTATAATTCATACCTCTACTTTTATTTCCTATTTTGAGCATAAAGTGTCATCCAGCCCCGAGCCATGGGAAATACAGAGGGAAAACAAAACAAAAAACAAAACAAAACAAAAAAAGCCATCCCTTAGCCTACCTCATGAAAAGGCACTTCCAAGGTCTGAAGTCGGAGGTCAACCTTGTGGTAGGTATCCAGGCATGGTAAAAAGAAGAAAAGACCTAGAGGAATGGGAGAGGGGAGTGAGGGTGAACAGCCTGCATGGTGCATCTTTCGGATTCACCTTTGGCTGTTCTTAGCCTCCGCCTCCACACACACACACACACACACACACACACACACACACACACACCACTGCGCCGTTCTGCCTCCACCCTTGCAGCGTCTTTGTTTTAGCTGGGCTAGCGAGTCACTTCCGTCATGATGTTGGATCTCTACTCCCTCCACTAGGACTGAAGTCCCCAGGTGCAGTGTTATGGTCACTACGGCCGGCCTGAATGTTCCACTTAGCACTGTTCACGTCCTCCATCAAGTTGGTTTTGGATTCTACTGAGCATACCCAGACATCAAACTTTACAGGCAGCAAGTTACATGAGCTAACTCTGAAAATGTGACCCCACTGCTCATCAGAGCAGCCGTGGTTAGTAAGTCCCCACCCACTACAATATAGACTGATGTGCCACAGATACTTGGAGACTGGTAAAGGAGATTCTTCTGACATCCCACTGAATACTGTGGGTTCCTGCAAGAGCCAAAGCTCTGTTAGCACCAGCAGCCCTCTCCAGGTCCAGGAGCTATCCAGGGGACCAGCTCAACTACTAGGCTTTCTTGGCTCCAGCTGAGAAAGCTCCTGAAACCAGACCCAGAGCAAGACAGTCTGCATCCAGGAACTGCAGGGTTGGTTCTTTTTACTATGTGGGCCATCCACTGGTTCTGAAGTCACACTCCGGCTTCTATTTCTGGTGTGTATATTCTACCTATTTCTGCAGGCTTGGCTGAGAAGTGCGACCTATTCCAACATATGCCCAGTGGTTCTTTCACTGCTCATGGCTTCCTGGCCGGGTTAGATCTTCCCATCTCAACCATGCCTCTGTGCCCTGTGGTCATCCTGGACCCCTGATCAGCAACTTTGTTAGATCTGAAGATCAGAAAACCAGGCCTTCCTCATCCAGCTTCACATCCCGCGGCTGTCAGCACGGTGTCTGAAGCACAAGGACTGCTGACTTCCACCAAGCACAGGCTCACCTTTTACTTGGATTCCAGACTCGGCCCATCTCCTGTGATTTGATCAGACCCTCTGGCTCTGCACTAGCTCACCTTGCCTCCAGGATTTCACAGGCTTCTGGCCATCCACTTGTACTCATTAGCCCTGGGTCTTAGCTGACCCACTCCTCCAACTGGAGAAGCAAGGCTTGGCTCAGGCAGACAGCTTCTCTGCACTCATCTCTGCCTTGGCTGCCTGGTGCCAGGGAGTAATGCTTCCCATGGGATTTGTTAACAAAACTGTTATAAGTAACAAACTGGAGTATAAAAGCATCATGAATCAAAACACTTTGAGCAGTCTGAAATAAGTGTTACAAATATATGCAGGAAGGAAGAAACTGACAAGTATAGAAGGGTGGTAGTAGCTAAAATATAAAGTTTCTGAGGCCAGTGGGGGTGGCTTAGCAAGCTAATCCTGATTGTGGCACCAGCAACCCATTCGAGAGCCAGTACAAAAAATAGTACGCTTTGCAAACCTCCCAAAGTTAATATTTTAACATCAATATTTTATTATCCAAGTTACTCCACTTCCACTCCAGCCCCCTGACAGTAGCTTGCACAAACAATGGAGGCTGTCTCAAGCCCTTGGGCTCCTGAACCCATGTAAGAGACCTAGAAAGAAGCTCCTGGCTCCTAACTTCAGACTAGCCCAACTCTGGCTGTTGCAACCATTTGGGAAGTGAACCAGTGGATGGAAGATCCTGTTGTCCCTCCCTCTCTCTCTCTCTCATCAACCCCAACCTTCAAGTAAAATAAATAAACCTTTTTAAGAGAAAAAAAGATTTATTGATTTTCATTGGAAAAGCAGATATATAGAGAGAGGAGGAGAGACAGGAAGGAAGATCTTCCCTCTGAAGGTTCACTCCCCAAGTGTTGTGGCCAAAGGAGTTGACTAGCACTCGTTAAGCCCAGCACCGCAGGGAGTGGGCTTGGGGCTAGAAGCACCTGGTCTACTTGGACTCAGCTGTATCCAATATGAGCTAATGAGGGGGGAAGAGTAAACAAGAATTAGGTGAAAGGTCAAGAGAGGAGGCACTAAAGGGAGGCCCCAGTGAGAGACTAGAGAGAGACTTCCACCATCACTGGTCTCCTGTCGTGCCTCATCCCCCCAGATCCTCCCCGTGTCCACGTGTCCACGTTACTGGCTCTGCTGGCTGGTACACCCAAGTAGCAGCAACTGCTGGAGCTGAGCCAATCCAAAGCCAGGAGCCTGGAGCTTCTTACACGTCTCCCACACTGGTGCAGGTTCGCAAGGCTTTGGCTCGTCCTCAACTGCTTTCCTAGGCCACAAGCAGGGAGCTGGATGGGAAGTAGGGCCACTGGGGTTAGAACCAGTGTCTACTTGGGATCCCCGTGCATTCAAGGCAAGGGCTTTAGCCGCTATGCTACTGTGCTGAGCCCCAATAAACTTTTTTTTTTTTTTAAACAAAATGTTTCTTACCAGGGCCTTTTGGTCTTCCAGGAAGCAGATGTCCCAGTCGGAGGATAATTACTCTCTCATACTCTTGCACAACCTGAAGGAAATTTAGTACTTTCAAACTGTGAACGGAAAAGCCTCCAAAAGGCATTACCATGAGAATAATCTTAGGTACAAGAAATATGCTTTGCAAACCCCTCAAAAGTTAATATTTTAGTCTCAAAAGTTCTACATTTAGTAATCATAGAATTTCAGAAACAAACGAAAAGTATTTCCTTGTTGGTATTTGAACTCGGGGACAGAATTTTGATGAAAGACTCATAAAAACCAAAAACAGAATGCTTCTCCTGCGTCCAACATTCCCTAAGCCAAAGAAAGCTTACCAGAGCATGTTTCATTTTGTATTTTGTTGTCACTTCTATATTCCTGTAGTGTTATATATGTATCACTCACTGGCAAGTGAACAGTAAGAGTGTGTTTACTTTTATACCTCTTGTGGCCATTTGTGTCTTATGAGGTTGCTGCAAAATGATTGCACTGGATCTGAACAGGTCAGTTCTCATACGGATCCAGAAAACCCGAGTATGCCCTAGGGATGTGTGGAGACTGCTTTAAGTGGCACACACAGATTCGATGTGTAGAGCTGTGTAGCTGAAGACAACTACCAAAGCCACCGTGCTCTGCTTTAAACCTGAATTTCGCCTCATATCTGGCATGAGAATCTGAGTTCTACTGCTTGTCTGTCTCACTACCTTAGTTGATCTGTTTAGCTGTAAATGTATCTCATCAGACTACAAACTCCTTGGGGATGCGGAATTAGCAATTTCCCCAAAGCCTACTTAATGCCTGATACACAGTAAGTCTTCAGTATTTATTAAGTGAAAGAAGGAGTCATGTGCAACCATGGACAAGTCCATTCCTCCTCACACGCCTTCCACTTTAGAGCACTCTACTGAATCATCAATGCCACGTCCTAACGGTCCTGGGCCCACCGTGGAGGTACATCCTGATTGCTAAATGAAAATGCATTTAATCCACCTAACCTACTGAACAATGGCAACACTGCACGCCGCAGACTGTCAGCTGCTTAGGTTTTGAATGGGTGGCTAACCAGAACTGCAGCTCAATCTTTCTCAAGCCCGAGGCTCTGGTTTTCATTAGCAGTCTGCTCACTGGCTTCAAATCCATGTTCTTGTTTGTGTTTTGGGGGGAAAAAAAATCACCTCTTTCACCAGCTTGTACTCAGACCAACTTGAAGGGGGAGGGGAGGGAACCCTTCACGCTGTTGTTGAGATACCATTTGAAAATATGAATTTCATAGCTTTGACTCTTCGTAACAACAATAACAACTGCTGAAGCCTGACTCCGGATGCTAGTTTGTAAGTCTGGATGTGCATCATTCCTGGGAGGCAGCGGCTTGTGTAAGCTTGACACAAAGTTTCTCCAGCTCCCAGCAGGCTTCGTAACTTGCCAGGTCTCGCACATGGGTGGCAGGGACCTAAGCGCATGGGTCACGTTCCACTGCCTTTCCAGGTGCATTAATGAGGAACTGGATTAGAAGTGGAATAGTCAGGACTTGAACTGGTGCTCGCAAGATGGCAGTATCACAGGTGGTGGCTTAACACACTGTGTCACAATCCCAGTTCCTGTCCCTTTGCTTTAAATTGTTCTCTAAATATGTATCTGGCCCCTAAAAAAACACACATTTGAAGCTTTTCAAGGCAACAGATTCTGCTACCTCACTGCAGGTCCCCTGAAGTCAGTAACCATGGCTGGGTGATCTTTATGAAGTTTTTAACTCCTGTATCTGAAAAGCACCTTGCTTGTTGAAACCAGTCATGTCAAGGAATGTCTGAGTTTGGTCTCTAGAGCCTTCCCCAGAAGTTCCCAATTCTGTGGTTCCTTAGCAGTACATGTTTCTATTCTGCTTTCATTGAAGAAACAAATTCTTCCCAGCAGTGAAGGGGGACTCTTACTTCACTAACACCTTGCAGAATTGTAACTATGTGGTTCTCCTTTGGGGTCCTCTACCTGCCTGGCTTCTTACAGAATTGACTGTCTCAAGTCACTAGTCCCCTAGAGCCTTTCCCACAAAGCATTGTGGAATCATTTGGACTTTGCTGTGTGGCACTCATATGGGTGGCCCGACCCCTTCAAGAACCTGCCGACCACAGGCTGTCTGTGGGAGACACAAAAAAAAAGTGGGGTTGGTGTTGTGGGACAACACCTATGATGGCAGCATCCAGTACAGGTGCCCGTTCAAGTCCCGGCTGTGCCACTTCTGATTCAGCTCCCTGCTAATGTGCCAGGAGAAGCAGCAGAAGATAACCCAAGTGCTTGGTCCCCTGCACCCAAGTGAGAGACCTGGAAGAAATTTCTGCCCCCTGGCCCTGGTCTGGCTCAGCTCTGACTGTTGTGGCCAATTTGGACAGTAGATGGAAGATTTTTCTCTCTCTCCTTATAACTCTGCATTTCAAAACAAGTCTTTTTAAAGAAAAAGGTAAGGTGTACTGGGGTAATGGAATCCACAGAGAAATGCCATGTTCTGAAGCACACAGGAGAGGTTGGCACAAGTAGACAGGGAAGGGCCAGGACATGACTGCTGCCTCCTCTGGGGACCTCACCTTTACGCAGAACCAGATGGAGAAAGGGAAAGTCACTATGATGAACAGCAGGCAAGCGAGAACAAGAAGCCATTCACAGGCCCCTAAGCCAGAGGACTTGGTACCTGAGAAGCAGAAAACCAAAAAGGAATCATTATATCGAAATGTTGCCATAGTTACAGACTTGCCCTCATTGGTCCATTCTTGGTAGTGGGGTCCAAGCAGCTTGGAGACTTTACCAGAAAGAGGCAGACAGCTCAGTGAAGAGAGTTCACAGGGCCTAGGGTGCTGTGGCAGAAGGCCTACGTGGACCTTTGGGAGGGCGGCGCAGGCTTTTGGAAAGGCACTGAATGAGGCTCAGAGTCTGGAACAAAGTCTGCGCTCCAGAACCCTACTGAGTTTTTCTCTGGACTTCTAGCTTCTCCATTTCCCAGCTAAAGGGCTCAGATGATTTCCAACCTGTCTGAGTACACTCCCTTATGTCTGGCAAAGAGGACTTAAAGGGAGGATGTGCCTGGAGCACGGCAGAGACCTGCCCCATGACTGTCACAGTGAAGCCGTAACGTCAGCTTCACTGTTGCATGAGCCCAGCAAGGCTCAATGCCAGGACAGAGGTCTCTCACTGATGGAAGGGCACCATTTAGACAAGGCAGCATTAACATGGTCCACTTATCCTGTACCCAAACTGCAGGAATCCTGCTCCAATTGGGGCTTCCGGTGATCCAGCGTGCCCTGCACTGCCGGCTAACCAGGCAATGGGAAGCATCGCAGCCCACAGAAAGCAGTGCTCAAAGTTTTCTCCCACTCATTATAAAAAGGACTGGAGGTGGACATGTTTGTTTCTAGGGCTTGCGAAAGGGACATCTGATGTGCAACCCTGCCTGGACCTACCGTTCCTCCCTCCTGGCTGTCTGAGGATTCTGCTCCAATTGAGCATCTTCTTCGCTCCAGGCTTAGGCACGGTGCATTTTGTGGCCCATCTAATTTTTAGCCTCACTATTTGATAGTGAAAGCCCTTGCTGTGATCACGTGGCTAGCAGGTGGCTCAATCAAGATGTCTTCCCTCTGCTGCCTCTGCTTTTTAGGAAGAATATTTATTCCAGAGAAGGTATTAGATGTTTTTAAATCCGAGGAGTGGGGATGAGAGTAGTCACACCGCTGTGCAGTGCCACTACCTCATGGTCCCATTGTGATAAGGACAAAACCCCCCACAGGACCACACTGCCTGCCACTGCAAGGGTGGCCCCTAGACTCATAGAATCTAGTTGATGTTGCCATCTGTTTTTCATTTTTAAAGTCCGTTATTTGAAAGACAGGAGGAGATGGTTTACTCTTCATACCACACACCCTCCCTCCCCACAGCGTCTGGGACAGAAAACAGGAATCCGGAACTAAGTCTAAGTTCTCCAGCGCGCATCGGGAATTCACAATTTCTAGAGCCACCACGGTTGCTTTCCAGGATGTACACAACCAGGAAGCTGAAGTCCAGAGCCAGGAATCCAATGCACGAGGCTGCGGCTACATGAAACTTGGGGACGCGCCCCTTGACTCTCCTTCCCCCACCTCCCCCAACTTGTCTATTTTGTTCTGATACACTCGGTGTCCTGCGCGGGAAGCTGCTGGGCTTCTAACTCATGGCTTTCATTTCCTGAGGGCTGAGTGGCTCAGCAGTCAGCTAGGGTTCAGTGAGCTTCAGTGGCGCTGGGTACCTGAGTTGACTTGTTCCACCTACGCCATCCCGTGGGCACCACCTCCCTCCGGGGTACCTGACCTGCCCATCCTACCTTCCTCTGGCCGCTCGCTCTCCAGGATTGCCACCACCTCGGTGCCCTCTTCGCCTGGGCCCCGGACCTCATCCACATCCACCACGGTGTTGGCGGGGGCGGACACTCGGGGCTCCCCGGGGCTCCCCGCCGTTCCGGAGCCCCTCCGCTCGGGCCCAGCCTCCCGGTGTCCGCGGCGTCCCCCGCCCCTGTCGGGCTTGCCCTTCTTGGTCTTCCTTGGTGGGGACCCACTGCTGCTCCGGCGCGCCTCTCTGGAGGCGCTGCGGGGCCGCCGCTCCATCCTCGGGGTGCAGCGTGGTGTCTGCAGCGGCTCCCGCCTGGACTTTAAAGGGCTGGGCACCGGGCTCCGCCCCGCGCCCGCCCAAACCTGGCTGTGACCCTCCCAAGTCCCGCGCGTGTCCCTGGAGAGCCGAGCCCCGGGATGGACATCACGAGCCCTCCAAGAACCACGGAGGAAGGGTTGTGCAGGATCGGCCCGGAGAGCTTAGGGAGCTAGAAGCTAGGATGGGCCGTGGAACACGGTGGCTTTTCTTCTCAGGCGTCCGGGGAGCACTCCCAGAGCTGCCCAGCGTCTAGCTCAAAGCGCTTTGGGTCTCTTGGCCACAGGTTCCGCCGTGCCCCATCCTGTAATGACTCCTTTTAAAGGGGGAGATAACTTTTTGAGATCTCTGTTCTCGCTCTTCTCATTTAGGGTTTTTCATTTGATGATACTGATAATGATGCAATCCTGCCGACTCCACATCTGGCAAATCGGGGAACTTCTGTGTTAGGAGAAGGCCACTGTGGTCCCTGCTGGGTCCTGTCCCCAAGCATCATCTATGGAGCTCTCAGTGGCTCTTTTTCAGGTTCCTTAACCAGCCGGGATCCTGCCTCAGGGAGCTGCCCGGGAACCGGAAACTTCAGGTATGTTTCTTTGACTCCGCTAATAATTTGTCTCCTCCTGAATGGGAGGTTAGATAGCACCCCAAACAAGATGTGTCTACTCAAAGAGCTCAAATGTTCGCTTTGCTTTTATCTTTCAGCATTTATTGAGTTCACATAATGTTAGCTCCCCCACCCAGCTCTCTGCTAATGGCTCAAGAAATCAACAGAGGAGGACCAAGTGCCTGGACCAGGCGGAGGCTCTTGACTGCTGCATGGCCTGGCACCGGCCGCTGCTGCCTACCATCTGAGAGCGAACAGCAAGCAGAAGAGAGCACTCTCTTTCAACAGAAATGTGATTTTCAAGTGATTTATTTATTTGAAAAGCAGAGATAGAAGGAGAGATCTTCCATCCTCTGGTTCACTCCCCAAGTAGCCCCAATGACCTCAGGAGCTTCTTCAGGGTCTCCCACACCAAGTGCGGCGCCTCAAGCACTTGGGCCATCTTCTCCTGCTTTACCCAGGTACATTAGCAGGGAGCTGGTGAGAAATGAGGCAGTTGGGACTCAAACTGGCATCTTATGGCACTGCAGGTCTTGGCTTAACCTGTACCCCAGCACAGGCTTATATAAATTTTAAAAAACAACTTTGGGTGTGGTGGGCATTGTGGTAGAGTTATATCCCTACTTGGATGGCCCACATGACTTATTCCCACCTCCATTTCTTATCCCTGTTGAGTGCAAGGCAGCAGGTGAGGGCTCAAGTATAGGGAAGGCCTGCCTGGAATCCCTGGCTCCTGGCTTCCCAGCCTAGGTTGCTGCAGGCATCTGGAGTGTGAAACCAGCAGATGGAAGAGCCTCTCGGGCTGTTTGTCTGTGTATGTGTGTTCTACCCCAAAAATAAAGATAAACCAAAATAAGAATGCAAAGTGACTCCAATTGGGAGGGTCGGGGGAAGGCCTGGAAAAACCATTTCACTATTTTCCAAATTAGGCCACTGGGACTGAATTTTTTTTAAAAAATATTTACTTATTATTCCAAAGACAGATATACAGAGAGGAGGAGAGACAGAGAGGAAGATCTTCCATCCGATGACTCACTCCCCAAGTGACCGCAATGGCTGGTGCTATGCCGATCTGAAGCCGGGAGCCCAAATCCTTTTCCAGATCTCCCACACAGATGCAGGATCCCTAGGCTTTGGGCTGTCCTCGACTGCTTTCCCAGGCCACAGGTAGGGAGCTGGATGGGAAGTGGAGCTGCCAGGATTAGAACCGTTGCCCATATGGGATTCCAGCACACTCAAGGTGAGGACTTTAACCACTACGCTATCGCGCCTGCCACTGAATTTAAGAAAGTTTAGTTTTGATTTGTTTGTTCGCTAAGCCTGGACATCATAGAAAGCAAATGGTTTCCTCGCCAGTGCCAGCCTCAGCTGATGGCTCCTGCTCGGGCACTAGACTGAGACAAACTGTGAAGCTGCATGTGGCCAACAGGGAGGAAAATATCGTGGTTAATTAGTTCAGTCATAACCAGCTTCTTCATCTTCCTGAAGAGATTTCTCTGTTAGGGAAAGCATGGGACTGCACCATTTGTTTCCCTACCCCTCTAGCCTTTGGTTACGTTAGGAATTAATCTGTATAGAGTCCTATCAAAAATGTCTTACAACAGAGCTATACCACAATTTAAAATTTCTTTGCACCTGAGAGACAGAGTCTCAGAAGGAAAGAGACAGCGCTCTCATCCTCTGGCTCACTCTCCAAAGGCCCGCCATGGCTGGGAAGCTGGGACCAAGAATTCAGTGTGGGCAGCCCTGCACCACCCACGCAAGCCAGCCCCTGCCGCCTCCCAGGATGAGCTTTAGCAGGGAGGTGGAGTAAGAAGCAGAGCCAACACTCAACCCAGCCCCTCTGACATGGTGTCTCAATCGGCTCTTAGTCACTAGGCCAAACACCCACCACCACACACATTGTCACTCCAAGAATGAGAGAATATCTAGCCAAATGATGCTCTCCAAACAATACGCTGGTTTCCAGCAAGGTAGAAGAACTTCTTTAGGGGGAAAAAAACCAATGAGAAAACAACTGGGCGTTGGAGCCCATGCTGGGTACTTGCTCTGTCTCCTTGGCTCAGTGCACCTCGCTCCTCTGACCACTGACCAGTTACTTTTCTAAGACATACAGAACAGCCATAGAAGCATCTGTTGATAATAAAGTCTAGTGAGACTGTGAATGTCTGTGACAACATCCGAGGAAGGCAGAGAGCTTGACTCAGCAGCTCTTATACCTGGGGGAGTGCAGCTAGCTGATGAATTTCGAGCTGGTTGGTCTCATCTACTCTTAGGATGTTGTTTTCTTTTGGATTCCTTTTTAATTGAAAGTATTGCTCATCCCTTTGTTGAAAATATTATACACATGCATTTTAAAACTCAATACTTCGCTTCTTGTTTTGGTGTGGGAGACATCTGTAGGGATGAAGTTATCAGATGAGGAAGGTCAATTAAAAATTGTTGACTATGGAGTTTGTAAGATTTGAGATTGTGAGACTCGGAAAATTAGCATACATGTTCCCATTTAGTGAAATTTGATGTCCATATAGCTAAGTGAATGGGGAAAATTGGTTTATATGGGTTCTTCCGTGGAAACGGTGATGAAATGAGATAAAATTGAAAATCTTAAACTTTGAGAAAACTTACCTATCTGGATGGCAGGGTGGGGACAAGAGAACAAATGCCTCCACCTGCTCATCCATTACCCATATGCCCAGCCCTCAATCACTCCAGGTCTCCTATCTGATGAGTGGTGGAACCCAGTTACTGGAGGCACCAGTGCTGCCTCTCAGGCTTGGCATTGCCAAGCAGCAGGAATTAGGAACAAGAGCCAGGACTGGAACCCACGCGACTCAAGTCACATCTTAACTGCTCTACCAAACACCTGTCCCTTGACTGCCATTCTGAACCGGGTGTTTTTCGTTCGTTTGTTTGTTTTGTGTTGTGTTCTGACCCCACCTGGCTGCCTTGTGAAAGGCTGTGGTGAGGATCATCTTGGGTTGGAGACTCCTGTCTTCTTCCAATCCGTTCCCCCTCCCCCATCAAGCCACTCTAGGGGCTGAGAAAAATCAGTGTGTGGCTGGACCACCCCGAGCTGTGTTCCCACCACCAGAGGAGGAATGAGTGCTTTACAATTTCCCGAGGGCTCGTTTCATCACACAGTGCTGGACTCCACCCCCGCCCAGTTTCGGATTCACCAGGACTGGGGTCCAGCCAGAAGAATCCACAGACGGACAAGTTCCCAGGTGATGCTGTTGGCCTGAACCTCTGTGGTAAAAGAGGTCAGAGTGCTTGGAAAACACTCAGTGTAAGGCAGCCCCTTTGCACTCGCTTTTCCTGTCTTTCAAAACAGCACATCTGTTACACACAGATAGTTGCTACTTGTCCTTGGTGAGGTCCAGAAACAGGGACTTTGGGTTTGCTCATGGCTGCTTTTCCCTGGCACCAGGAGGAATTAAGGCAGTTGTTGCTTGATGGAATGTGCCTTCTTGAAGGTACTGGCTGAGACTGAGACCACAGGGATGAGCAAATTCACCCAGGAAGAGTAAAAGGAAGAAAAAGCAAGAGCAGAGGCCCAGTTAAGTGGGCAATCAATACAACAACAGTGAGAGGAAACAGAACTGCCTTAGATAGAAATCATGGCCAGCATGGCACCATCACAGAAACCTGCAAAGGACAGAGAGGTGCAGCAGGGGCACGAACACCCAGGGTCAACGCAGAGAGCATCTCACATCCAAAGAGCTGAAGGGATAACTTCTGTCAATTAGGTTTGTCACTGATGAGTTTGATTTAAAAAGAGAGAGACAGAGAGAGAAAAGAAAAAAAGAAATCGTAAGATGTCCCCAAATAGCAGACTGCTTGCTTTGGATGGGATAGTGGAAGCTGAGTGAAAATCTGAAAAAAGCGGAAACAAAACACCTGCCTGAGGACTGTTGGCTCAAGGAATTGGCTGTGGAGGAAAGGCTCGTGTTTCTCTCTTGCCATGGCTGTGTTGTGTGGCTTTAAGATGGGATGGGTTACAGCATTACGGTGTGTGTAGAGGAAAAAGACACTGAGCATACAGGATCGTGCGACAGGAACCAGAGGGTAATGTCACCGTCCCAAAGCAGTTGGAGAATAGGCTAGGATGGGTGGCACCTGTCAACAAGCAAGACCCAACGGAAAGGTGTGAGCAGGGACAGTCTGGAGGCCTGGGCTACAGGTTGAGGGGTTCGTGCATGAGCCTCTCCATTTTCTTTGAGGGCTGGAGCTAGGCCATGTCCTAGTGGTGAAGCAGGAATGGGGTAAGAAGCATCCGAGGGACAGCAAAGGGCTGGGGGAATTGCCGTGGGAAATGGAACAATGCCTTCAGCTGGCTTCCAACTACACAAACTATTTAAAAATTTAGGGAGGCAAGAATGCTGTTGTCACATGCTTCTGGTTTGACACTCCCTTCTGAGGCAAATATTAAAGCCCTACAAGCCTTACACATACACACACACACACACACACACACACACACACACACACACACACACACACACACACACACACGTGTCTCCTTACTGATTGGATTCTAAGGCAAGCATGCTGGAGGAAGCAGCTGCCAACACCAGGTGCTGGCAGTTAATTACAAGAAAAGCGATTCCAGCCATGGTCACTGGTAGCAGGTTGGAAACACATGGCAAACCCACAGAAGTTTCTGGATGTGGTTAACTGCAGGATTCCCAGGTAACAAGCGCAGGACAACCCAGACAACCTTTCTGATTTGTGTAACAAAAATCAAGACACAGCTCATCAGATTAGGGGACAGAAACTTCTCCTGAGCAAGACCCACATGCCCTGGCACCCCATTCCCACACACTAATTTACATCTGAGATCCAGAACCTTTTTTAAGACCAGATGGTTAAGAAGGAGGCTGTGAAGTTTCATCTTAGCTTTTCCCTTTGGATAATTTATCTGGAGAACAGGAAATGCTCAAACTTTTCAGTAACCATCACTCATTCCAAACTAGCAGAAGTTTTGGGCCATCCACAATGTAATTACCATCAACATTTTCAGCTTCTAAGGATCAGGAAGGTCATTAAATTTTGGTCCAAGTTTTCACCTTTGGGCAGAGCTGATGGGATTGTGAATTCATCACTGTATGTTGGAAAACTGAAATAAGTAACCTGAGCAAATAACTCAGTTCCTACCTCAGCACACTCGTGGAGGCTAATGCTGGGAGGCCTTGCGAGGCCCACTGAAAGCAAGACCTTTGAGGATTGAAGAGGTCTCTGCATCAGTGAGAGAAGGGCGCTGCTGAGACAGGCCCTCAGTCATCCGAGCTCAGGGATGACACCAACATCCACTAACGCGATTGAAAGCAGCCCCTAATACTCGGCTTGAAGTTACCAATCCGGGATTTAGTTCACAGTATTAAAAAAAAAAAAAAAAGAAATCCTTAAAAAATACTATGTATCAATATGCCCATTCGTCATACTTTGATTCATCGAAATTTATCTTTTGATTACCATTTCCTCTTTGTGTATGTGTTTCTACATTTTAAAATGCAGACCCTAACTGTACCTTTCTCAGAGTTATTGGAAAATACTTGGATCATCTGAGAGCAACTAGTGAATGCCCGGTTTTCTGTTCACCGTGATGGCGATGGTGATCTGGGCTCGTACTTTCTTTGGGCTCACTGTTCCATTTTTCAGGACTATCTTCAAGTCATTCCGTATGTGATGAACTCTATGAATCCTTATAATCTGATTTTTAAAAAATGTCTCACTTATTGTTGATTTCCTTGGGTCAAGAAATCTAGGCTAGACATCTGAAGGTATTGCCCAACTGGGAAATTCAAGCCAATCTAATTTTTTATTCCATTTTAGGCAACCAATTTTTACATAAGATTTCTTGATTCCCTCTCTAAAATGAGGCCTTTCTTATTGAATGTTCCAAGGATTCAGACACCTTTACTTTCGAGGTTGTTAAAATTTCTTAAATAAACCAAACACCCGCCTCCCCCAACCTTCACCACCATTCTGTTTGATTTCCACCATTCACATATTGCAACGTCTAGATTCATTTTGCATGTCCTGTAAATTTCCTTTTTTGCTACTTTATTCCAGGGCTGTAAACTAGTCCATCTGAGTACTTTTTTTGAGGAAGTCCTCAGCATTATTAGCGTATTAGTCGTATATTTTGTTCCCTTGGTCTTAAAAAAAAAAAAAAAGCCAGGAAATGTTAGGCAGAAGATAAGGTAGATGTCCGGGTACCATTCTTTTATGCAAATTCCCTTATTACCTTGTAGTTGGTCCCGTTTCTTAGCTTCTACATTTTAACATCAAAGTCTTTATGCCTCTTTTTCCACAACTTTTCATTGACCGTCCCTTGGCTTTCAAGAACCTTGTCCGTTCCGCTCATTCCATCAGACTAACAAATACCTACGCCCTCTTGTTTTATCTACCAACTCTTACCCCTAGTGGCACCCTAAAAATTCTCCCTACCCCTTCCTCACTGCGCCCCTCCAGGAGCCAAAGTTACATCAGACTCAGCAGTGACCCCCAACCAGGAGTTAGAACTGCTTGTTACTTCCACCCTCCCCTCCCCGGCCCCAACCAAGTAAACTCCTGACCCGGACGCTCCTCAGCTTCGGGCAGCCCTTCCTCCCTTTGGCTCAAGTAGCTCCCCAGGTGATGCTGCCGCGCACCTGGCCGCGCGCACGTGAGCCTCGGCGTGCCGGGCCTCCCCTCTCCCTGGCCGCGCTCTGCCGGGAGGAGCCTGGCCAGGCCGGGCCCGTCGGAGGAGGTGAGCGATTCGCCAAGGCGCCGGGCCAGCCGGGCCAGCCGGGCCAGCAGCAGCAGCGCGACGGCAGTGGACCCCGGCCCAACCGTCGCGGCCGCCCCGCCCCCGGGCGCGCGCCCTCGGGGCTGGACGGCGCCCCCTTCCCGCCCGGCCGCAGGCGCGCATGCGCGAGCGGGCGCCTCGGCAGCTGCTGCGCCGCGGCCTGACTGGAAGCGGGAGCTGCGCGCTTCCCGGGGCCGCCAACGGCCGCGCGGCGTCGGGCTCCGAGACCGGTGAGGAGCCGCGCAGGGCCGGGCCGCCGCCTCCCGCTGCTCACAGACAGCCGTCGGGGCTCCACGGCGGGACAACCACCCAGTCCCACTCCTTGGGGGACGTTGGGGACCCCAGCGCCCCCACACACGCACTCGGGGCCGAGCAGGGGTCGGGGCTGGGTTATGGAGTCGGGAACCAGGACGGGACGGGAGCCTGGTGTGTGCGCTTGGGGCGCGTCCTCGCGTGGGGCCTTCCGCGTGCGTGCGCCGAGTCCCGGTTTCCGACGAATCTTCTGGATTTAGCGGCGGAGAAGGAGGAACCCACACTCCGCTGGGAGGAGCCAGCCTGGTTTTCTTCGGCCACGCCTGTGGTGGGCGCAGGTTGAGACTGGAGGGTCTGGGTGGTGGGGCTTTGCGCCGGGCAGGTCCCAGAAGCCCCCACCCCCATGCTGGTCTCTGAACCGCCCGAAAAACTCGCTTCGGCTCGGTGGGTCGTTGGAGTACGGGTTATCTTTGCTCGTAGGGCTTAGGTCACGGCCGGTGCCCATTTTTCCCTTGGTGTCCGTGTTTGTGTCTTCCAGATCCTGTAGGGTGCCATGTCTGAGCAAGAGCGCATCCAGGAATGCCTGCGGAAAGAGATACGGTCCCTTCTCATCTCCACCAAGGATGGCTTGACCCCGCAGCAGCTGGAGAAGGAGTACCTGCTGATGGTCGGCAGCCACCTGCCGCTGCGAGCGCTCGGCTACCGCTGTGTCATGGAGCTGGTGCTTGACATGCCCGACGTGGTCAGCGTCTGCCCCTCCGGGGACGGGCTTGTGATCCTGAAAGGTGGGCTAAGGGTTTGGAGGGCCCCTCGCCTTTGTCCTGAAAGTCGTCACACAGTAAATGTTTGCTCCCGCATCCCAAGCGAGTGGATGTTTAACTCCGTGGTGATGGTAATAGTGGATCTAAGTGCCTTTTGAGACTACGGGTAGAGGCCAGTCCGGAAACCATTCCCTGGAAACTTGTGCGCTTTCATGAAAGCTACATTTTGGCATATGATTTCAGGTTACTAAGCCTTATGGCAGGAGAAACTTAATCGTGGGGCTTGTATATAGATAAAAGTTTTGAATTTTATGAAACCCCATTCCCCTCCCCAAAAGAAACGAAGCACTGTGTGGAAGTGGATCCATCCCGAGAGTTTGTGTTTGAGCAGCCAGTTAGCGGTCCCCATGTCATGGGTTCTCTTTCCATCGCCTAGCAGAGCAGCTAGCAAGAAGTGGAAGAATGAAGGGTCCCTGTTACCACACTACCTGGTGACACAGCTCCTGGGGCGGTTAGGAGTTGCCTGTATGCACAGATAGAAAGCCGGAGGACAGAGTGCGTTTTGAGCCTCATTACGATTTCTCTTTCTGCATCCAGCCATTCCAGATGAATCCACCAAAGGAATAGCAAGTTTAGTTGCCAAACAAAGAAGCAGCCACAAGTTTCGGAGCACCTTGCAGAGGGGAAGGGCCAGCATGTTCCCTGCGCCGGGCTCTCGGCGGCGAGTCCCCTTCCGGGGCAGGGTGCCCCCGATTCTCCCTGCCGTGGTCAAGAGCGAACTCAAAGACCTCCTGGCGTTTTCTCCTGTTCTCCTTTCTGATTTTGAAAAGGCGTTTGTCAGGCGGTTTGGACGAACATTCCAGTACATGCAGTACGGATTCCTCTCCATGTTTGAGGTGCTGGATGCAGCTTCAGATGTCATCGCCGTAGAGCAGACCCGCATGGGTTCTCTGCTGACGCTCAGGAAGAACTTGTTGGAGGAAAAGCAGAGACGATGGTCCCCAGGTGAGTGGGCTGGCAGTGCTGGGGTGCCAAGGGCGCTGGGGTGCCGAGGGCGCAGAGGGGGAGTTCCGGCATGGCTAGCCCCATCCGTTTCCTGGAGTCGCGAGCTGGACTTGCCGGCTGAACGTTTAAGGCCAGTCCCTTCTGTCTGGTTGCCTTAGTTTCCTCATCTGTAAAATAGGAATCGTGGCAGTTGCTTTTAGGGTTGGTGCCAAAGACGGTCCATGAGATGAGGCCTGGTAAGCGGCTACTAAGGTGGAGCTGGCAAGCATCGACAAAACCACAAAAGGCTGTCAGTGGGACACAGTGGATGTTAGATGTGCTGAGAAGACAAAGCACAGGAAATGGAAAGTTTAAAAAAAAAATAACCAAAAAGTAGCCATGGCCCATCTGCCAGCACTGGGGACTTCCTGGGAAGCACTGGAGTAATTTATGGAGCATTATGATTTGTGTAGCCATTTTACCTGGGATAATCTTCATTGCAGTACTAGAGACACGTGGGTGAGTAAAGCAGATGTCAGAGAAGTTCAGTGACTTCCAAAGCCACATGGTTGGAAAAATGGTATAGGTAGAATTGAGTACTCGGCTCTTGTTACTCCTCCCTGGTGCTTTTCTGCCCAAGCCCTGTGTCTCCTCACGGTGTGAATGTGTACGTAGCCTCTCCTTACACCCTAGGTGCTACAGTTTTATATGCAGGCACAGGGGAAGCTGATTTCAGGTTGGTTTTTTGTGCACAATCCGCATTTCTCTTCATGTAGTGAACCATAATCTGTGTGTGAACGGTGGTGGGTTTTGTGGTTGGATGAAGGTATGCACTGGTGCGAGAGGGCTCTGGATGCTCTGGGGGCTTCGAGTGTCGCCCTCATCTAGCCCGGTCAGCATTCCTGGGCAGTTGAATCTTGGGGAGACTGAATCAATGTTACTAAACTCAAAGGGGGTTGAGTTATTATATAAAGCAGTTTCCCAACTTCCTAGATGTTGGGAGTGGCTGTTCCCTGCCAGTGATGGAATTGTCCGTGTTTCCCATCTGTGGCTGCTCCTTCCTCTCCTCTGGGTATCTTGGAAATCCTTGGGTTTGGGTGGACTTGATCATAGAGACCCTGATGAGATTAGTGAAACGTGTTAATGCTGGACAGCTGGTGTTGATGGGCCCCTCCTGCAAATCTTGAGGAAAGCGCCTGTACTCAGTACGGACACAGTCAACAAGGAGTGGCCCCTGCTGTCCTGCCCTGCAGACACAGGAGGAAAACAACAGTGAAACGTTTTTCCCACACACTTTCCTCCATACTGCAACCCTCCTTGCCCTAATCAGAGACATATATGGGTATGCATCCCATTCAACTATGTAGGCAGAATTTTTTTTAATTAAAAATATTAAAATATCTGTACTTTAGAGTACTGTCCTTCATCTTGTAGTTTTTATTCTTGCTTTCGCCATACTTGGGTACTAGATGTTTATGCAGTTTTTCCAAGCCAACTCCTAAATAGGTTAGAAGCTGAAAAAAAAGAAAAAGCCACATTCTGCAAATCCCAGCTCTCTGTGGATTACATTCAGGTGACCTTTGGTGAATGGTGAATAGCCCCAGCCTTTTGGTCACACCCTTAGGGCTCTCGACTAGCCATGACAGAAGCTTGTAAGCCTTCTTTTTCCTAATTCTTCCAAGAGGAGGATGGCTAGCTTGCAGTAACTTTGATATATAACCACCAGAAAATAAGGTAGAAATTGCTAGTAATGATTTTTCTCTTCTGTTATTCATGAAAGGCAAAATTTTTGCCCAGCCATTTAGAGTGGAACAAGGGTCCTACTCCTCAGGCTCCCCGGTTGCAAAGGCTCGCTTCCCACACACAGCCTCAAGCATGGAGTTCCCGAGGCAAGTATGGAGCGGGGAGAAGACACCCAAGCTAAATGGGGCAGACACTTCGTCGAGGCTGACTCCTGCTGAGAGATTAAACCAGGTAAGATGTCAGAGTTTGGAGGTGTCAATCTAATGGGGAAAATGTTTTTAAGTTTCATAGTATTTGCCACTCAAATTTAAGGGAGAAGCTGATGTTTTAAAGAGTTGAAGTCGTTTACTTTGTGGAAGAGCTTTCCCTGTGGTTCCATGGCACCATCTTCCCTCAGATAGTTCATTCCATAAATGTAGTAGCCAGGTCTGGGCCAGGCTAAAATCAGGAGCTAGGAACTTGGTCTAGATGTCCCACGTGGCTGAGCTGTCATCTGCCGCCTGCCAGGCTGTACTGCAGCAGGAAGGAGGAATCAGGATTAGATCTAGGGCTTGGACTCAGGCAGGCAGGGGGTGTCTTAACTCCTGTGCCAAACGCCTGCCCCCATGTCTCATGTTCTCCATAGCAGTGTGTCATTATTAATAATAGAAGAGCAATGGATTTTAGTATATTGCCTCATATCCTGCTTGTATCATCATTCTTTAGTCAGGATACTAAGTTCAGTTCAAGCGGACCAGTGGGCCAGGTTGAAGCCAGGAGCCAGATACTTTATAACTTGTTGTTTCCAGCACAGCTAGTTAGGGACCCAGGTATTTGGGCCATCATCCACTGCCTTCCCAGGTACTTCAGAGAGCAGGATCAGAAGTGTAGTGGCCAGTACTCAAACCAGCACTATGATATGGGATATGAATGTTAAAAGCTGTGGCTTAACCCCTGGGACGCAAGGCGGCAAGGGAAGAGACAGAGGGGAAAGAGGCAGAGAGCCGCTGTCTGTTAGTTCACTCCTCAGCTGTCTGAATGGCCAGGGCTAGGCCAGACTGATGCCAGGAGCTGGGAACTCAAACCAGGCCTCCCTTGGGAATGTCATGGATACCACCTGCCTTCCGGCCTACCATACACCGGAAAGCGGAATTAGGAGCACAGTGGAAACTTGAACACAGGCACTTCAGTTTGAGTTGTGAATCTCTAATGTAGCATCTTCGCCATCATGTCAAAGCCTGCCCTGCTTTGGTGTCTTAAATCTCTACAAGTCGCATGCGGACCTAGGACTGCTTTGTTTCCTCATGAACTGCTCCACTTACTATTTTTTAAAGATGTTTATTTGAAAGGCAGAGTTAGAGAGAGAGCTCTTTGATCTGCTCATTGACTCCCCAGATGGCTGCAGTGGTTCTGACTATGCCGGGCTACAGCCGGAAGCCAGGAATTCCATCCTTGTCTGACACATGGGTGGCAGGGACCCAAGTTCTGGGACCATCTTCTGCCTTTCCCGGCACAGTGGCAGGAACATGGATCAGAACTGGAGTAACCAGGTCTCAAAATGGCGTTTTGTTATAAGATGGAGACATTGCAAACTGGTTTAACTTGCTGGACCACAATGCTGGATCATAATTACTCCATTTTTTTGTGAAATGTTTCTTTAGTGCTTTTAATGTATAACATTATTATTGTTTTTAAGTCTAGTTTCAATGACATTGTGGTCACACTAGTTTTCTTTAGAATTGCATATCAACAAGTATATCTTGTTTTAAAAAATCTCGTTTGACAGTCTTGGCATTGGATGATAGTATATTGAACATTTATGTTTAGTGTAAAAATGATATAGTTTGAAAGTCTGCTTTGTTATTCTGGTTTTTTTTTCATTCTTGACTTTTTTGAATCACTTTTTAAAATGAAGCTATTTTTTCAGACCAATTTCAGATTAACAGCAAAATGGAACAGAAGGTTCAAAGCTCCCATCCTCTCCCCACCACACGAGGAAGCCCCCTCGCTGTTAACATTCCACATCATAATGGTACATTGGTACAGTTGTTGAACCTGCACTGACACACTGATTTCACCCAGACTCCACAGTGTATATTAGGGTTCACCTTGGTTTTACGTGTTCTGTGAATTTGGACAAATGTGTAATGACGTTTGTTCACCAGTATCATATGTTGAGTAGTTTCATTGCCCTGACAATTAGCTGTGCTACACCTGTTCATTGCGTCCCTCCTCAGACCCCTGACAACCGCTGCTCTCTTACTGTCTCCAGAGTTTTATCTTTCCCTGAATATCGTGTTTGAATCCAGACAGCATGAAATGTTTTCCAGTTGGTTTCTGTTACGTAGAAATTTGTGTTTAAGACTTCGTGTTTTTTTTTCTTTTTAAAGAAGACTTGTTTCTTTTAATGGCTTATTAACCCATTTCTTTTTAGTACACAAATAATAGTCCATCATCTGGATGAACTGAAGGACATTTTATGAGCTAGCAAGTTTTTGGCAGTTCTAAGTAAAGCTGCTATAACATCTGTATACATTTTTATATAGACCTGAGTTTTCAGCTCATTTGGGTAAATAACAAGTAGCATCGTTACTGTATTGAATGAATGAGCTTCAAACATTCATGGCAAAGTGGAATTAAAACAACTTTACTTTGGTGCAAACATTTTTGGAAGCCTGTGCAAATTCTTTTTTTTTTTTTTCATATAAGGTTTTATTTTTATTGCATTGGCATATTTACAAAGAGGAGAGATGGAGAGAGAGATCTTCTATTCATGGGTTAATTCCCCAGATGGCCTCAGTGACCAGAGCTGAGCCAATCTGGAGTCAGGAGCCAGGAGCTTCTTAGGGGTCTCCCATGTGGGTGCAGGGTCCCAAGGCTTTGGGCTGTGCTCTGCTGCTTTCCCAGGCCACACACTGGAAGCTGGATGGGAAGCGGAGCAGCTGGGACATGAACTGGTGTTCACATGAGATCCCAAGGTGAGGATTTAGCCATTGAGCCATCACACCTAAAACTTTTTATTTAATAGGTATTGTCATGAACTTTTTGAAGACCTTTTGTTTAGATTTATAAGAGTCTGCCATACTGTCTTTGAAAGTTGCAGTACTACGCGCTCTAGCTGGCAATAAGTGAAAGTTCCTTTTGTTCCACAATTCTTGTCAACATTTGATATTGTCATTGTTTTGGGTTTTCATGATTTTTTAAAAAAGATTTATTTGTTCTTATTGAAAATACAGATCAGATTTACTGAGAAAAGGAGAGACAGAGAGAAAGATCTTCCATCCGCTGGTTCACTCCCCAAGTGGCCACAACGGCCAGAGCTGAGCCGATCTGAAGCCAGGAACAACTTCTGGGTCTCCCACATGGGTACGGGGTCCTCTACTGCTTTCCCAGGCCACAAGCAGGGAGCTGCATGGGAAATGAAACAGTTGGGACCCAAACCGGCTCCTGAATGGGATCCCAGCATTTGCCAGGTAAGGATGGAGTCATTGAGTCATTGCGCCAGGCCCATGATTTTTTTTTTACTATTATTATTTTCCATGACACGTTCTTGTAGGGATTTCTCCTTTCCCTCCATTTTCTTGTTCCCATATTCCCCTCCGAATTTCCTCCCACGCCATATTATTACAGGAGTGTAATCCTCCAACAACAGAAGTTCAACATTCTGCTGTCTGAATGTACCATGGCATTGTAGATATAGAGCAGAAAATCTATCATATTATTGAGATATGTGTTAAACTGTTTCACTGGGAGTTCTCTAGCCTCCATTATATAATTCACCTGTGAAAATATATGTATATACTTGTTCACCCAAATATTTGTTTTGTGTTTTGCATGAAGGTTGCCTTATATCATGAGAACATTACATTTGTCCATTGGGGATTGGCTTTCATTGAGCATAAGGGTCTCTAGTTAAGACTGTTGCAAATGGTAAGATTTCTTTCATTTTAGTGGCTGAGTGGTAGATACACCACAGTTTCTGTATTCATTCCTCTTTCAGTGGACATCTGGCTTGTTTTCCTGTCTTCGCTATTGTGAATCAAATTCAGTTGTCTTAGCACTCTCCGTACTGACTTCAGTAGTTGATACGATGGTCTGCCCCCCAGCAACAGTGGAGCAGGGTACCTTTCCATGATTTTAGTACATGTATGGTGGTGTCACGTTGCTGTTTTAATTTCCATTTTGTGATGACATCTAGCATACATCCTTTCATATGTTTACTTGCTGCTTGTATTTTATTTGTCTAGGTGTTTGAGTCTCCTGTCCGTTTTTTAAGGTGGTTGTTTTGTTGCTGAGGTTTTTTTTTAAAAGGATGCATTTATTTGAAAGGCAGGATTTTAGAGAGAGAGGAGGAAACAGAGATCACCCAACTGCTAGTTCACCACCCAACTGCTAGTTCACCACCCAACTGCTAGTTCACCACCCAACTGCTAGTTCACCACCCAACTGCTAGTTCACCACCCAACTGCTAGTTCACTACCCAAATGCCACAGCAGTTGGAGCTGGCTAGGCTGGGATGAGGAACTTCCTTCAGGTCTTTCACATCCTCTTCCACTGCTCTTCAAAGTGCATTATCAGAGTTGGATCCAAGTGGAACAGCTGGGACTTGAGCTGGTGCCCATATGGGATTACCTGCTGTGCCACAGTGTTGGCCCCACTTGTTGAGTTTTAAGAGTTCTTTGTATATTTTGGTTAATAGTCCTTCACCAAAGGTGTATTTTGAAAATACTCTCTGTCTGTGGTTTTTCATTCATTTGACATTATCTTTTATAGTATAAATTCTAAATTATATAAAGTCCAGTTTATCTATTATTTCTTTATTGATCAGGCCTTGAAAGTCATATCTGAAAAGTTTTTTTGTAATATCCAAGGTCATCTATTGTTCTCCCATGTTCTCTTCTAAGAGTTCTGCCTTTCATATTTCTGTGAAGGGCATCGGGCCTGTATAGTCATGAGCTGTTTTCATGTGGATGCCAGGTGTTCCAGCATCGTTTGTTGAATAATGCACCTGTGGTCTGTTTTGCCTTTGCTCCTTTTTATCAGAGTTGGCAGTGTTTATGTGAGCAAATTTGTGGGTTCTCTGTTTTATTCTGCTACTCTGTTTTTTCCACAGTGCCACACATACTATTGGTTATTACAACTTTTGATTTTGAGTAGTGTCAATCCTCTTTGTTCTTTAATATTCTGATGCTATTTTGGGTCTTCTGCTTTGCTAAATTTTAGAATGAGTTGGTCAGTATTGACAAAATGAC